CAGACCCTCCTCCCTACACTGGAGGTCTGGGCCCAGCAGCTCCACCTACTGAAGGTAAACGCCGCCTGCCTGCAGGCTTCAATTTCGCCTCCTACCACAGTGATTGATGGGAAAACCCGGAAAGGATTGATTCAAGCTTAAAAGTCAAGCCTGAGTAACCATTATCGTGTGTGTTTGCTGGTAGGATCTGCAAAAGGGTTTAAATAAACTGACCGGCAGGCTGACGCCCTGGCAGCCGTCTGGTGTCGGCCATATTGATGCAGAAGTGGTGAAGGTGGAGGACATGATGCTGCTGGTGGACACCATTCTGGAAAACACCTCGACTGACAATGAGAAGGTACAACTGCAACGCTTTTGAACTACTCACTCAAGGTAGTGTTTACATGGTGCTTTGGTGGTTGCTTGGACACGATAAACTCCAGCGAAACCTAATTATTTAAAAGTGTTTTCTGTGGGGTTGTAGGTACTCAGGAGTCCCACTCGATACACTCTGGCCTCCATGGTGTCTCACTTCCAGAAGCTGTTTGACGTGACCTCGCTCAGCGGAGTGTACCCACGTATGAACGAGGTCTACACCAGGCTGGGGGAGATGACCAACACCATGAGGAACCTCCGAGATGTTCTGGACCTAGGTAACCCCTCAGCTAGAATCCAAGCTTCCGGAGTCAGTTGTGGATGTTTGCGCAGCAGTTCAGTGGGAATGAAATGATGCTCAGTCGATGTTTGGGGTTTTGTGTCAGACAGCAGGGCTTCTTCTGCCGAGGTGGTGAACCACGTGGCCAGACTGGTTTCCTCCACCGAGCACACTGCTGGATTCCATAGTCTGCTGGGAGATGCTGACATTGACAGGTACACACATAAAGAACACACACATATTGTTTAGAATATCAGACACCCAAACTGCTCCTTCAAGTCTTTTGCTTTTGTTTTTTAGTATCATCGTCAAAGTGAAGCAGCACGAGGAGTTCTTCCCCGCTTTCCATGCTCTCATTACGGACATTTTACAGACTCTAGGTAAATATGACACAATAAACACACCATGACACCTGTGCATTAGCAGGTAGCATTGCAGTACTTTTCCTATGGATTATTTCAACATCCTTTATGAAATAGAATTTTCTCAATATGTGTGTTTCAGGAGTAAGTCACCTGGACGACATCCTTCCAGCTGTGAAGTCTTTGAAACAAACAGCACGGTGACACACTGACTGATCTCAGGGCTGTGCTTTGTTCTATGTAATAATTGTGGAGTGATTTTTGTTTTTAATAAAAACTGTTTGATAAATGATTCACAGTGAATATCTGCATTGTTCCTGGAGAATAAACAACAAGGACGGGAGCATACTTACTTACATATTTTATTGAAGTTACCTACTGCAGCTTTCAGATTCAGCACAGGTTTGAGTGTTGATGAGTAAAATTCTCATCTGCCGAGTTTTCAATGAAAAAGACCGGTGTGTAGGTTCTAATGCAAATAACTAAGCGCTGCTCTGCCTAACACCAAAAATGAAGACTAAACACATAAACACTTGCACCAAGAAGACATCATGGCTCAAAGAGTATTACATTGAATTTTCCTGCTCAGATATGGTTGATGAAGGTCATTATTCCAGGACTACCTGCTTAAACACTAACGTTGCTCTTGTGAAGCAGTAATGGCAGCATTAAGGTTACTCAGAGATATATTGATGGTTGGTACAGTGTCTGTTTGCTCTGTCAGTAATTAGCTGTAGCTTTATGATTACTGGAATAACTCTGGACCATATGACACAACTACATGCTGATAGATAATAAGTGAAGGTGCCCCCCATGTTCCAGCTCTGTGCAACTTACACATATTGGAGTCAGAGTGTGCGCTAATGCTTGTTTTATATATATATAAAATAATTACTCGTAGCCATTCATGAGTGAGACAGATTTTAAAAGGTCTTTGCAGTTTGTGTGTTGTACACCCAAGAGCTCCAAAATGCAATTCACTTGCACATGTAAAACTCAGAAAATATTAAATTAATAAATACATTCATATTGAATAAATGACGTCACTCTGTTCCTCAATGAAATTAATGATATTTCATGTCGAGTTATGAGTTACATTTACATTTATCAGTAATCAACAATAACTTCAAATAAATAAACAACATGAATTAATATTAAAGCAGTTCACTAGTGATATTGAATTGCTGTATAGTGTTGCAGTTATTCACTCTGAACACTGGAGGGCTCTCTTTATTGAACTGAACACTATTGTATTGTTAGCATTCAGATTTTTAATTTTTCTCTCTCTTTTCAGCTAGTTTTCATTTTTATTTCACTTAATTGTTTTTTCATGCCTAGTTTGAGTTTATTACAATGACCTCGGTCTCTACATCCTACTTGAATCCATGCTGGAGCCACCCTTCCAGTGGGATCAAGATCATCCCGATTTTTAGCATACAAACTATCCTAATCACCTTAGGGGTTTCAAATACCTAAAAACAACATTTTGGGATCCATATCCCAGTTTGGTAGGATCAGGATTTAAATTCTGGACCCGGGATATGGATTTGGTAACCCAATCTTACCCAGAATCCAGATCAACCAAGAACCACACAGAGGTAGACTTACTAATCGGTGCCGCGACCCTTCCACGGGTCAGCTCAAGCTGACTGCACTTATTGCTGCAGTGCCTACAAGGATTCAGCAACACATCGTCAGACCCAGTCTGAGCCGTCTTGGCAAACTGCAGTTTAAACTAAGTGTCTATGTGGAATTAAACGTTACCTGACACACAAATCCTGGCTGGAATGGCTAACAAGTTAGTGTTGGCTGGCTCCCTCCCATCCACTTTGTTAGTTTCCCATTTTTGCATGTGCAAAGCTAGCAGACCATGAGGAGATGTTTACTCAATTTGAAAAAAAAGTGTATTGGATTAGAATTGCATTACCTACCATCACTTTAATTAAGATTTTGGAAATGCTTTAGACTATACCGCCCTACAGAGCAAAGATTTTGGAAATGCTTTAGACTATACCGCCCTACAGAGCAAACATTGTGTCTCTTTTATCTTCGTCACAAATTGTCAGAGTTCAGTCTCGCTCTATCTGAGAGAAAAAAACAAGAGAAATTGCACTCAACAACAAAATACAACCAAAAACCGAAGCGAGGCTGTTTAGCAGAGAATATAGTTTGTCTTCACGTCTTCAAAGTTTACATCTTAAATAATAATTAAACTTTAAAAATAACATTTGGTTGTTTCTACATAAATGAATGAAATTCTTGGGCCAGCCACAGCTCCTGGACCCTCAGATTCCTCTAACCCAAAACCCACCACTAAAGCTCCAGCCACATGCTGCTGTAACTGTCTTGCACTGTCATGCTGGTATGTATCTTACATTACTCCTTTATGCAAGTCATATGTATGTGCTTTTTGTAGAAGATGGTGCAATCTATCTATATTTCTCAGCTGTTTAGAAATGTATCTTTGTTAATCTCATGCTTTGCTGTATTGTTTAATGTGTATTATTTTTGCAAGTGGCATACTTTCACTTGGTTTCAAACTTTGATGGAGTTCTATTTGTCTTACATTACTTCTTCATAGTTTGCACATGGAGGTCACACTAATGTGCTTTTTGTATTTGATGGTAATGAAATGCTGCTGCAGCATACTGTCGTCTCGGCTGAGGCATTGTGAATAGATAGCTTATAAATGAAGCTCAACTTTGTTCATCTCACACTTTGCTGTATTCTTTACTATGCTGGGGTCAGGACCCTCACTAGAGGTCACCAAAGCTTGTCACTTGACAGCCATGTAGTGGCATTGGGAAAATAGCTTATTGGCTATATTGTCATATACTATTAGCATTCGCATCATGCAGTTCTCCATTTTTAAAAAACTTGTTGCATTATAAAGAGGACAGCTGGATAATGTCCTCCATGGCTCCATGTCTGTACTAATCACCTGCACTCTGTCTCCTCCTGCCTCCAGGGTGTGCTGGGGGGACGCTGACACCACAGCTGTGGACAACTGGGACAATCAGCATAACAGTCGCTGTTTCACACAAAAACACTTCAATCTTTCCAGTCGCCACTTCCAGAGACAGTCAAAATGGTCTTATTTCTGTCCATTTCCATTACTTCTATACTCCATACAAAATTTGAGGTGGTCTGGTGGTATTTTGAAGTGAGCTTGACACAGGAAGCCATTTAACACACTTTAATCCACTTAAAGAATGAAACTAAACTTGAACTTCTACTTGTAATTTCCACTGAAACAGAACTCACTTTGGCCACATATACACACCCAAGCATTTGTCACACAATTAAACCAGTTATGTCTTAAAGTTGTATTTATTTGCAGCTTCATATTATCTGTGCTCTACAATACTAATAATAATAATTATTAAAAAAACTAGTATAACCATAGTAAAACACACTATTACTCACATCAAATATTATTGTGCCTGAATTCTTTTTTTGAAAAAAAAACTTCACTGGCCTAACATAGTAGATAGAGTAGACTTTAACAGGAACACAGAATATTTTTATATATATCTCTACCATTCATAAGTGAGACTTATTTAAAAAAATCTTTTTTTAGTGTATGCACATCCACAAAGTACACAAGAGATCCAAATGTAATTCACTTGCATGTGTAAAACCCAGAAACTTAAAAAATTTAATCAAAAAGTGACACCACTCTTTCCGTAAAAAAATGAATATTTATGTTGAGTTATTGAGTTACGATTATGTTTATCAGTAATCAACAACACCTTCAATACATAAATAGTTCAGTAACACGAGTGAACTTCTTAAACACTGGGTGTGAATGCTGAAAGCTTTGCTCAGCTAAAATGTCTATGAAATGAACTCTGAGTCAGGAGTCACTAGGCAGATACCATCACCATGGCAACCTTTAATTGGAGTTAGGAGTACACAGCTGATTGAGATTATATATTTTTGACATACATGGCAGGCAGACAGACAGACACAAACACATTTTCAAGTATTTTTCAAGCTTTAAACCCATTTCAAAACATATAGTTTATTAACATCTTTATGACATTTATTCAATTTTTCAGTCTAATCATTCAATTATAGTAATTCAATGAAATCCAACAGCTCAGATTAGCTCACAACCAATGCAATTTATGCAATTCATCATTTGGAAACTAATCACTATGAATAGGACTATATATCATAAGGTTTCCACTTTTCCAACTAGAATACTTAATAGGTTACTTCATACAAATTAAAGCCAGCAATTCATTAAAATCTTAAAATCTTCCACCTTTTACAGATTTCAATATTATTCAGTTTTTATATCTGAAACTGAATTGCTCAATTTAGCATGAGCTTTTCAACAAACCTTCAAATATTCCACATCTTTCACACAATTTCAAAGCCAGCAGTTCAGTTTAGTGTAAGCTTTTCAGCAGCAAGCTTTCACACCTGCAATTTTTGAAGGAATTGCATTCTATATTATTTGCAGTGTATCACTCTGACCACTGACAGGTACTCTTCATTGAACTTAACACTACCATTTTATTAGATTTAAATTCTTAAAGGTCCAGTGTATAACATCAAGGAAGATCTATTGACAGAATCTATTGTAAGATAAGGTATAAGTGATAGGTATGTTTTTATTAGTTTTTCCTAGACGCCACTAAATCCTACACACTTGAGATTGAGACCGTTTCAAAACCAGTTAAAAACTCCTTGTAGTGTGTTTAAAGTAAGAACTCAGCTCAATACGAAGATGATAATGAAGGAATAATAGTTGCACGATTAAGTGAAAATCATATTTATTTGCAGGTGGATGTGGCAAATGAATATGAGGTCTTCTACAATAAAAAACAAGCAAATAGTCATTTAACACTACAATGTGCTACACTGTACAGTACATATGAATGTTTGCGTGTATACAAAAATAGACATATCAAAACACATTTACACCATGAGCTAGTATGTACATACCACAAAAATAACATCAGATGACACAAGACTACTCACAAGTGCAGATTCATAAGGAAATCATATTATTCAAGCAAATGAAGAGCGCTGAACTACACTCACTTTTGCCTTTTTTTAAAAGAATGACATGCAGAAGAGCAGAAAAGCATCCATGAGCCAAATCTCTAATCTGATTGGGAACATTGGGAGGTGTCATAATGCCTTGACCTTCGACCTCCTGTTGCTCCAGTGCAGCTGTTCAATGGATGGTAGAAAGCTGTGGTTGTGATGAGGATGCCCCTGATTTGCATAAAGTAGCCTAGACCTCAACTTTATGCAAATGAGGAGCAGCAATCTCAATATGTACTGCCAGAAAGCTAGCATCTCCCATAGACAATGAATGGAAAGCGTGCAAACAACTGATCGTGTGGACACGTAACATAAAACAGTGAAAGTGAAGAAGTGTTGGTGAAGCAAACCTTCTCTTACTAAATGAATAAATATAATGCAGAGAATATGTCAAATCTCTAATTTGCTTTTTTCCATATGAAACGTCTCAGAGTCTTAATCTGTAAAAGAGTTTGAAATGTTTAGTATCATCATCAATTTGATCTTTTTCTTGCTGGTAGAATCCGCCCTTATTGACAATGACAGTGTCTGTGAAGTGCTGTTTTAAAGGAAAATACTGACAGAGAATACACATCCTGATCTAAGCATAATGGTGGCACATTCTTCTCTACAACACAATATTTCAGCAGAAACAAATATTTATGCTACAGACACAGTACACCAAACATGAGCAGCAAAGTTCAAGTCAGTCACAGTTAACACACTATAGTGGATAAAACAAAAAACATGCATATCTAATACACATCTGCTGCCTAAGAACCACTAAACATTTGGCGTAGTATTTATTCACATCAAATAAGAATAATATTAAATACTATTTCAGGAACTATTTTCTATAGTAAGGAAGGATTCTACTCTCATCATTAATAATATGTGCTGAGGCTTTTCAGTACCTCTGCTGTGTTTGGAAAATGAAGGAGGTTTATTCCAGGTCCGTGATCCGAATGTGCACAAATAAGGAGGAGGGAGGAATACTGGTTCCATCTTTGGACAATAAGTGAATGTGACGATAACCTGAGAACACAAAACAACCACAGGGGTTAGGAGAACATGGTTCTTTGACTTATTTATTATAATAACTGTCATTAATAAATGGTAAATAGTTAATTTAATTAAAGTTAATAGGCAGATACCAATGTTAACAAACAATGAAATGATCATTAATAATATTTACTAATTGCTAGTAATGCTGTTATTTGTAAAATGTTACATTTATTATTAAATGCTATCATTAACTTTATATAGTGTCTATAGCTGATAAGAGATAGTCATTCTAAATACATTAGTAAGCTATTTATTAACAGTTCATTACTGCACACATTTTATCAGCTATGATAAGTTACCAAATTATTTTTATACCTTTAAGAAATAATAAACAAAAATCTACGAACTAATTATTAACAAACTGTTACAAATATTTATTCCACCTATCTATGTAATGTTTATAAACTGTCATTCGGATAAAGTTGCAATTGATGATCACAATTCAAATGGGCTCATATAATTAACAATATATAATTTATAAACTAATTATTTTTATATTACACAAACTAAGTTTGGAATATAGTGAGTTTGAGTTTAGAAGAAGCATTTGATATTTAACTCAGAGGGAATGTATAACTAACTAACTTTAAAACTAACTCTTTCATTTGGTTGTTTTCACAGAAATGAATTAAATGCTTGGGCCAGCCACAAAACTTTAGGTTCTCAAATAAGCAAATAATTTAACCGGATAGCAGGACCGGTCCCAGACTTTTGGTTTTGGGGCCACCCTCATTGTTGCCACTTGTATGAAATGTATGATGGACAAATTAACTAAATTGTATTTGTTTTAGTTGACGAAAACTCTAGGCAAGTAGTTAAGTCTTATTTCATATTCATCAATCATCATTTCTATTTTTTAATGATTATTATTACAGTGACCTTTCATATACTAGAGTGTAAAGTACACTTGTGCTGTTCTTTATGATTTCTTTTGAGGAACTTTTAAATATAACCATTTGTAATGACACAGCGAATTCCAAACTGGTTGAAACATCCACCATACAGGCATGTAGTGACACAACATATGGCTGTTGCAATATGAAAAGAACTCATCACTTTTTTAACACATTGTGCCCCTCAAGTGAATGTTTTTGCCTGCTGTATGACTACTAATAGTTCCGTGCAACTTTTTTCTTTTTTTTCCATATGGAATAGACAGGAGCCCCTTGCATGTGTGTACTGAAAATAATTAAATTGCATACATTGTATTGCTTATTATAGGGCATTTTCTACCATTTCAGTAAAAGTAGTATTTTAAGAAGTAGGACTTTTCATGTGATATAAAAATGTCAACGGTGTACTGTTAAGATACTTGGTCAAAGTATGTCTGCACCAGATTTCAAGAGTTTAGACAAATCAGAACAAATGTTATGGAATTTTTCCATATCATAAATGTAGTCTAAACTGACCAAATGTAATTTATTTAATTCACAACATGAGCTGCAGTTCTGCAGGGGCAGATCTAGAGAAATATTCACGGGGTGGCATGGAGACTTTAAGTGATGGCAGAACTAACTATCACATATATCAATATTTGCTTTTGTTTAACTTGTCTAATTCATTGTGTTTTTTTTTTTTTTTTTTGGGAGGCGACAGTAAGTTACATACTGTCCATTCAACTATTTGTTGGCAAAAATTGCCCCAGTCATAAGCAACTGCTTATATCATTTAATAGGCAGAGCCAGCTCTGCAGTAAAGGTACTAGACAGCGAGAAAAAGTTTGCTAGAAGAAGCTATAAGAACTTAACCCAGCTCTTCATCCTTACCTTGCTGCATGCAGCTGAGAGAAAGTGTATACTGCCCCACAAAGTCATTTTTAGATGTCTTGTCATAGTCCTCCACCACAAAACGCACCATGGCCAGCTCCGGAGTGTGGATGGTGAAGCGCAGAGTGTCATACCACACAGGATTGAACCCTGCAGAAGGGACAAACCGTTGACAAACCAGTGTCAGCACTCCTGCTGCTAAATCCCAATTGTGTAGAACCAAGCCAAATCTGACATCCATCTATTCATTCATTCATTCATTCATTCCCTCTATCATTTATTTCTACAGGGTCTGGGTCCACAGAATCTCCTGTACCATTGTTCTCGATGTATCTGGTCTCCTGCTTGGCCTGGTCCATAGGAACACCATGAATCTCCACTCTGACCAGAGGATCCACTATAGAATCCTCTTTGATGTTGACTTTGGGCAGCTGCTGACCACTGATCACCTTAAACACAGAAAGAGTGTCCTCAACAGAAAAATGAAATAGCTAATAAACTGGAGGCATAGGCCTACATGTTGTCTTACTTCCTGTGTGGTTCATACCTGTATGGTGAGGACAACAGGCTGGTAGCCGTCCCGTTTTTGGGGCGTCTCAGGGTCAAATCTTTTCTCCGCCTCTTTCATAAAACTGGGCTTTAGGACGTAGCCACAGTTGCCGTTCTGACTAAACAGTCCATCGTTCAGATCCATCCCCTCCCCAGCAGTCTGGTAATTCAACGCAACTGAATGAAAAGGAAAAGAAGATGTACTTTTTTGCTTCTTTTTTTTATTATTTAGATTCACAACCCACTGTTTTTCAGGCACTTTGAGAGAATGAAAATATTATAAAGCTGCAAACTGACACTCAGATATGAACTAAGATATTAAGACTTTAAAAAGATGAGATAGAGCTAGACTTAAAAGCTTGTGGTTTGAGAGGAAAGGTACAGAACAAGCATCGGCAGTTAATGGTAATAACTAGACGGGTATGCTAGCTTGCCAAGGCATGCAAAAGTAAATATAACGTATAATGTTGCCTACAGACCACAGTTCATGTTTAGCGTCAAGGAATTGTGTGGTACAACGTACACAATCTTGGTTTTAGAACAGAGTAAGTGCTACCGATGGTTGTTACGATGTTGTCAAAGAAGGCGGGTTTTGCAGCGAAAGATGAGCATTGACTACGCTGTCCTGACTTCAGTGCTCTAGCATGTTTGGTGTCACTTCAGGATCAAAACTCACATGACTGCCATAAAAAGAATAAAAGGCACATGACATGGACATTATAAAGCAACTACCCTGGTAATATTTTGTTATCATACGTTCGAACTAGTCCTGGAGTAAGGTCCTGTGTGTCCCTTTCTGTTATCCAAACCTATTGGGAGCTGCAGTTGTTTGCTGTATAACCCAGTTCCTTCTCATTTTGTCTTGATTTAAGTTGATAAGAAGGAATTCTTAATGCAAACTGTAACCCAATACAGCATTACTAGTGAAAAAAAATAGTACAGACAGAAATACAAATGATTAAAGGAAGGAGGTCTAAACGCCTGAGATAAAGTCATGTCTGTCTTTCAGTTTCAATCACCAATTTGGCACCCAGCGTTCCACATTTCCTGAGGATTGAAATTGGAGGAATCAGTTCGGAAGCCACTGGGATAAACCCTGGTCAGCTGCCGCGAGTTATGGTGCACAAACTCGGCCCCTGAAATGGAGATAATATCAGAAATATAATTAAAGTCGACAAATAGGGTGTGACTGAAGCCCCTGATACATGTTATTGTGTGTGGATCATAAACACAGTCAAATTTAGTCATTTTCATACTGAAAAGTTCTGAAAACTCTAACCCCTAATTTAGGTATTAATTGTTTCACCTTGACATAACATGTATTAAATTACTGTATCTATCATAAGCTTTACATTTTAATATCTGAGGCAGAGAGGAATGATAAGACTAGACTCACCAGCCTCCCTCAGGTGTTTGCGGGCCTTGGACTCTGTGAAAGAGGCCACCTCATAGAACTTGGAGTGGATGCGAGAGTGTTTGAAGCTACTGAAGTGGACGCTTTTGCAGTAAACAACACAGTCTGACAACTCCTTGGACAGACGTTGCTTTGACCTCTGGAAACAAGAAGACAACAGATAAAAAAGGTAAGACACTGATAAATGCATTTGGTTAATATATGTGGGTAGTTTATAAAGTCATCAGCAACCTTTCCTTAGACATTTTTGAATTTGCAACAAGACAAGACAATGATCAAAAGTATGGTTTCATATTAACATAAAAAGTTAGAAACAGTGTCCATCTACTTTGTCTGTGTTTGAGCACCAAGCATCATCGGTATCATCAAAATGCAAGTTTGTGAGGCAGGACGGGGTAAAAGGGACAGGATAAGAGTCATGAAAGCATTTGTGTTGTTGCCATTTTCCTGTTGCTAACTCTTAATGCTTCTACAAAGCTGTGAAGTGTTGATTTTCCGACAGGGGAAACAGCTAATAGGTGCAACACCAGACTTACTTGAATTGCTGAACAAATCTGAGATGTGGGCAAAGATTCAAAGGCAAAGGTCTGGAAAGAGGATACTAGTCAAGGCCTGTTTTTTTCTGTTCTAGACTTGACAATGTGTGAAAGAGGCATTTAAACCTCTTTGGGCCATTAACACCTTGAAGTCACATGATGCTCATTGAGCTTGACTCTTGAACTGGCTAGTCAACTGATTGTTATTTCAATCGCTCCCACGAGATAGGGTAAACCCTTGTGATGCGAAGGAATCCTGTCATGGATGGAAGCGCTGGGCATATCCAAACCTTGAGACAACCCCCTTTTGAATTGTGTAAGTGATCCTCGACCACAATGCCAAAGAAAAGCAGGTGTGCTGCCAGGGTAGCTTCCATGACTGTAGAGATCAGACCCAAACACTACTATGACAGTGAAACCTGCAGAGCACCTCTGCATGCATGCCTACCTGCTTCCACATGAAAGCCGATCTGGCTGGTCTACCCAGGCTTCAGAGTGTCAACCCCCCCCCCCCCCCGTCTACCAGACAGCAAGACAGCCATCACTCCAGACACCCAAACCATCAGTAGAGGCACCGCCGAGCTCACATCACTGCCAAACTCGATGCTGGCCTCACCTCTGGTGACCGTGCTGACAGGAGTCCCAGTGTGGCATTTCATGCTTCTCAGATGCTTATCAATAAACATGACTTTAAGTGCCCAATGATTCCTTTACACACCTAGTTTGCTGCACTGGACATAGATGCACATTCAACATCAAACATTATCCTCTACAGAGTAACAAATACAAATCCATCCTACGGATGTGAAAAGTAGTAGCATGAGATGGGGCCCTGAGCAGGACTTGTCCCCCATCCCCAACTCTCTCAAATAGTTTCAAAATGAACTTTGCAATGTGCAGAAACATTTTGAACACCTCAATCTACAACTACAGAGCATTTGCATTCTTGACCTGAAAAAATGGAATTCCCTTTGTGTTTATGTATGTGGGATGGGCACCAGAGCGGGCGAGTGGGCAGTGGAACCTAGCTCAGCACCCTCCTATGTCCTTTCTTGATATTTTGTAAGTTTATCTTGTTTATTTATTAGACCTGAAAAGCTAAGACGTGTGTAATGTAGCAAATTATGTTAAGCTCTAAAATCTCTTACAGTGTTGCATATTGTACCCTAAAAGGACCAGCGTGTAGGATTTAGCATCTAGTGGTGAAGTAGCAGATTGCAACAATTTGAATTCAGCTCAGCCTTCCATGCATGTATGCAGTATCTTCAAAACTGACAATTGACCTTTTTGCCAGACAACCTAGCATTTTTTTTTTTTTTTTTTGCCTTTACTTGATAGTGACAGCCAAAGATAGACAGGAAAGGGGGACAGAGAGAGGGGATGACATGCAGCAAAGTATATCATACCATGCATACCATACAAAATATGATAGAAAATTCTGGAAAAAGCTGTTCCTAAATTAACATTGTAACGTGTTTAACATGTATGCCAATTGCATTAACCTTTATGATAAAAAAAATCAAAATTGAAAAAAGGAATTTTAATACTATTTTAAGGCTGACGACCACCCACCTAGAACCGAAGGCTCTGTCTGAGGTTTCTGCCTCTTAAAAGGCAGTTTTTCCTTGCCCTTGTCGCCAAGTGCTTGCTCATGGTGGTACTGTTGGGTCTCTGTAATTAATGTTATAAGGAGTTCGGTCTAGACCTGCTCTATTTGAAAAGTGTCCTGAGATAACTTGTTATGTTATGAATTGGCGCTATACAAATAAAAGTGAATTGAATTGAATTGAATTGAATTGAATTAATATCTCTTACAGTATACAGTACTAGTAAATTTGCCTTCTAAAGACTGCAGTTTCAAAGTTTTGCTAGGTCAAATGGTTGACTAATGGCTACTGACAAATTCCTTATCAGTTTCATTATATATTTATGATGGCTTTAATTATTCGTTTAGTCTTTTAGGAACCTCTCTTTAAATTCAATTTCCAAATGAAATGTATTATGTAACAAAACTACTGTTAATGACACAATATTACATTTAATGACCATGTCTGATGACAAGTTACGTTATTATCATACTGTCAATGGTTACTATTCAAAAAGCCAACATTTAAAGTGTTTTATTTTAATGCATTCAGAAATGTAGCCAAAAAGGCTACACTTGATATTTCATTACTTAGAGACTCTACACTTCAGTATTTACCAACAGAGGTGATTACTGACTGCAATTAGTGCTGTCCAGAGTATCGAGTATCCCATTTTAGAAGAGACTGTACAACCTTCACCTTGTGGAACTTAGCCTAGTTTGGCGTAGTCTGGCTTGTCACGACAGAATGGGAGAAAAAGAAAGCTTGAGATCCTATTGTGCTTCCTTTTTCTGTATCTGTCTTGTCTACTTGAACATTTGTGTACAGTGGTAGAAGATGTGCATTCCCTGTAGTTATGTAATAGCTGATATATCTTTTATAGTTGAAAGGTGTCCAAAGATAAATATTATTTTTCTAAGGCCTGAGTTTTTAAGCTTTAAAATACTTTTTTTCAATGAAGTTCATTTCAGATCTGGATGTCTGGGTTAGAAGACATTGGTGTCATGAGTGGTAGCACAGTGCTGAAGCCTCATTCTCCTCCCTGCCTCTGTCTTTCTCTGCTATCACAGTGTAAACAGATCACCTTATCTAACACCCAGTGTCTGCTCCCTGCCCTTCAATCCTCTGTATTTTTCATGAGGGATGACATAAGTTTATGCAATCCTTTTCCGCTGGATAAAAAGGTGACCAGATTTCTGGGCGTCCCTGAGTGGCTTACAAAACACTCAAGCAAACTGACAACAAAGGAAGGAGAACAAATATCAAGATTATTTTAGTGTATTGTAGTAAATCAGTGGCATAAAATGGTATTAAAATTACAATGATATAGTTTATTGCAATTATTTTTGGTACAATATATCGTCCAACAAAAGCAGTTATCCAGGCTAATTGCACTAACTGTGCTGTAAAACAAAATCGGGAGGTGTGTTGTTAAATGTGTATGTTACTGCAAAAGAAATGACAGATGGTTGAGTCTTTATGTGCAGTTAAATAACAGCAGCAGATTAAAAGAGCTTGTGTAGTCACCACGGAAAGCTTGACAGTGAAAATAACCTGACTGCATGGGAGAAAGACCTGAGAAAACCCGAACTACATGCGCTGCACAGACAATACAAAAGGAATATCCTGTGGAATGTAGTGCAGATACGCACATTACAATCATGACAATCACGGACACAAAAACACAGCATGCATATAATGTCAGAGGTTTAATATGCAGGAGTGAGTATAAAGTATACAGTATAAGTATACAACCACACACTACATTTCTCTTTCACTGGGTGACTATGGTCCCATTTGCTTACTTTATCAGTGCATTCAGGAAATAAATGAATTGATGTGCCAGAAATATCTCTTGCCAAGTTAAGACAAAACTGAGCTGATCGTCTTTGGTGCCCATAATGAAAGACAGAAACTGTAACAATGTTCATGCATCTTGAGCAGGTTAGACTACTGTTGCAGTCCTTTACTCAGGTCTGCCCATTGTCAGTATATAGTAAGTGGACAGAGCTTCCAGTTCTCTACAAACACACTAGTTTCAAGTCTTCTTCAATACAGCGTTATCATTTTGTAAATTATGGTCACATTTAGAGTAAAATAGATGATAAAGCAGGGTATGCTTTAGGACGTGGCTACCCTGTGATTGACCAGTCATTCTCAGTGTGTCCGTCCAGCACAATGCATGAAACTCAGATCAAACTCTCAAACCAAACTAGGCAGTGCTGATCAAATATGAATCAAGATTCTGTTACTACTAAGGACGAGTCGAAACTGTGCAGCCAGTGAGTAGGCTCAACTCCCAATATGTCACCGCCGCTGGCTCCAAAACTCCAACATGTTTACGGCCATAATACCAAACCCAAGGGGTGACGCCGCGATAGATTTACACTTGGGTCCACCCAAGCTTTTAGGCAATAACAACTTGTCCAAAATGTTGTGGGACAAACAGTATGATGGAACTGTGAGGGAGTGTCTGTGGTAGTGGGGGTAACTGTGCTGATGTCAATACATATCATCTCAATCATCATCAATACTAATAATTGAATATAATCTATAATAGTCAGGCAACTGCTCTGCTCTTCAATATCCTATTTCTCGTACAGGTACACACATTCAAACTAGGAACTACCCAGTACAACATCTTCTACTCGAGGCCATCAAAAAGCACTTCCGGAGTGATAGAGGGTACCTTGACATGGGTTTTTAAGGGGGGTCAAATAGGGATTCAAACAGGCAACCTTCCAGTCCATCCCACAGTTGTAAGTCTAGAGATAAAATAAATAACCTGGACTGTGCAGTGAAAGGACTATTCTAACTACCAACTGTACTGTAGTTAACAAGATGCATTTAATCAAAAGGAGTGCATTTATTTTGGGTTAGTCAGCTTAATCTATTAAGCGTTCCATTCACTGAAATCCACTTCCTGATTGGCCTCAGTGTTCCATAATCAATCTAAAAATGACTAAAATAGAGGATCCTGATTCCATATGAGGCTGGCTCATCAGACTGTGTATAATAGGTTGTCTGGGTCAGAGGCCAAAGAGATGTACCAAAGTGTGTTAAACAATCTGACCTACCCTAACCCTGCGGCGTACACTCTCACGGTGGAGGTTGTCTTCGTCAATTTCAGTCACCTCATCTTCATCGCTGAACTCTCCGGTCAGAGAGTCTTCCACCATCCCGTTGAAACTTTCCTCCAGACCGCCAATTTTCTTAGCCTTCAACAGAATCTTTCCCTTAAGATCCTGAAAAGAAGGTCAAACAAAACCCCAGGGTCATCCTTCACATCCAGTTTAATTTAGAAGAAGAATTTATGTAAATGGTAAATGGACTGTACTTAGTATCTTTCTAGTCTTCCGATGACTCAAAGCGCTTTACACAACATGTGACATTTACATATTAACACACTGATGGCAGAGGCTGCCATGTTGAACCGCCAACCTTCTGATTAGAGTATGACCCGCTCTACCTCCAGAGGGGGGGACCCTGGAAAAAAACCCACATATTCTCCACTGCAAGAGAGGAAAATATTGTGGTGTTGAATAATTCAGGGTGCCAGTGTTGCATGTAGACGTAGATCATATGGCCCAGGAGGCTCTGACAGGCTTTGGGGTGAAAGTGAAGGTACCCTCTGGGTGACAGTGAGATAGGGCTGCCAAGCAGAAGCTAACCACTGTTAACACCACCACCACACTACAGTTGCAAACAGCCATGCTGAGATCAGCTTACAACAGATTTTATGACAGGAAACTGATGCAGCTGGTCTTGCAAGATCACATTTGAGAATCCATCTTGCCAAGCTTCAAGCTTGTGTCCAAACCGAAGGTGGTTCAAACCAATCAGTGTCTTATGAGGAACTACTGGCAGCTACAGGGCATCGTTTAACACTAGGTGTGTGAGAAACGACTGTTTGCTCAACAGCAATGCCAGTTGCTAAAGGGGTTAGGAAGCTATACAGCATTCAAAGTAACCTACCAGAAATGTCATCTGGATGACATTGCATTGCATCAATGTCTGTCTGAACATAGCCTTAAACACTGTTTTTACTGTAAAGCCAGCGTGTCCACATAGAGTGGGGTAGGGTTAGGACAACGGACTGTAGTGCTCACCTCAGGAGATGGCAGCCCTATGGGGGCCTTGCCATCTAATGTGCTTTTCAGTAGCTTGTCACCAAGGATGTGGTTGAGGTGTTGGGCCATGACTCTCTGTTGCTCAACACTGCAGTGGTTCTCGATGGACAGGATGACTGGATATTCCGATACCTGGACGGGGGAGAGGAGGAGGCGGAGGGATGGAGGGAGGGAGTAAGTTCGTAATTTAACACTGGAGAGCATTATCATAGGGGAAAGCTAATACGCCTGCTGCCATATACCTGTGGTTTTGCTTGGCTGGCTGAAAGACCAGCAGATGGATGGACAAGGGGTCATGAGGCCACAATATTCAGTTGCAGACAGATGCTCATACACAGCAGGCTCTGACATGCACGTGAACCTGGCAGCTGCTTACTTTGGCATGAGGCTGCACTCTGTGGCAGATGCCTGGCTAGCTCACTTTATTGGGCTTTCAGATTATGTCTTGAATATCATTGCCCAGTTGTACTCCCTCTTATAAATTTACAATGAGATGCTGAGCGATTTGTTGATACAGCTTTACAGGACAATGAAAGCAAAAACAATTGCAATGCCAGCATGAGGGGATTACAAAACATGCTTGGTCTACTTGAAAAGCCACATTCAGACCAGTGTGATCATCTTTCCAGTTGGACTGGAAATCAAGAGTGTTGTTCCAAATAACACTGTCTTCAGAAAGAACTTGAATGACATGTCATCAGAAAGCTATCATACTCAAGAAAGAACAAATTCTGCATATTGCTTAAAGCTTATGATCAAATGTTCTGCTCTGGCAAGGAAGGATTAAAAAAGACCTGAGATGACCAATCTGTGGTTAGATTGAAAGGTCGTCCTCTAATAAATGTTCTAGTTTCAAGCTATGGACAAAAACAAGAACTTTGGACAAGAACTGAAACTGCTTGCTGATAGAAGTTTCAAGCTAACAAGGGTCACAAACATGTCTGAACAAGGCAAGATCCTTGTATTAAAACATCTTGTTGAGATGACTGTTTTGATTGCAGGCTCTTCACTATGTTTGGGGTCCTTTTTTGTTTTTGAATCAAACATAAAGTTGGCATCCACTTAGACACTGTCAGTAATCAACATAGTTAAACAACCAGGCAGGTGATGCTACCTTGAACGCATAGTTTCCCACTGCGTTGACCACATCCTTGAAGAGTATCTTGGAGGTGAAAGTGTGTCCATGGTAGACGATGGGCTCTCCGTTGGCACCATCCCAGCAGTCCACTTCCACACACCGGCAGCCACGACACAGAGCCCTGAGCAGCAAAGACAACCCAATCTTTCACATTCAATCCTTCATTTTTTCATTCAGGGTCACAGGGGGGGTAGAAGTTACACTGGCCCTGAGTTAATGTATTTTGTTAGTAATCAGACTGACGTTTGCATTAATAGATTTGATGAAATAGAATTAATCACTTAAAAAGAATTTGACGTCAGAAATCTTACTTTATTTTATTAATTAATTTTGTAAAACTGATGAAAGGGGGAAGATTAATTCAGAGCAACGTTACAGTAAATCTCATTACCCCTGTGAGGCTCAATGGAGCATAGTAGAGGTAGGGATTTCCGCTAAGGGAAACCCGGAAATTTATGAAATGGTTCAGAAGTGGATTTGGATAGAATCATCTTTTAAATTACTTTAGTTAGAAATGGTTAAGTGACAGGTCTCGGTCCGAATTAAAAGTGTCTTTTTTTCTTTTCTTTTCTAGGCAGATTTATGGATGGACACGTGCAATGGACAGCAAAGATACCACTATTTAAGGATGTGCAAATTAATTTTGTTGCGACACATTTTGCCATCAGTGAGGCACTTATTGCAGTCATTGGAACGTTGCAAAGACATTTCAAGCAGAGCCACATGATATAGCCAGAATAAGCTTAGAAAGTTAACCCAGCAGCCTTACCTGATGTATCCTTCCACACTACTATGTCCTCTAAGCTGGTCCTCCATCAGGTAAGTGTTGTGGGAGGAGGAGATGAAGTAATGGCACAGAGGCTGGCTCATGTCCTGGAAGATGCCCCGGCGCTGTGGGTTGAAGATGGAGCCCTCAGCTGAGCCAAGGTACATCAAGAAACCATCAAATGTCATGGCATTCAGCAGCTTGGCTGGAAATACAGAAGGAAAGTGTCAACCTTCTCACAAAGTGTTGGAATCCAACCCTTAATAGCACATTATCCAATACCAAGGTATGCTTGGTAGGATTTCACAACAACCTTAATTAAATGTCACATAGAATCAGACAAAGGTATAGTAGTATAGGTACAGTATATTCTTCACTGTCCATGTACCTGCATCAGAGGGCTCATAGCGCTCAATGAGCTCCTTGGCATGCTGCTGGATGTCGTCCCCCTCCAGCTGCTCCTCCCTCAGAAAGTCCTCCAAGTCGCTCTGGGATAACTTCTGGCCATCAACCGAGTACTCCTGGAAAACCCTCAGGACATCATCCCGCTGGGTCAACATCTTGTAGAAGAGCACAAACTCGTCGTCCTCCAGTGTACCCGACTGGGACTTATCAGCCATCTGAGAGAAGAGAAGGGAACACACTGTAGCTCTATGGATAGAGGCATCAAAACCCGAGAGGCAGCCTCAAGTTGTCTCAGGAAAATTGCCATAAAAAACACTCTATGTTGAATGCCTGAATCACAAGAATAGCCATAGTTTGTGTTTAGCTCAAAGGCTCTCACTGTGAAGAGACGAAGAGCATGGTGCTCATTCATGTCCACATTCATCATCTTCAGTAAATCTTGCACTTCCTTGAAGTTCATCCTGCCATCGTTGTTCTTGTCTGCCTTCCTGAACCAGTCACCAATCCATCTGGGTACGCCACTTATAAGGAGAGTGTCACATTCAACAGTGGATTAAACACTCGACTGTGTTTCTAAGAGCTTTGAAAGAGATACTCAATGACAACTGACAAGCTGACTGCTCAGGAACACAGCAGAATTGACGTAACAGTAAGTAATGTATATTTACTCACTTCCCAAACAATTGCATTTCAATGTGTATTGACAATGTGTATTGTAACAGAAACATTCTGACTGTATCATAAATCCAAAGGCTCATTTGCCAAGAAGATGCCCTGGGAATCTTTTGGCTGCAGGTTTGCTGCTCAACCTTGTGAGCTACAGGTCTCACCTATGGAAGGAGGTTGTCCTTAATGTGGTATCTCAAGAACTAACCAATGGATTTCCATTGAAATTGGTAAGAATAGTTATGGTCCCCAAAGGATGAATTCCAAATACTTGACCAAAATGCCAATGAAATCCTTGGGTCAGACTCTCAATTTTGGCACAAGATATTAAAAACTGGATGGAATTATTTTTAATGTGCCATGGATTTCTATGAAATAAATGGTATTCATGGTTGTCTGAGGATGAATCCTACTGTTTTTGGTGTGGTGACCCCCTAATGTTTTCTGAAGTGCCACCATCGGGTCAAATGCAGCCTTTATTGAATACTTGATGGGCTTTAGTCTCTTTGTTGTCAGTGTATCATTTTGCTAATGAGCACAACTCCAACCAAACAGGAGGAAAACAGTCAGTGGAAGTGCCTAGTGAAGAGTTCAGTTGGACTGCAAACCAGCAAACACACTGAAGGCATTAACAGCATGTGAATGAAAACACTGAGTGAAAGATACTGGTCTAGTTTCTCTCGCTCCCCCATGTTCTCCAGGTTCTCAATCAGCTTCCTCATGCCTCTGATCCAGGACTGCGCTTCGTCAGCTGACTCAGCCACCAGATCCAGGTTGGCCCTGCGACCACGGAAGACCAGGGTAAAGCATCGGTCAGCTGGGAACTCATCTGCGATGCTGAGCAGCACCTCAGACTGGTGGCCCTCTCGTATAGCCTCCACATCGGTCACTGAAACTAGACACAAAGACCGACATAGGATGAAAAACATAAGATAAAACACACAATTACATCGCTAAGAGGAAGGCTGCGATAATGAGCTTATATGAAAAGAAAAATGGTCAATATGCAAAAAACGATTTCAACAAATAAACGGATAAACAAACCCCCCTGTCCCAAACCAATAGTTTGCTCTAGAGTGATTTGAGAATTTGAGGATAAATAATTGATTTATCAGTTTGATTCTTCTTACTGGTTGAAAACCATGTTGAAAACTATAAATATAATATTAAGGGTGTAAATATCAGGTACCGGAAAATTGGATAAACTGAGTTTATCCATCACTGAATTCTACTATATTGAATGTGGTGATGTCTTGTACTAAACATCTCTATTTGGGTTATCATAATCGCCATGTTGGGCTCAGAGTCTAAGCAGAGAGGTCCATCACATCAGTAAATCATGTGTTCTTACAGGTGGAGTGGGGTTTGCCGGCCTTCTTGGACTTGTACCAGATGGTCATGCAGTCGTCCTGCAGTTTGAAGTAGCGCTGTTTCTTCCAGGTACGAGACTTGATTTTCCTCATTACCGTCCCCACAAGCATGGACTGGAGGTTGTCATCCCCCCGGATGCCTGAAAAGAGGACACCGTTATTATAAAAAAAAATAAAAATAGTATCATTAGATGATACTTTGACTCAAAAGTATGTTTTTAAAGGTCCAGTGTGTAGGATTCTGTGGCATCAAGCGGTTAAGTTGCATTGTTGACTGTAGCTAACTGAACACTGCTCGTGTATTTGACGACCTGGGAATGAAAACGGGTGGTGAAGTGTTTTGCAGAAATTACGTTAAGGCCCTATCTACAGCCGTTGTTTGGTTTGTCCATTCTGGGCAACTGTAGAAACATGGTGGTTAAACATGGCCGACTCCATGGAAAGTGACCTGCTGTGTCGGTAGATATAAATGGCTACTTCTAAGTTAGCGAAAACACAATGATTGCTATATTCAGGTGATTATACACTCATGAAAACATACTTGTAAATATGATATTCCATTTCTGCCAATAGATCCTCCTAAATGTTTCACACTGCACCTTTAATGCAAATTGTACAATGATTTGAACATGAAAATGTTTTATTATACGTACATTTTTATCACCCATCATCAAATTACTATATTTTTCTATTGCACTCCTGAACTTCCTTACAAAAGCTTGTACTCTTTGTGTGTAAAATGAATTTAAAAAAAAATGAAAATAGGATGTCTACTTTGCAAGATATGTTTGAAGCTGTGAGTCATACTTTGAGTCAATATTTAATATTTAAATGTGTATCTTTTGCATGCCTAGGTTTGTTGAAAATCCACCCACAACAATAGAGTAATGTTTTTGCTTAAAGGTGGACAACATTGACCAGACTAGATTTAAAGGTTTATTAAACTGCCCAGAGATTCATTCAGATATTGTTCTGACATGAATAAAAATGGACATCAATTACCTAACATTTTAATGAACTAAACTGGTGGAAAATGTACAGGAACTGCCCTCAGTTTAATATTTTGAAAAGTAAACCATAATCCCACAGCAGGACATAAAAAACGACTTACGGAGGCCACTCCCTGTGGAAGCCATTCGTTGTTGTCTCACACTTCTGCCATCTAGAAAAAGAACAAAGCAGGGAATGCCACACTTGAAGGACAGTTACTGTGATTTCAGTTGGGGACATTTAGTTTACAGTTGCAAGCTTAGGACATTTAGACATGGCGGGGATTTCATCAGCAAAATAATTATTGGTTTTTCTAAGATAACCTCAAAACTTTTGGTCTTTTGATTTTGTCATTTTGTCTTTAACAAGATCTTATACGCAGATAAACCCTTGTTTGACTTTGGCTTTGATTACCAACAGTCCGTGAGATGAGTGTAAGGAATACACCTATCTGGTCCTCTGATGCCAGCTGGATGCCCTGAAACTGTTTACTGTAACATTGGGGAAACCCCTGCAAGTGCCTTAAACCTAGTCAGTAGTACATAGGTTTCAATGATTATGATTAATTCCTTATTTAGACAATATGGTAGATTCACATGTTCTTAAATAAAGCTTAGTATAGAGTGTTGCAAGAATGAGTCCAAAAACCCAGAAATGAGTTAGCATTTCAGCACCTCCAGTTCCCTCTTCTTGAAGATTTTTTAATGGGTTTTTGGTTAGATGCTTGAAATAAAGGCTGTGGTTAACATTAGCTTAAGAGATTTTCAGGTTTTGTTCTACAACATAAAATAATACATTTTGAAGCTTTTAAGTCAGCACGGCAGACACTGAGACTTGCACTCACTGGTCTACTATTACAGCCTCGCTGTGTTTATTATTCTAACTATTCCTACTCAAACTTTCACAACTTGTAGATTTTAGTTACAAGTTTGAATATGTTGGAAGTTTAGTGGTAGTAACGTTGAAGTAATGCAAACACGGTGTAGTTCGGTTATAGCCTAACTAACTAAGTTTTTACTACAAGCGATCACATTCACGTTTTAAAATATCGTGAAAGTGGTGTTCATTTGTGAGGATTTAAGTATCATAAACCTTTGTTTGCCACAGTTCCTGCAATAATACAAAATGTAAAAATACAATTGTTTTTTTGTCAAGGGAACCAGGGCGATGCTGACTTCTGGGTTGGCCTACAAAAATATGTCATCCCTGCAGCACTCCATAGCAAATGGTTTAAGCCCTAACAGAGCCTTTTGCTGCACTAAAGACACCTTAAATATTGTATAGCAAAGACAGTTCTATGTGGATCAGCATATATTCTTTACCTTCATGCTGTTCTAAAGAACTGTTTAGGTATGAGTGAAATGCTCAGGCAGCAATATAGGGACTTTTGTATAGAATCACTCCCTTCAACAAAGACCAAGACCATGTTTTTCTCTGGGAGTATTTGCATTAGGTGCCTACTTAACACAGCACTATAGCAGCCTCATTATTCAGCCCTGCGCTGTGAACGGTGTCAGCGCACAGCTTGCTAAGCTGATCTGGATGCTCTTTTTTGCTGCTCCGTTATTGTTTTCAAGGCATTTTGCGCTGTCCTGCACTTTTTGTTCTGTCTCTATGTTGAGCTCAGTAAGCCAACTAATCTCCCCAAATCCCTGTCATGGTCTCGGCATTCCTTTCACTCATGACCTCAACTAACTCTGTGATGGTCCAACACTTGTCATTTATATCATTCACAATGTTCATTCTTATGTAGAAAATCTGAGCTGTAAAGGATATCATTTCAACAAAACCACTTTTGTTAATCACACAGTATAAAGGCAAAATTAAGTAAAGCCAACACAAAAAAATATGCCACAGTAAATATAAAATAAAACCCACCAAATACACGAGATAGAAAAAGAGAGATGGTTTTAAATTGAATAAAAAGCAGATATGTACACAAGGTTTTGAATTCAGATTCTGTTTCTCTCTCACATGTGGTACATCTACAGAGTTCAACAACTTTAGGACCAGACAGAAAACTACACAACAATGTTGACAATATATTGTGTGCAAGGAAATGTTGATAATGGGCAGTATTTTATTTTGAAAGCAAAATTGTGCTCAATATTTCTACAATTCCTACTTTTACCATCGTCAAACATCCACGCATATTAAAGGTCCAACTATTGCATCAAGTGCATTGAAGTGTCACACTGTCTTTTCCTGTTTTGCAACATACACCTCCCTCACAGCCCTTTATACTTTAAGTAAAATAAGCCAAAGGAAGAAAAAGCAGCATTATTTGTCATTGCGAGGATCTAAAAGGTGGGTCTGACCTGTGGCAGGATCATCTCTGAGTCCCGGTCCGTGCTGCTGGCTGTTGCAGAGCTGGAACAGATCATATGGCCCAGGAGCTGCTGCTGTCCCTCCGCGTGCTGCACTGATGAAAGCCAGCAACAACTGGAGCCAGAGTCAAACTCATTGTGACGCTCACCTGCTCACCCCTCCCCTCCCCTCCTCCCCGTTCCTCTCTCTCCAGATCCTTTTTGCCCTGTTGCCTGATCACCTGTTTGGCCCTATTTAGCATTGCTTTAACTGTTCTCAGAGTTGCATCTTCATTACCTTGGATGAGGAGAGTAGTCAGGTTAAACCCGTCTAAACACAATGATGATGATAAGAGGGATTATTGTTTAGGACTGCTTTAGGAAGAAAGTGAAGTGTGTTGCATACAGTACCACACACCTGGCCCTACATGTGAAGAAAGCTGCCTTCTGATATATTTTGTATGGACTTGAGGTTTATTCTTTAAACTCTATTTAAACACTCTACATGGTTGGGGTGAACGCTTTACTGGAGGGAGGACCTCCACACATCCTGAGCTGTTTATTAGAGGCAGAGCTTCCATCAGTACAGACTTTAGTATAGAGGAGGGCAATCTTCTGATTGTAGATCAAGATCATGATCTACAGCATCCACAACTTACCTCTACTTTTCAGGTGAATTGTAGAGTTTCTGGTATTTAATGTCCTCCTACTTCCGTTTATAAACTTCACATACTCACATACTCATACACATACAAACATAATCTGTGCTACGAACTATTATGTAGCCAACTAGATGGCTATGCTGATGGGAGTATGGGAGGCCACCTGCAGCATCTGAGGTAGATTAAAAACGTATCATTCTAATGTAATGAAAACACAGCAATTCCTATATTCAGGTAATTATACACTAATGAAAACATACCAATGAATATCATATTCCATCTCTGCATGTAGAGCCTCCCAAATGTTACACACTGGACCTTTAATGGTGGAAACTCATAGGCTATTTTGAGTCTATATAGTCTACAGGGCGTTTGAAAATTGAGAAAAAAGATTGTAATTTGATGATCTGTTGAGTTACATATTCAGGTGCACAAGTAGGACTTAATTCTAAATATATTGAAGGTAAATTAAATGAGAATTAGTACATAATATTGGACAACAGGATTCTGTGGAGCAGGACAGTGAATGTTTGTATGTATATATACAGTATGTGTGTGTGAAATTGATTTAAAATAATGAAGAAAGCAACAACAGACCTTTTTCACAGCAGCCATTTTGACATGAAATAGTAGGGTGAACATAGTCAGGGTACTATTGTGCATGTTGCCCCCTGCCACAAAGGCTCTGCTACACTAAATGGAAAGGAACCTTAATTCGTATCATTAGTAACACGTGTTTACCCTACGATTTCATGTTCAAATTCCCACTTCTTCTGAGTACTAACGCAGCACAATCATATCAAAGCTCATGTAATAATTTTAATCAGACAAATTCTCTGTGAATTCAAATATTTACTTAAAATATGCTTTATTGTGCAGTTTAATTTTTTTCAACTCAGTAGAACCCAGTTACTAAATGACTAAACCTGTTACAGTTACATGTATAAACACTTACAGCAACGACCCACTATGGCTGCCATGTTGGCCAAACTGGTGTTTTCCACAAGAGTCTGGCAGCATGTCTGACACTCACTGGCAGAGGATTACAATCAGCCCGTTTCCCCCCCAGATTTGGCCCTGGACCACCTCTCTCCCATCATGCCAGGTGGAGGACCAGCAGAGCTCCACCAGAGAGTCAGCGTGTTTTCTGCCCCAGCTAATGTTACTAAGCCCCGCTCATCAAACTTTGATCAGGCCAGTTTAGCTACAGGCCACGAGGACAGCACACTGGGGGAGAGATTCACTGTCAAATTAACAAACTGCTACCAGCTCACCACTGGAGTCATTACTCACATCACTTATGCACCCGAGAGCTCTCACACATTAGTTTGTATGTTCTGAATTTTAATATTCTCTCTGTGGTCTTCATCCGTGTTCCCTGCTCGGGTTCTGACGGCATTAATAATCCACAGCTTCAGCTCAGCTTCCCGGCTCAAATTACACAGACTGAGCCAAGACTAAAATGGAGGGGCTCCCTCACAATGACCTCCACTGAGGAAAGAAAGAACTACAGTTCCCAGCAGCAACCTCTACAATAGATGACCTGAAGCAATTTACACCACACGTCACAGTGGTTAGTTGATGTAATAGTCCAAAACAAAGTAAAGAGCTGAATAAATGAGTGCAGAAACACAGCGCCACTCCAAAACACCAAATGAGGGAACAGTTCTACCATGTTTTTTTCTGTTTTTTGAGGGAACAGCACCTTTGGACGCTTGTTGAATTTTCCTTCTAATTGACTCTTCCTAAGTCCCTCCCCTTTTTGCTCTGTGTTCCAATAACAGTCGAGCAAGCCTCAGTCAATCTACGCCTTTCCTGTTTTGTTTTTTTTCCACCAGGATGGCGAAATCATGACCCACCCTACTCTGCCTCTGATTGGCTTACCCTGACATTCCCTTACCAATCTCACTCTTCATACTTAAACCTAACCAACCAACCAATGAAAGCAAGAAGACTAGCTAATCCGCTGGAGCTGGTGACAGCATTCATCTGCAAAAAGCTTCTACTCTCCAGAACATTAGCGTACTTTAATACTGAAATATTCCATTAAGATATCTTATCAGTAACACACAGCTACAGGTCATACAGAAGGCCTCACAAACCACCAGCATATTAAATACTTTTAATGGCAATGTATTTGGCAGAGTTACTGCAGCAGAGTGAATGTGCTGAAGCTGTTTTTCGTTGTGCAACAATTTATTGTAGATCTATAAACAGTTGCAGAACACATGGCGAGGCAACAAATGTGAATGTCTCTGATTCATGGCAACGGAAGTGCAGAGGCTCAAGCTGTTCGCTTGCACATCTGAACACGAAAATAATCAGGCAGCAGCCTTTCCTTTGAAAGTCTCTCACAAAAACAGTGCCATCCGTGTGTCCATGATTGAAGGCTCGTCTGATAGGCAGTTTTTGCTGGTGTTCCTCAGGGTCGAGGAGCGGGGGGGGCAGTCACTGTGTGGGGAGAGGGATGCCGCGGGGATCAGTGACCTGACCCTCCTGCAGGTTCTTCACCAGCTGGGCCAGCCAGCGTTTGGTGGTGGTGTCATCCTTCAGGACCTGGGCAAAGGTGGTGTCTTTGAGCTGGTCGGGGAGGCACTGCCTCAGAGCTTCTCTGGCTCTGAAACAAACAAGACACAGACACAGGTAAGGCATGGATACACTGCCCCAACGGTCTCGCTCCCACCAGCACCAAGACATGTTTTTACGTAATCATCACATCATTATGAGTGGGCAATATGATGGCATATACTGTAAAATGATTCAAACGTGTCTACCTAGAGATTTGGCTATACTGTTAAATATGGCAAATGGTTTAAACCAATGATGGATTGATGGCAATATCGGACTTTTACATGATTTTTGCATTAATGGTATTAAAGGTACCTCTCTTTTTCTATAATATTTTCTTTTTGATAGCCTCCCATTCAATAATATATTAATAGAAAAAAATACAAAACACTTCATTTCTATAACAAATTCTAATGCCAAATATAATGATTTAACACTAAATAACACTTACAGTACTAATAACAGTAAAATGCATTTGGACTTGGTATTCTACAATCTCCAGCTTCAAACTTGAACAAATATTCTAATATTTGCTAACCTGAGGAAAGGCTGCTGTCGTCATCATCAGCGGTCTCTCCATCATAGATATAAATGACAAGTCAATATGACACATTGCATCGTGTGTTTCTATCTACGCTCTCCCACTGGTGGGGTCAAGGATGCCCACGCTGCCTGTTGACGTTCTGCTTTCAAGTGCATCCCATGTGTCGCCAGATCTAATGTAAGAAATGTTAACTATCGATTTCAATAGACAGCTCTGGTACTGAAACCGACATCTGTGTTGGGATTCTGACCGGTAGATAATAGCCTTATGGGATTCTACACCCACAGGTGTCGTTTACTTTCTGTTATGTTGAAACACTGATTCTGAGTTATTCTTTCAGTGATAAAAAATACCTGGAGTTGTCAGACAGGCGTAAGTAACAGCGTACTACATGTTTCAGAAGGCGGGCTGACGGCTCTTTGGAGAGCTGGAGGACCATTTTGCCCTGAAACGGAGAAACAGACTGTAAGGCCAAAAGGAAAAAGTGCTCATTAACGTATTACATTTATATAATCATTCAAATATGAGCAACTTACGAGAATCATAGCGACATGGGAGAAGCGCTCATATGTTTGACAGATATACGCCAGCCCTGTGTCATCCAGGAGGATCTTCTGGAGTATGAAGGTTGCAACCTAAAAAACACAATTGTACCACAAGTTGAAGGTGGCCATTACTGACTCAGCTTTTTCTTCTTCTGACATATATCGATAGAGTTAATATGCAATATGCAGAATATGTCCACTCCACTACACTAGATGTATTGGGAAGAATAAAATCGTGTCAGAGTACCGTCTTGGAGAGCTCGCTGCCAGACTCCATGATGCGAAGGCACAAGGGAATGATCTCTGTGGTCAACAGGAAGTTAATCACTTCCTGCTCATCGGTTTTCACCAAAGCACCTACACAGGATTGACGCAAGGAACTCATAAGACTAAACATTTTGAAGACATGAAAGTTACATTTGTAATCAGAAATCAGAATCAGAAATCAGAAATACTTCATTGATTGCCACGGGGAGATTCATTCAGAAAAAAGCTCAATTTGGGAAAAATAATAAGACGAGCAGGAGCAACTGCAACAGGCTGCATGCACGGTCGGCGCATCGGATGTGCAGCCATCAGATATTGACGTGTTTACAAGGAAGATTACACCAAAACATTTAGGTCTGTAATACCATAGCATATGATGGTGAAGTTCAAATACTAATATAATGAATGGCACCAGGTATCCGACAGGAAACCCGCAAAACAGTTGTGGGACGGGTATAAAAAACGTGTTTATATAAATTCACAGGTACGGGCATGGGTGATAATGAACTAAATGTGAGCAGGCACATTAGTTTTAATTTATCATATAGTAATTAGGGGTGCATGATAAATATTGGGGCAGAAAAGTTATTGGCCAATAATGGAACATTTTTATTATTATTAAATTATCAATCTTTGCTCACTATGTCTTAGCCTTTCTTACCCTCAGGTAAGAAACTACAGGTTATGAACTTTTACAAAAAAATGTGAAATTAACCGTTATCTTATTGGTATCGGCCATTAGAAGCAAGTAATTATTGGTTACCATATCAGCCGGGGAAAAAAATCCTTATCTTCCATCTCTAATAGTAATACGGGATATGTTCTGCTGTAGATACTCAACACTGAGTTAGTTCATGATATTATTCTCAATATAATATATTTCAAGAAAAACTATTTTGACTACATATATTCATGACACACTCATGTCAGGTGCATTACACCCAGCTCAGTAGTGTGGATCTGCACAAACCAGAGAACACACACCACTGCAGCATTATCAGCTGTAACTGCCATCAAACTAACGGTATATATATATATAAAGACAACAATACAACAATGGCTGTGGGGAGGAAACGTTGGGAGTGAAATCCTGAAACCAAGTTTTACACTGTTTGCTCATGAGTCATCAGCGGATTGAAGATTACTTACCTATGACACCTAAGCTGGTGAGGCGGAGGTATTCGAATGGCCGTGTTTTGCTCACTGTGTGTAAGAACGGGTAGAGAAAGAGCGGGATGTGTGCAGCCAGGAAAGCTGACCTGTGAATGACAGAACTGCTTTTAGATTTGTGTTTTGATTGACTTCAGTACTGCATGTTTCCTAATTCATAATCAGTCATTATGTACCATGTACTGCTCATATCACTTCAGTTACCTTGTCTCTGGATGGGAGGCCACACACTGGAGGAGTGCAAGAGCGTTACATACTCTATTGGACTGGTGTGCTGTTAGGGTGGGGGGGTTGATTGATGGATAGATGTTGACGATTTCCTAGTAATGACAAGGATGAAAATAGAGATAAAGCCAGGTTCTTTATTTATAATAGAGCTGCAACAATTAATCGACTAATCAAATAGTTGTTTTGAACCATAACTAATATTGTCCAAATTCTCTCATTTCAGCTTCTCGAATGTGAATATTTTCTGGTATCTTTAGCACTCTATGACAGTAAACTAAATGTCTGACAAAACAAGACACTTGAGGATGTCACCTTATGCTTTGGGAAACAGTTGATGACATTTTATGGACCACACAGCTAATCAATTCATCGAGAATTTATAAAAAATAAAATACATTTTATTAAATCTGGTTAATTTCGATGAATATTGCATCAAAAGCATCCGAGTCACTCTCTGTGCTTCTGCTGCCCACCCTGGTGTGACTCTAGCACACGGAACCTGCAGAAAACCGCGCCCTGACTCACCTGTAGCAGGGCAGCTATGGTTCCACAGGAGTGCCACAGCATGGGAGCCAGGTCCGGTACAGACTCCCTCTTCTTGCTGAGCTCCAGGAGGGCATTCTCTCTGGTCTCTGGACTGGACAGCTCATTGATCCACTGGTAGATCTTCTCTCTGTCCACCTGTGCCAGTGCTGTGGTTACAGCCTGAAAGCAATATAGACAATGTAGCACCAGTACAACCTATTCCAAAAGTGATAACTGTAAATGAATATGCAATGCAAAGTGCATTTGATGTGTGCCGAATTAAAGAGTGGTCCAGGTAAGATATTTCTGAACCTGCTTTAAAGACCAACACTGCACACACCTGAAAAAAAGCGAGGCTTTATAAAATGTACAGATTTTCGGATTGAAATCTGAGGGCATTTCTGTGGCAGTTATTGACAATTTCTATGAAGTCAGGTCAATATTGCGACAGTAGTCTTGCTGGATTCAACAGTATTATCTTACAGTCTATCTCAGACATGTAGAAGACAAGAGAGACTACATTTCTGGATTAGCATTATCATTATCGTTGAACTAGCATAAGATAGCCAGGCTAACATGTAGCTAGACATATAGGTTAGCTCATGTTAGCTCATTTAGAAAGTTAATAGTCTATATAAATATCTACTTACTGCTCCGGTAGCCAACATTCTGTGCAGCGCTTGGATTTAATCCAGTAAGGCCTTTTAAAAACCTGTATCACAAATTATAAGTCTTTAAGACAACTGAAACAGAATGACTCTGCTAAAACACAGATATTAGGCTACATTGGTTTCAGTGTTCTGCTAGCTCTGCTGTTCTGCTAACAGCTACAACGCTTCCGGTTTTCTGTTTTCAAATTAAAAGCACAATTAACGTCGACGTACAACTCAAATGTGAAAAACATCTATTTGTTTTCGAAGCAAACTGTGCTTGTTGATCTTTACAAGTTAGACAATCGCATATGCAACTGCCCTTTGAGCTGTTCTGGTGAAATAATTAAAATATCTGAAATTACAAAACGTAGGAAAAACATGTAAATGTATTTTCATGTTTTGTTTTGTTTTGAGTTTAACACTTCAGATTTAGATTTTCAACACAGTCACCAATAAATACAGTAAATATATCAATTTATATTTAACGAATGTAACAGTAGCAGCGCATGACAGTAGCAACCAAAAATAAATTCCCATTAATACAGTTTGTGAGGGGACAATTTTATTACAGCAAATGAAATACATGCACAGAGAAAACTGCTGGCATAGAAAAGGCAGTTTCCGGTTTCCTTGTGCATGTCTGTATGTGTCATGCAATGCATTATGTGTTATCGCACTGTGACTTCTGTGCCTCTCTCTATATATATGGAGTTTATACTAAAGGGATTTTATTTTCAGCACCGATGTTTGTTGACAAAATGTATAAAAAGCAAAATAAAAAGTTCTGGTGTGTGGAGTTGTGACATCTGATGATTCCATATGAGGTCCCTTTGGAGATGAAAGAGAGATAATGTTATTGTTGAACTCAATAATCTTATAATAATTCATATTTTATGTAAGCTGAATTTGAATAGTAGGCCTCCTACTACAGTACATTAAGAAAAAGGCTATTAGGATTTTTAAGTCTTATTTGTCCTCCACACAGGATGATAAATCATCAGTAAGAGATACAGCAAACCCTATCCACAGTATACAAATCACATAAAGGTGTACATAGTAGAATGAAATGGGGGTAAATAGTTCAAAAAGTTCATTTTCTTACGACTTTCTTACTCTGATTATTCTGGTTATACTGGGTTTTGATTTGACACTGACAGCAACAAATCTGTTGACAGTATAGTACAGTATGTTCTTCTCTTCCTCTACATTCTACATCTGAAAAATTAAATGAACAATATCTCCCATCATATCTTGGCCTATTTCAAATGGTTAGCTTGAATGTCTTGAATTGCTCAGATTCAAACAGTTGATGTTAATTTTTTTTTTTTTTTGGGGAAAAAAAAATTTTTTACCCCCCCCTTCCTTTTATTTTAAAGGGGGATGACAAATTAGTGTTAAGATTACATCTAAGTACATATTTTACACATGATCTATATGTGACACCTGGGAATGTTTTATAGTAGATTTAACTCTGACTCTATCGGGGTTATTATTTCAGATGAATAGTCCGGCCCCTTGCTGCCCTCATGTGGATCCTCCAGGAAGCAGTATAGAAGTTGTGTTTTGATTATTCTTTAAAGTCAGTGTTAAGTAAATTCAGTGATTTCTCTCTAAACCCATTATATGCTATGCATGTGGTTTATGTTTACTGTGCCACATCTCAAGTTTTACCTCTGTTCTCCTCACCCTGAATCCAGGAGGAGAGAGGCCAACCGCTGGACCTCTATGTTGCCAATAGTCTGGAGGTCTCTAGCTGTAGAATCATGACAGTGTCCTACACACAGAATCCTTCACTTGCTGATTGTCATTGATTAGAATCGGAATTTTGGGAATTCAGATAAGATGGAAATCACCTGAAATGCAAATGGGATCATGTCTTGTACGTTATAATCCTGAAGGAATGGCTGACTGAGCTAAAGAGCACCATATATTAAACATATAACACTTAGAATAAAATATTACAACACAAATCAACAATAGACAGCATGCTGTAGGGCAGCTGTGTGTTCAGACTTATTATATAAACCTCCTTTATGAAACAAAATTGAAAAATTGATTCACCAAAATAAGCCTGCAACTACTAATCTGGTTTTATGAAACACCTCTCTGGTCTTGAATTTATACTCAAAAAGTCAACAATGGTGTCAAAATATCCACTTCGAATGTAAGGTACAATTTCTTGTATATAATGTGCCACTGTGAATAAAAAACATGTTGTTTTAAATGTATCAGAAAGGTGTAACCTGAAGAAAGGGTTCTTGAGGTCCAGGATGTTTCCAGATCTGAAGCCTGATTGGTCGACTGTGGCTGTGATGTGGATGTCGTAGCTATGCCTGGAATGAGGAAAAGGTAAATGTTTGAAATTGTTTGTTACACTCACAGACTGAAAACAAGCTTCCATGAGAGTTTCCACTAGTTTAACGAACTGATCTGGAAACTGTTCAGAACCAGACATTGGAAGAGATAAGACAGTGCTACAGCAGGCCTGATGGAAGCACAAGTGTACCTGTTGTTAGCGGCCAGCAGGACAGTCCCGGACAGAGTTTGTCCAAGCTTGGCGAAGAGTGGCGTCTGAAGCAAACATCTGACCTGATACCAGCGGGTCAGAGGCTCAGAGGGAGCTGTGGAGAGCCACACTGTTGACCTGCAGGAATAGACAGAGAGACATTATTCTCACACTGACGTCAAGTGGATATTTAATGTTGAGGACATGATTTGAGTCTGAATATAACAGACAAGTTAGAAAAAAGCATCTCAAAGGTTAGCTTGAATGTCTTGAATTGCTCAGATTCAAACAGTTGATCTGGTTAAGCTTTTTATTATTTGTTTGGAGAGACTAATGTATTTCATTCCCCCATGTCTTCCCTGTCACTCAGTATATTTGAAGGGGGTGATCAGGGATGTTACCCTCCTTTTCAGCAAAATGCACCCTCCTTGTTAACCTGCCACCCCCCCTCGCCATCCCCTAGCAGCAGAGAAGATGCAGTGGCAGAGGGGTTGTTTAACAAATTTCCCTACAGGGATCAATAAAAGTTGTTCTTTTTAATCTGTTTGAAGCACCTGGGGACCAACCCCAGTGCCTTGGTCAAGGGACAAAACAGGAGAATTAAAGCTACAGTAGAAAAAAATTATTATTATTATTATTATTATTATTATTAATCTGATTGGTTGTTTTTCGTTCAGGCCCAGTGGATTTTTGCAAATGCCATTAGGAACACTAGGAGAAGCCAGAGGAACCTGATTTTTTCAAAGATTATCTGTCTCATATTCTACTGCCAGGATATAGTGAACGTTTCAGCAAAGCCATGAATAAATCAAAGAAATACCTTATTTCAAACTAAAAGTAAATCTGAGTGGTGTATCTCTTACGTGGATCCCAAATAGGCCACATCGAACCAGAAGGCAAGTCCATGGACCAGACCAGACTGCAGCAGGGTAAACACAAAGGGAATCTCCATTCTGGAAGAATAGGAATCAGTAGGTTTTTCTGTGTTCTGACAAATTATCTTAAATATGTGGACTAAACATCAGAGGTGTGGACTTGAGTCCCATGACTTGGACTCAAGTGAAACTCAAGTTTGATGACTTTTGACTCGACAAAATGAAAAAAGGCTTGAAACTCAACATGGACTTCAACAGCAATGACTCGTGACTTCACTCACTTGACTCAATACCTACCCCCAAAACCACAAATTAGTGAAGACTGAATTATTACCTGTTCTGGACTCAAACTTTAGGAATTGGGACTTGAGTGCAAAGACTTCCAAAACAGTGACCTGCTCTCAGCTAAATATATCCTAGCATTAAAATCACTGCTTGCCTCAGTAATATGTAGCATTTTATCTATTTGTATTCTCTGTTTTTCTTTGCTGCATTTTACTGTTTGTTGTTGCTCCAGTATGGATGACCAAAACCGCAGAAATAAAAAATGTATGAATAAATGACCCAGTAAATAAATATATGTGCCAATAAATGCACCATAACTAATATTAAAAATAGATATAAAGACTAATACATTTTTAATGTTATTTAATTCTTCATTAATTGTTTCTAAATCATTTTTCTGTGTCATGTCTCCCTCTATTTATTTCCCCAAACTTACTTATGTGTCTTCTTTTTACTTTCCTGTATGCATTTCTGCCTAATTAAACAAATGAGTTGGGGGCTGTCATTCAGATGCCCTGCTCTCCCCTAATCAACCATGATCACAGTATGTATCTAACCTGTGTAAGTCTTCTTCTTTAACCTCCATGAAGTTGATGCAGTGCTTGACCGACCTGGCCATCAGGATCTGCACATCGAATGTGTCCTGTAAAGGAAATTAAATAAAGAATAGAATAGAATCTGTCAAGCACAATATAATATTTAAAATAACAACGATAAGAGCTATAAAAATATTCTTTGATGTAACTATTTTTATGGTCTGCTACCATATTGACTACAAGAGGAATTTTCCGCCCTGAGTAATGCCTGTCAGGCTGCAGAGTTCTATGGCTGCCAATCAGCAAGCCATGAAGAATACACATGACTGCTCTTTTAAACCAAACCCAAAGCAATGTTCTGTATGAAAGTATTTTTGCTTCCTTCTGCATTCATTAACACACATTTATTATATTTTATAAAATATTCTGCAGCTTTAGAAATGTTGAGATATCTGCTAGAATGTAAAATAAATTAGCTTGAAGCAATTTTTAACTGTGTAACATGTATTTATACCATAACACGCCAATCTTGTGTCAAGGTTACTGTTGTTGACACGTGCAGTAAATGGAGTTCTGCTACACGTACCACTATAGGCTGCTTGAAAAACTCATCCACTGCAGTACCATGAAGAGCATTCAGGTTAACGCCGTAGAAGCTTCTCTGCTGCCTGGAGAAAGGTGAACACTGAGGTCATTTACACAGTCAGCTAATTGACATTGACATGATTTTATGGTTCCTAACTGAGATGAACAACACACAACCATGGAACAAGTAGTAAATTCAATAGTTTCACATTAGGCAGAACTGTGAAAGGGGTGTAATATTGGATTAAAAGATGTAAAGCTTCTTTATTGGCATAAAGCAATTAGTTAATAAAGTCTGTTCACAGTGTCACTACTAAAAAATTTTGGTGAACAACATCAGTTTATAGTTTACCTTCATTCCTCAAGGCTGACTGAGCCTAACCTCCACATAGTGGTGGAGCAGTGAATGGCACAGAACATGGCAACACACACACATGCTGGTATGCTTGCATACACTTGTGCACAAGCAAACTGCATGACAGAGGTTGTATTGTCTGCCCAAATTTCCCAGAAATACATGAATATAGCCGAATACACCTTCTCATTTGTGGAAATAAAACTACCCCCAAAAAATGTGTTTCTACAGTAGCCCAGAACAGACAGTGTCTAGGTAGGGCTTGTCACGAGTTTTACAACCACCACTCTGCAACTTCACTGCTAGATGCCACTAAATCCTAAACACTTGTTTTTTAAATTAGCTACGTAACTTAAAAGATGCCCACTTTGAGTTTTGGTTTCAAACAGGGCAAAAACAGCAGCTTCCTGGGTAAAAGTCCTGTGTTTGTTTGAGTCATCCACTCACCATCAATTTACGTGTTGGAAGTAAGACCAGGCTGGATGTATACTTTAACACAGAATACAGAATATTCAGACCCCTAGTCTCCAAGGCTGTGCTAGATCTGAACATGGATTACAGAGAAACTCATGAACCAAATCCTCATTTGAAGAATAAAGATCTGGGAAAACACTGAATTTCCTGACAGGAAATCTAAAATATATTTGTGCAAAATATCAGCTTCAACCCTAATGTATCGACCTACAAAAGATCCTATCAGCCAAAACCTTTGCTGCTCTGTATGAGTCAGGACTGGACTGAACCCGAGCGTTTTACACCCAACAGGAAACATGCCTGACTGAGGTCAAGCCCTGTGAACATGTGTGTCTGTGTGAGAGAGACAGAGAGGGGGGAAGAAAGGGAGCCAGTGTGTTTGCGTCCTCATGCATGGATTTATGGTGGTGTATGCGTGTGTGTGTGTGTGTGTGTGTGTGTGTGTGTGTGTGTGTGTGTGTGTGTGTGTGAGTGAGAGAGAGAGAGACCAGAAACTAGCTCGTGCGAAGTGTTCGAAGTAGAGCTGCTCGTCATTGAAGGGAGCCAGATGAATATCACCATAGGAGGGAAACATCAGACCTGGGGGAATTTAATAATGATAGACAGACAGAAAATGAATATAATGAAGCTAAAGTAACAGTGAGAGGCAGACATTAAACATGAGAGATAGAAATAAAGTCACAGACAGACTTTTAGACTGACAAGTGACTTTGGGGGAACAAATTAGCTGTAAGTCCCAAGTCAACCCCATCAAAACCAATGTCAAGAAAAGTCAATACAAACCTGTAACAATTCAAGAAAGATAAGTCAGAAGGTAAGTCCCAAGTCAATACTAACATGCCCCAAGTCAAGGTTGTCCAGTCTCAAGTCAAGTCAAACTAATTTTACCAAGTTAAGTCAAGAAAGGTAAGTCCCAACACGAGACCATCAGGTCCCATGGCAAGATGGGTAAGTCCAAGTAAAATCCCAATACGTCCATGGCAACGGCAGCACATGTAAATATAGCGGCTGACCTGCTACATTTTTTCAGCTTTATTGCTGCAACATCATTGAATGATTTCTGACTGGATTCCATTTTTAAGGGTTATCCAAAATTGTTCAAATCGACTGGATTCGGGAGATTTTGACTATGGCAACAAATGTGCATTCAGATGCTGTGGTCACTTGGCTAGCTACTTCAAACCTCTCTGTTTTTGTTCAGTCTGTTTACTGCTGATACATGTATCACCTATGACAGAAATACCCCAGAGTCAACAGAGAAGGAAGCCTGGGGTTCGGAATAAAGAGCAGCACACTTTGAGAGAATCCACCCGGCCAGACCGGCCGGACCAGCCCACCACAGCGGGTGCTGTCACCCCAGAAAGAGAGGAAGAGAGCAGGGATAGGTGCCTGGCTGGCCCCGGTTTGACTTAAGGCTGCTCCTGGCAGGCCAAACAACGGAAAATCAGAGACTGTTGTGGCCACATTTTTACAGAGACCTGCTCCATTTCTCATCCATTTGTCATGACTTGAGTATTTTATTTATTTATACAATTATTAAAACATGGATTCAACAGTTTCTGGGGGTTTTGTCTACGCCTACCATTGGGTTTGAGCCATTTTCTGGCATGCAAGAAGCTCTCCATGAGTCTGTCACTGAGCAGCATGTAACCCATTGGCTCAGAGACAATGACGTCCACCATATCAGGACAGCTGACCTCCTCCACCTCTCCCTCTAGGACCCTGATCCGCTCAGACAGACAGTTACTCTGGACCAGGATCTGCAAAGGAGACAGAAAACATGTGGTGCATTAAATAATGCACTGTAAAACCACACTATAAAATAATCCAAAGGACCATAGCACATACATTTGCCTTGATGTATACAGAAGGCAGTACATTGTTTTGAATAGAAAGGGTACATCTATCTACCATACAACCAGGCTACAGTTCTGGACAACATCTGGAGAAACAAGTTATTTTTTAAGAAATTTGTTATTTGTGCCATACATTTAACTGGCTTTACATGACCATCTGATTCAAAGCTTTATAATCTGTTGTAGGAACAAAAATGTGTCATGTCAATGCTCTTTCTGATTTTCCTATTTTAGCAACATCTATGAGTTGAGTTGAAGATGTTCTATTAGGAAGATTCACTTTTTCTTCTATTAGTAGGAGGAGCTGCTGGTTGTGTTTTTCCCATTTTGATTTCTTCTTTCAATGATATCCTCAAATTTACTTAATATAGAAAACAAACAAATACTGTAGCAATCCTATAGGTTTATATTGTGGCCACCATTTTTTGTTGATTTCAGCTTTCACTCCCACTGTGATGTGATGTCACTCAGCACCTTTCTACTACATTTCTTCGTTTACAGTACAAATGTTCTACACTTAAAGTTTTAAGTTGTAAGTTATATGTTACATTTTAGTTGCATTTTATATTGGAAATTTTTATATATTTTTTAAATTATTATGTTCTTACTGTTCTACTTGTGTGTTACCTCAGGGAGTCGAGCAAAGTAAGATTTTCATTGCGCGTACTAGCCTTGTGTTTATACTGTACATATGATAATAAACCTCTTGAATCTTTGTTTCTGAGTATCTGGTCACCGTTGCCATGGAGAAGTGATAGTGGCTGAATTCAACTAAAATGTACTCCAAATTTTCAAGTGAATTGATAAAGGCTGCAGATTGTGGTTCATAATCTTTAGCCTCTATCCACCATTAACAGTGTGCATAACAGAAAGTTTAGCTCAGTGGTGGTTTCTTGCTGAAATACATATTGGCAGTTGTAGTTAAATTCTGCCTGCTTTTATTTCCACAGGCTTGGTCCCTGAATGCTCAATATATATATGTAGTCTAGTCTATATATGTCTTTTCAGAATAAGATGTTTGTGTCCACAGCACTGAAAATGCAGTTCAACAGTTGAGTGTCTTTCCAGAAACAATGTTGTGGTTGCTCTGGATAATCCACAGGACACACAGATTTTAGGGGTGTTTCTTCAGAAAGAACGTCCAATAAAAACCATGGACAGTGTATTCTGTCAATTCTCCAGAACAACAGGGACAGTTTTTGGAAAGAGACATCTCAAAACCTGGAAAAGCATATAACTATCAAAATCAATACTATTCCATCTTTTCAAACTTTTCATCTTTTTGTGGTGTAAAGTACAAGATAATCTAATGCTAATAATCAATGTTTAATAAAAGGCAGATATAATCCCCAAATATCGGTCTAGACCAAGTACTGTGTGCATTAGCATCTCTCTGTAGCCCCTATCCCGCTGAACTCTGGGCCAGATGTTGCCGCAACCCATTAACTCCCCAGAATGCCACGCTCTGCATGTGATGTATGTACTCTATGTGTGTGTGTAGTGCGTTGCTGCGGTTTCTCTTTAGGCTCTGTCAAATCCAAAAAACACATAAGATTACTCTCCAAACTCTGCATGTGAACTCACAGTTGGGAGATTCAAATCTTGTTAGTTACAGAGAAACAATGCTTTAATTTCTGCAGAAAAGAAGACCAGTTTAAAAACGGGTGTAAAACAATATGAGGACAAAGATGGAGGATGGAGGCTTCAAATCTACTGACCTGTGTATATTTGGCCATGGGGCTAGACTCAACCGCATACACTCTTGTGGCTCCCGCCTGGACTGCAAAGAAAGACAGAATACCAGAACCACAACACACATCCAGAACCACCTACAGAGACAGGAAGACAAAAGGGAGAACTGGAACTGAAACGTATTAAATACACACACAGAAAAGGATCATTCCAAATTTGTATCATGATTCTTATTTTTTTGAGTTTTAGCCATCCTCTCTGTGTGCTATGATAATGCTGTAATAGTAATATATGTCAGTAATATAGTCAGTCCAAGAAACACAAGAAATCACATAATCAGGTTGTTTTTTAAGGGTTGATAATCTGGTTTGAATCTAACAAAATCAACGTTGACTTATGGTTTCACATGGGAGTCTTTGGCTCTTTGGCAGTGAAAGTTCAGTTAAGTTTGTTTGAGTCATCCATCCACCCTACCTCCTCCAAATGTGGACTTAGTCGCTCTTTATACCCCTGCTGATACTGCACTTTTATACATCTGTGTTCTTTTAACACTGACACAGTATCCGCTGGTGGATCAGTGGGTCTGTTACACACTTTGGCGTGAGGCTGGTCTGATTTTATTATATAAACAGGTTAAAGCCACTGTCTCCACCAAAAGTCTTGAGGAGCTTGTCTCTGTGCTGTCACCTTGTCTCTGAAATCAGCCTCATTGACCAAAATGGCTCTCTGGTAGGTGGTGATCCTCAGGTAGTCCTGAAGCAGGCTCTGCTGCTGGGACACACAGCTGTGGAACTAAACACACACACAACAATGGACAATTTGTATTTCAAGTAATTTGTTTCAAACTTATTTGTTCATCCCTGGCACCTGCAAAGTAAGAATTACCTGGTAGCCCTGTGTAGGGGAATTTTTAGAACTTGTTTCAAATGTAGTGGGATGTCTCCTAGAAGGTGTTTGGACTCTCTCTGCATCCTTGTTTCCTGCCTCATCTCTTTCTGTGCAACCTTTCCTCGTCTCTTCATCATCCCCTCTCTTCAACAACCGCTGGAAGTCCTTCATCTCTGGAGAGCCGAAGAGGACGAGATGTTTTGAAAATTGTTTGAACCCCTGGCACACTTAACCAAACCCCAGGATGATAAACAGTATGAACTTAAGCATCTTGAACATGAACAAACCAGCTGGAGATTTGAATTTCAGCAGAAGACTCAGCTTGCCGACAGTGAAGAGGAAGGACTGACCTCCGACCTGGCAACAGTCCATCTCTTTGGAAACAGTAAATTGGAAGACTGATGCTCTGTTGGCTGAAAACATATTGGTTTAAACCACAGACACAAATACACGACACATTATGTTTGACACCATTAATCTGTCCAAGCTTTAGATTTTTTTTGTATCTTTATGTTAAAGTCATCAATATTACAGTATCTGTGTTAAAGGTACTACCAGACCTGTGGAGCATATTTTTATTGAGTTTTTATCTTGTATATACACACAAGGGCAGTGAAATACACAGTTCCTGCCGATGGCAAAATTACAATAGTGTGCCCGGAAACACAACAATGCACCAGCAAAAGTCAGGGAAGAAGAAAACAAGCAAACATAGACATGGTTCAGAATGCAGCAGCTAGGCTTCTTACTGGTTTTTAACAGACGACATCACATCACACCAATCCTGGCTTCTCTCCACTGGCTCCCTTTTCATTTTAGAATTGATTTTAAGATTTTATTGATCACTTTTAAAGCATGTCTGGGTCTGGCCCCAAGCTACATAGCAGAAATGTTGACCCATAGAGTCAGTTCCCAGCTCTAGACCTATGTTACCATGCGTTTGCACTTATACAGCCTCTGTCCCTGGTATGTTTGTGTGTGTGTGTGTGTGTGTGTGTGTGTGTGTGTGTGTGTGTGTGTGTGTGTGTGTGTGTGTGTGTGTGTGTGTGTGTGTTCTCACCATCCTGCACAGTGAGCTGCTGAGCCTCCTGTCCTGTGTTGAGGAGCACAGTAAGCTCCTGCTCTGCTCTCTCTCTGCCCACACTGACCTGCTGCTCCCTGCTCACCTCCTCCTGGACCCGCACCTCCTTCACAACACAACACACTGGATCATGTCATCAGATCAAACCAAACTACACCACACTGTCTATCCAGAGGTTAATATGGGCAAAGAGGAGGAAGCCTGAAGTATGACAAACAAGAATGATTCTAATAGGCTGAGATGTCTGTCAGTCAGGTAAATAAACACACACACACACACACACAAATAACACTTTTAAAGCCTAAATGTGATTTTGATTAAACAATATTTTTCCAAATCATCACCAAAACAAGCTGTGGAGGTAGGTGTGGTTTACAGTGAGCTGCAGGAGAGAGAGAGAGAGAGAGAGAGAGAGAGAGAGAGAGAGAGAGAGAGAGAGAGAGAGAGAGAGAGGTGTGGGGAAGGCTTGTGAGAGCAGCGCCAGGTGAGCTGATTATCCCAGCTGGTACTCATTGAGTAATCACACTCACCTTAATGCAGTAGTGTGCTGGGCCTGGGAGGGCCGACACACACAGCAGGAAGGACAACTGGAGAAAATCTTTGTGGACTTTTGAAGCAGCCTAAGTGTTGTGTGAATAGTGTGTGTGGCGGAGAAATAAATTAAGTGGTCTGGACTATTATTATTATTATTATTATTATTATTATTAACCTGTGTTGGGGGTTTGTGTGCTGAGAGACTTGCTATACAAACATTAGTGGAAGTAACTGGAATGAGTGCAGGTGCTCCTGCCACAAGTTAGGTTAGTTAATTGCATTATTGGGATAATCGTGAATATCCTCAGTGACTTGAAATAGTTCTCTAACTCGCTAACGTACAGTCTAATATTGATTTCCTGATTTATTTTTGATTTGTCACAAGGGGGAGCCTGCATCCTTCCAAAATCCTAAACCTGTCACCTTGGCTGTAGGCTCGGCTTTCCCATTGTATCCCTACAAAGAAAGTTAAACCCAGTGTGTAGAAACACTACAGATTCCAAACTAAATAAAGTGATTCTCGTATGATTTTGATGATTACGCCATAATATCGTCAACCGCAATTATTTTGGCTAGGATAATCGTGACATGAACACATAACACACATACATTGTGTTTTTTTCCACATTTTTACAAATACTGATCACATAGTCTAAAATGTGGCTATGACAGATAATTAAATGAATTGCCCATTTTTAATACGTTAAAAATTAATCTAAATTAATGCCTTAAATTTGACAGCATTTGACATCAAACTGGCCCCCTTTAGATCCACCCCTGGACGGGCATCCTTCTCGTGTCTCTGCACATACATCATTCTGCACAGTAAAGCTCATATATCACACTGTAGGAACAAGAAGGCGGGAGGGGGACTTTAACACAGCATTTTATGAACCACAGTTTTTGATCCAGTACAGGTTACTCCACCAGAAAGTTTCACATGTAGTAAAATGTATTTCTTGAAAACCATATAAGAAATCAGGTTCCAGCTAATAGCAGGGAATAAACACACTACATATATACATTTATATAACTTCACTTTATACTGCATATAAACACATGCTGCTATTGGCTTAGCGTGGTCTTTTTAACTCAGTCTTTTTTCATTTTGCACCTTTCAGCTCCAACTGCATTAAACCAGAACACACTAGTTACATAGCTGCAGAATAAAGTGCATAAATTAAACCTCAAACCCTGAAACAGCTTTATTTACTTAAAATGCATCTCATAAAGTCACAACCCAGTTAAGAAGAGCAGCGCCCTCTGCAGTCTCCACTGTTACCTCCTCGTGTGTCTCCATGTGCTCCTCCTCAGCCCTCGCCTCCTCCTTCAGAGTGAAGACCCTGACAGAGAAAGCCGACGACTCCTCACCTCTCTCCTCCATTCTGCGATGTGAGAGGAAGCCGCTTGCGGGGAAGAAAGAAAGAGGAGAGAGCAGAGGGGAGGAAGTGGAGAGGAGGGGATGGAGGAAAAGGGGAGGAGAGATGGAGGACAGATTATGAGTGAAAAGAGGGAGAAAAGTGGGGGAAACAAGTTAACACTGGAAGAAACTGAGCAATCTGCAGTATCTCTGTGGAAACATGTTCTTGCTGGACCCAACAATGCTGTGCTATTTTACATTTCCACAGTTGCTTTAATGGATGGTCTTTGGAATTTATTCAAGTGATGTATCCAGTACTTACTTACAACTTAGTTTTTAGTTGACCAGTGAAGATCTGTATGAGTTAGGCTGGCAATCACACAGTTAAGTTTTGCAAGTGTTTGGTCATGAACTAACAAATTCAGATCTTCAGAGGATCACCAAAGTGATTACAATTCATCTTGAATGAGTCTCGAATGTGTGTGGCCAATTTCATGGCAACCCACTCCACAGATGTTGAGACATTTTACTCAAAAACACAGATGCCAGTTTCATGGAGGATGCTCAGTGTCAGGGTTCATCCTCTGGGGACCATGAACTAATCCATTGAATATTCCAGGGTTTACTACAGGGGTGGACGGACAGACTGAAAAGGTACACAAGGCTTTGGTGTAGGTTGGGATCAGTTTTCTGATTGAATTGGTTTTTAAGCTGCAGAAGATTGGCAGACAATCAGTGTGATAAACATGATCAAATTTCCTTTAGAACAAGTCCATGAAGAACACTCTCTTCTTTGTTTCACACTTCATGGGAGGACGTCAGTCAGTTTAAGATAAGAACACTCCCTCTGCTGGGTGTACAGCATCACTGCAAGAACACAGATTAAACATCAATCCATCTAGTTTTACAAAAACAGTAAATTAGATGAGGAACTGTCACCGCCATTTTAAGACTGTATGTCTGTGGTTGTGGCACCATTCTCCCAGTCTGTCAAAAGACATTTGGAAAAAGGTATGTTGTTGCTTCCTTGTTCAAAACCCGTCAATAAAAACATTTAGACACACAAACAAAAAACAGATTCATATCATAGTGATCATAGTTTTCAGTCTGCAGGGTCACTTGCATTAAATTCCCTAAAAATATTCTTCAGTCTTTCTTTTTCCCCACATTCAATTTTGTGTTGATTCTGGCGGCCCCTGTGGACAAAAGTGGTAGTGTTTCTACCACCTAGTTTCATTGATTTCAAGGGGAATGATGAAGTTCTAACAATTTTTTAAATGGATTTTTTGTTTCCAAAAAATAATTAATGATTCAAGTTTTTCTCAAGATGAAAATTAAACTGGCATTGATTATTATGTGCTCATTTAAAAATAGTTTTTCAACTTTTTGTTACAGTGAAGGGGGAAAGAAATAGGACATGGGGAGAAAAAAAATCCATCTCAACTATCACTCTCTCAAGTATACCAACTGTGTTGCTGGATACTATAACACATTCTATTAATATGCATGTACTGTATAATGTCCTTGCTACATGTAGTTCTTGTTAGAGACGAGTTATAATTACAATCCTAAATATATATATATTCTTCTGTTTTTTTAAGCCATGACTTCTAACTCCTCTTTGTATTCTACCTCTACCATGTACAAGCCCTATTTACCTCCTTCTGGCCAGTAACGCCATCGCAGTCCTGTAGGCCACCAAGCAACGCATGTGGTTGCTTTTATTTTATTAACGCCCCCTGCCCATTCAGCCCTCTCTCCCTGAAGCAGTGCAACAAATGGCTGCAGTACTGCGGAGATGAACAGTGGTATCCGCAGGTGCGACTTTTTGACGGCTCCACTACCCGATCAGACCCCTAAAGTCTCTGGAGCAGCCTGGCACCCTCTCCTAGACAGCCAGAACATTACAGGACCACAGTCGACAACCAAAGAAGCGGTGCTGGCTTATAACTCTTTTCTCTCTTCTTAACACTCAGAAACTCTGTGTACACAGTACATTTTTTTTTCCTTTTTCCTTTACCTCTTTAATTAATCTTGTTTCCTCTTCCTCAATTAATTTGGCTTTTCCTTCTTAATATCGATATTATTCCTCTTTATACTGTGAGCTAATAAACTGCATTTAGTTACCTCACCCTGACTTTACTTATGGCTCTTAAGGCTCAGCCAGCTCACTATTACTTTCACACCATGGTAGACAAGGTAAGACAAGACAAACATAATAAACTTACATCAGAATCTGCTCCAGTGATCTTTAGTTGTAGTGCTCTTACTAATTGATAAAATTTAGGTTCAGTAATTTTTCCTATAGGTTATTTTGGACAAGATTAAAGATAATTTCAATTATTTGTCTGATATTGTCACTGATAGATTGACCATGTAAAAAGGAAGACTTTGGAGCCACACATTCTCTGTCCTTTCCTAATTCCCAATTTGCTTTGACCTCAATGGAAAACAGTGTGAGGTCAAGAGTGGTGCTGAGAGAATCTGACTGCATTTAACCAAGGCTTTTTTTAAAAATCAGCTTTATTTATAACATCTGGAAAATAATCCCAATGACAAACTCATTGCTGTACAATTCAAGCAAGGTTTCCTGCCCGTAACAGAAGAAAAATGTTTTCCATTGATACAAACAGTATATTTTACCACCAATTACTCACAGGAAGTAACAGCACAATAGATATTGTAGAAAATAAAAAAAAATAGGTTTGAAATTTTGAAATAATACAATAAGATAAAAGGAATGGAATATAGACACAGTTGAGCGCTTAAAGTAAATAAAAGTAAGGGATTGAGCAAGGGGCTAGAGTATTAGATAGTATAGAGTCTAGAATATTTAGATATAAATATTCCTGACATAGGTCAGTTTTTGTGCCTTAGACTGTAGGGTGGCTGTAGTAAAACAACATCTACTTGTAATATTTTGTTATGATGATAATAGTGTTAGCTACAAATTCGGTTTTCTTGTTCTAAGATTACTCCTAAATTGATAGTTTTAAAAAAGGGATTTGCTTCTGCTTATCTTTCTATCTTTAAAATATAATTGATGTGCTTGCAAATTATATTTTTTCTGTGCTCCAAATCTCCCGTTGCTGGCTCAGGAGTGAGGTATTTACAGAAAAAGTTTCAGAGCAAATGTGTCGACATAAAAACTCTACAACTGTACTCACAATGAGCAGCTTCCCTGTCCCACACACCATACCTACAGCAGACAGGCAGTGACTGCCTGAGCAAAAAGACTTTAATCCCAATGTGGAGGCCAAATTTGTTATTATTTAGTTATAGCCGTTGTGGAAGAGGTTTTATTGTTACGTTTAAATTCTAATGAATCTCACCTCATATGGTCACTGTTTAGTAATTTGCTCTGTAATGGGTTTCAAGCTATTGCTCACTATGCTTACTACTGCATGTATCATTACATTTAAAAGGACCACAGTGAAGGATTTAGTGACATCTAGTGGTAAAGTTGCATATTGCAATCTACGGAATGCCACTAGCCTTCCAAGTGCTCAGGAGAAACTATGTTGAAAACCCCTATCTAGAGCCACTGTTTGGTTTGTCCATTCTGGGCTACTATAGAAATATGGCTGTTCAACAAGGCAGACCCGCTCTCTGTAGATAAAAACAGGAATTTCTTATTTTCAGTGATTATACACTAATGAAAACCATTTCTGACAATAGATCCTCCTAATTATTATACACTAGAAGGACACACGTGAGACTGGTATTGATATTGTCACTTAACTTTTGGCAAGAAATCAGTCTATTGCTAAGTTTGAATTAGCTTTCCATTTCAGCTCTTGGGGTTTGTTCCATGAGGGTCCTTATGTCCAACAGTGCACCTTCCACGGCTTGGAGCAGGTGTGCTGCATAATCTTCTCTCTGGGTCTTTTTGAAACTGGACACTGTCAAGTCAATGTTATCGTTCAGAATACCGTAGTACACATTGTCTACATCTGGTTCTTCAGGGCCAAGACATGGCTTACATCCAGTCCTGGATGTTACCTTGTGAACAAGGGCAGAAGTGAGAAAGCTATGGTTAGTTCCAGTTGTAACACTGAGGCCTCTGATATGCGTTTCTGTGAGTTGATCTTCCATCATCATTTTAACCACATTCTTTTCCTGTTATATTGACATTTTAAATGTTGTTTTGTTATATATTTGACTTCATGCTGTTCTGCAGGGCAGGAGCAAAATGAGAAAAATATGAGAATATTTAACCATTTTATTCTTCAGTTGCAACATAGCAGTATTTTCTTTTCATTTTACCTGATTTGTGATGAGTTTGAAGTCAAAGGCTTTACTGTAGGAAGTGTCTGTGAAGATATCAGGCATGGGGATTTCTTCTTCGACAGCCTGCATCCTCAGACCCAAGAGATGTCCTTGTACGGACTGTCCACTGACTCCCTGTTAGGATGGAGACAATTCAATTTGTTTGGTGGGATAGTATAAAAAGACAACTGTGATAACAGAGTGTGTTGTGGTGCTGTGAATGATACTCACCATGAGCGTGATCATTCTGTGTGTGTTTATAGCTTTCTCCAATAAATCCATCTTCTCTGAGTTCTGTACAAAAAGAATGTTAAAACTCATCATTTGTAGCCTGATTGTGTTTGTTTGTGTGACAGCTGATCTAAAAAGGAGCCATATTGCTGATGTAAACACATTTTTCCAGCTGATCCATAAAAAAATGCATGACCACCTGTGCAAAATACTGATTTGAGCTCAGATAGAAATAAAATAGAAGAATCAGCATCAGTGGTCAGTAAATGATCTTTGCTTTGGCAGTGAAGGAAACCTGATCTTGGCTTCTCAAAGATATTGTGATTATTGAAAATATGAGAAGCCAGCTCATTACATGGAGCTATATTATGTAAGTTTCCTTTTCATCAAACCTGTTTTTTGTGGTCATCAAAGGCCATGACAAAGGCAGCAGCGGCACTCGTGCTTGAATTCATTAGTGCCAAACGGCCCTCTCTGAACATGCGCAGGGTCATAGGTTCCATCGTTGGACATAGCTGCTGGTTCAACCTGAAAAAAAGAAAGGGAAGAGTGGTTTTCAACAACCCCAATGTTCCAACAGAGAGAATTAAATGAGTTATTCTTGTGTTTTTAACATCATCACTTGTGTGATGTTATACTGTGTTGACAAATTTGAAAAATGTTATATCTGTTTTACAGTTATCATTGAAGAGGTGGCTGTTAAAATATATATTTAAATAATTAAATTCATATCATAAATGTACAACGGCTAGTCAAATAGGAAAATCTTTAGTTTTGGGCTGCCCTAATGTGACCATTTCGCAGATAACCTGAGAGCTTTTGAACAATCAGTTTGATCTCAGTTAATGGACAATGTCCGTCTGTGTGATCAAGGTTTTTTACTTGAAACCTTTGCATATATCTCTTGGTTTACAATAAAAAAAACTATGGCGACTTTTCAACACCTTACCTGTAGTAGGCCAGCTGTATTGCCATCTGTACGAAACCATCCGGGCTCATCTTGTGGTTCTTTATGACTTTCTTCCCAAAATGGTCAAATACCTTAACCTTCACATCCAGGTTTTGGGCCAGCCTGTAGTGGTAGGGATGGCAGAAATTGGGACATTGAGAACTTTTTTGTGTAGCACTGATTATGTTGTTATCATGGTGCCTGGCAAGTAAAAAAAATTTCCTCAAAGCTTTGTTAGATGCAGAAAAAGAAGCAGCCGAGCTACTGTAGCTCACAATGCTGAAAAGGTTGATGCTAGTTCTGATAGAAAGGTGACAGAATACACAGTGCATTGCAGTTTTTTGCATATGGGACTGCATAACATTATGACCACCAGGGTGCCCAGGTGGTCATAGGATTCTGGTTGCTGTGATAATTCTAGCTTCAATTCTCTGACCAGTGGTCTTAAGTGTTATCACTTTTTAGTATCGGCTCAGTTCGCTTTGAACTTCTGCCGATGTGAAGAAGAACAGTTCCAAAATGAGGCACTGGGTCACATTTGAAGTCCATGATGTGCAGTCTGTGCATTTTAAGTGTGAAAAGGAGTTGCGGCTTCATGTAGCTGTTCTCACATGTCCATGTGCTGCTTGGCGTCCTCAATGTCCTTCTTTATCTCAGGTGTGATGTTGAAGTGTAGTTTCTTGGGCATGGGCAAAGGCTCCATATTAGTCTCCCTCTGTATCTCTATCTTGTCCCTGTTTTTACATGCAAGAGAACAGAAATGATACATAGATGAAACAAAGGGAATTTAATTAAAAACCAAAGTGAACTGATTCATTAAATACCACTACCCACACCCATCTGACAGCCGGGCCTAAAATAACTGACTCATCAAACAACATCTGCATTGTAGGTCCTGTAGACTGGTGTGGGACAATGTTCAAGTAAATCACATACTACTGTCTTTGCTGAAGAAGCCATGGGTTCAATTCCAGCTTGTGGCCTTTGCTGCTTGAGCTGTCCTATCAAATAAATAATATTTTATATGCCCTCAACAAACTGTAGCAATAACCACAAAAGCCACATGGACAATCTCAGTTAGAGCTGCTGATCACAGCTGATTGTAAAAAAAACCCATTGTCATTGTTGGTATTTACTATGTCACTCTTTCATTCAGCCTTGATGAATATTGATGGCCAAACTACGCCATCTTTCACTAGTTGAAACAGCAAAAAACCTACACTGACAAAAGCTTAGTTATTTTTGGTCTACTTACCGTTGTTCAACAAGTATATCAGTGAAGGACAGTATGATTGTACCATCAACAAGGGCATGAGAGTTGTTCATACCCACTGTCCCATCTTGTCCAACAATAGCCTGAAAAAAGATAAATAGAAAACAAACATTAGCATTACATTCCGACTCATAAGGAGCCATTAAAAGCTAATGAGTAAGTTTAATAGTAATGTAAGTTTAGTCCCTCAAAGTCTCAAAAGTCAATTTCCGGAGTGAGATTGTGCCAATTGCGGAATGTTTCTGTTGATGGCGTCTGATCTTTGCAAATGGTAGATGGACTGTAGTTATAAAGCGCCTTTCTAGTCTTTCAGTCTCGACCACTCAATTTGTTGTACACTACATGCCACGCTCATACACTAATGGTAGTGGCTGCCATGCACGGTGCCAACTGCTCACCAGAACGGAAACTTAGCATTCACACACAGTCACAGGGAGCAATTTGGGGTTCAGTATCTTGCTCAAGGACACTTTCACATGCAGCAAGATGAGCAGGGGATCGAACTGCCAACCTTCCGATTAGTGGATAACCAACTCTACCTCTGATTCACCCATATCATGTGCACGTCTGGTTTTTATGTGTGTGGGGTGTGAAACTAGACCAGAATTTCCAGCTGGATAAGATCATGAACAAAAAAAACACAATTTCTTATTCAAGAATTTAAATACAACTTTCAATACAGAAACAAAACAAAGAAAAATGTAGGAAATCAACTACAAAATACAACAAAAAGACAATTATTCCAACAATAATTAACAACGTTGAAACTATCCAGGATCCACAAGAAATAAATACAGCTTTTCAAAACAACCACCAATAGTCATCCAGCCATGAACCTATTCCATCAGAAATAGAATCGGAAGGCTTGAAAAAACATATAAATTTTTTGGGGGGGGGTTTACTGACAAAAGCAATGTGCAGCCACATGGATACAAATAAAAATAAGGATGAGACCCAATGTTTATATCACCTGCGTCCCCTTGTCAAACCAGCGGTTCCCACTGTTCCACTGGCTGCCTCCTCCATGCAACATCTGGTGAACAAGGCTGCTCTCATCAGACCGGTTGGGTACCGCTCCATCCAAACACAAAGTAAACATGCTTGTTTCGATAGTTGACACCGATTCCTGGTTGGTCTTATCTAAACATATAAAAAAACATGACCATGGAGTAAACATCACACTGTAACAGTTTAACAAATGAATCAATTTTCACTTCATCAACTTCAGTTGTTATTCACAAGTGTTCTTTATGTATGTTTACACAATTTTATGTTTAATTATTTAATTAATTTAACAGCTAGAGTTGCATATCTGTGTTTAATTGACAGTTGTTGCGAGCAGTGGTATTGTAGACTAAGTACCACAGCAGACTGATCTAATATTTGCAGGTATGTTTACATCAGAGCATGTTGGTGGAGCACGAGCAAGCAGAGCACTTGCGTGGGAAGATTTTGAATGTCCCCTGCACTTTTTCTAAAGACCGTTTTGGTCCCCTGCAGTTTTTACCGTCCAAAAACAATGTTACGCTATAGTAAACAGAGACCCGTCAAGCACTAGGATAAACGGAAAACGGCCGCTCAAGCTGAAGCCTGTTTCCCTTTGTTTAGACCGCCCACAAGCTCCTCGATTGGCTCTGCCGTTTCTTGTGTGATTGGCCGTCCCCGCTGTCACTCCATCTTGCTTGCACACGGGTCTGCTAGTTGCCCAGGAGTCCTTAATAATCTGCCACTGTAAATTGGGCGTTTATTGTGCCTGGGTCACGTCAGCTAGAAGGATTGTAATATCAGAGGTTTCATTTACATTAATGTTTGAATCGGTGTCCATGTGCGTATGTGCGTGCCAGCGTGCGTGTGTGTATGTGTGTTTGGTAATTAGGCGCAGCCAGGATGTCTAAAAAAAGAAAAGTGGACATAAGAGACTTCTTTAGAAGTCAAAGTGTAAGTTACTCAAAGAAATGTGTTACACCCATCCTGCAACACCTTCACTGGCTCCCAATAAAGCAGCATATCCGCTATGTAAATGAGGTCTGTTTACCATATATTCCAAAAATAAGTGTAAAATTGGTGGAGTTGGAGTGAAGTTGACTAACAAGGTGAAACACATAATTGGGTGATAATGTTTTGCTACATGCTTTACAACCAGTAAAACTAAAAAAGTCAACAGTAACCTTAAAAGTAGCAATAGAAAAGTAGAACTACTAGAAAACACAGTGAACTGAAAGAGTTAGAGTTTTATTAAAAAATACTTGTGTCCCCCCCACCTCTGAAATCAAAATTTCGTCCTCGTCTCCAGCATCCCACTGCACACACACTGGTATGCATATGCCTATCCCTGGTCTCAGATCATTTCCATTCATTATCAATTTGTGCGCAGTCTGGCTGACGAGGCAGACGACCACCCACCTAGAGCCGGGGTCTGTCCTAGGTTTCTGCCTCTTAAAAGGACGTTTTTCCTTGCCGCTGTCGCCAAGTGCTTGCTCATGGTGGGAATTGTTGGGTCATAACATAAATGTTAACATAAATAACATGAATAATGTTATAAGTAGTTCGGTCTAGACCTGCTCTATTTGAAAAGTGTCCGGAGATAACTTCGGTTATGAATTGGCGCTATACAAATAAAATTGAATTGAATTGTTTATATGACAGTGTATTTTTCTGCGCTGGTCAGTAAGCGATTCTGCTCCTCTGCTCTTTTATAAATTACACATACAGCTGGTCTTTATGATGAACTCTGAACTGAAAATGACGTGTTCATGGATAAGTGGGGTGTTACTTATTCTGCAGCAATTAAGAAGGACAATCTTGTGATAACTTGCAGGGGGGGGGTCTATTCTCCTGCTGCCCATCTGCGTCTGGGTGTCCCTGACATGACACATACAGGTGTATCATTCAGCGTACACAGGGGTTAAGCTAAATGTAAAATACAATGCAGCTTTTTTGTGAGTTGTGCTCACCCTTTATGAGGTTGGTGTAGACTTTAAACCATATATCACGATGCTGAGTAGTGAGGATACCGACAGGGTCCGTGTTGGTCTCTAGTGAGGAGTTGCGGATCCTCTTCAGCTGAACATAGAGCTGATCAGTTGTCAGAGGCATCCCATCACTGTTGTACGCATCCATCGTAAAGAACTGCATACAAGAGGAGGACACACATGAAAGCACAACTTGATTACCAACAGGGACATGCAAAGGTCCCCAAGGCCTCAAGTTGTCTTTGTGGTTAAATAATCAAAACTAATGAAGTGAATAAATAATACATCTAGCAAACTGTTGTTCACTTAAGAGTTATTTTTGGCAGAAATGGCCAGTGTAAGCAGGAACCCCATCCATCCAGGTTAAGGAATTAAAAATAACACAATTCTTTTTAACTTGGTAATTTATGGCTTAAACTAGGTTATCGAAGGTTTCTAAGTGTACATTTTCAGAAATAATGCAGAGGAAGAAAACTACAACAGAAACTGTTGTCTGAAAGAAAAGATCAAGCTTTGTGCAGATAAGTTTAACTGCTCCTGCTTCGTCTTTGAACCAGTCAGTTGAGGTGGTTCAGAATCAGAATTTAGAGATGACAGGAAACGAGGAGAAAGATAGATTGTCAAAGACAAAGTGGGGATGTTGTAGTTTGACTTGGACCAGAAGCTCTTACGTGACCATTGTGTGCAACAGTGAAGTGTTTCGGCGGGTTGGCGCTTTTGCCCCAGAACGCCAGTGAGTCTGTCTTCGGACCAGGGATACGGCAGGATGACATCAGATTGTCGAAGTCCTTCATACACAGTGGCCTTCCTGCGATGTAGTCAACTGGTAGGGTCCCACTGTAAAACGTCAACGTCTAATTTTATAACTTATTCTGTTTTTTTTATAATTGATAAGCTTTAGCTGAAAACAATGTCTATTTTCTGCTGCACAAGTCATATTTATCATTACCTGTGTCACTGAAGCTGTTCACATGATAAAGATTGTGTGTGGGAAACGGAGAACATTTGAAGCTCAGTACTCACTTGTCAATCCTTGTCTTGATCTCCAATAGTGCCGCTGTGAATCTGGAACCCCACCTAAACAGAGAAAACATGTTTATTTATTTAAATCTTGAAGAGGAAATGTAGTATTGTGCTTCCAGATTACAGACGCTAAAATATCTTTGAATTATGTCTTAATTTTTTATCTCTCGTGTGGATCAATATCCATTAATATTCTATTAATAGTTGCAACCCACCCGCATCAAAGCAGCACGGGCAGATCAACATTGTGGCACTAGGCCAGAAGTCAACTATTAAGAGGTAGATTAGAGGATATTTTAAATCAGGGAAATGCACCGTTTTGAATGCTTTTAGGGTCAAAATACACAGGTCAACAACATATGGCAGGAAACACACTCTGAAAACAGTCCACTTCTGAAATACTCTACTCTGTGTCCAGTGGAATTTTGGGAGACATATTTGAAGGAAATCACTGAGAAGCAAAAATAATGTCATCTCAAAAATAAAATACATGTCATGGGGTGGAAGTACTGGTTTGCAAGTCTTTAATGTGTTTTTACTTTTTTATTGTAATTTTATACCTTTTATTGGATGTTTTTATATTGTGTTTATGCTTGATTTTACATTTTGGTTTTATAACATTGTGGTTTTATGCATGCTTTTAAGTTGACATCTGAGTTTATGTAAACGTACTTCTCCCAGACACTCAGTGGGCTAATCACTCGATAAACTGCATCCGGCCAGTTCTGAGTTTCTTTACAGACAGCACAATCCACCAGTGGCAGATGAGAGCTGGGCCCTGTTTTTAACTGAACACCTGTGTCTGTATCTCCTTGGCTATCCACAGTCCTGCTCACCACCCAAGTTTACTCTCTTTGAGAAAAAACTCCTTCCCTTTTATCCTCTTATATTATTCTTAAATTATCATCCTTTTCGCCACATCACACATATCAAACAACATAGCAAACAATATTTGTGCGGTTATGTATTGGTCTTTTACTGTTCTCATAATACAGTGTACAGTGTAATACAGCGTACAGTGTAATAATACAGTGTTGCTGCCAGTTCTCTTGTTTGTTTGCAGTTCTGGCACAAAACTCTTGCATGTTTTTTTCCCCCGGTGTCACCATTGGGCAGGGATTTTTTGAGTGACAGCTCAGTGCCTCAGTCTAGTCGCGGTTTCAGTTATGCCGTCAGTAAATTTACAAGTAGTGTATCTTTGTAAATCAATGATCAAATAAAAAAAACATCTCTGTTGAAGTTACAGTGAGGCGTGAGGTTTCCTTAATGTTTACATCTATCAATATCAATAATTTAATGTTGGGGTTAAGGGAAAAGTCAAGTAAATAAACAACTTTTTAGGTCAGGGTTTTGCTTGCTTATCCAAAAAGTGACAAGACAACCCACAAAACTTTGATGACTTGTGATGTAAGGAATAAGGACACTCTTATTCTAAGCAAAGTCCAGGAAACTGAGTTGTCACTCAAAAATTAGCCAATTAGCCAATGGGGATGCACCCCTGGGGAAAACCTGCCCATGTGAGAAGTTTGTGTCAGTCAAAGCCAATAGTGAGGGCAGTCTGATCTGTGAGAAAGAAACATAACTGAACTGTAGAAGGACATATTATGAAAACAGTAAAAGACCAGTAGTTCACTCAGTCACACACGCACAGTGGAGAACCATCAACTGGACAACAACCTGGATCTGTTCTACTGTAAGTTTGATAAGCCAATACTCATGTGTTTCTGGTACCAGAGATTGTGTGTGAGTGTATGCGTTTACCATGTCTGTTCCATATTTATATCCCTTATCGCTTTTTTGCGGACGAGTCCCCCAGGGTTGGAAAAAATGACCAAAGGCTTCCGTTTGTCGAGATAATCAGCCTTCTTGTAAAAGTCTGTTAACTACAAACAATAAGTGACAGACAGATACACACAAACAGAGTTAATTAATAAGACAGAATTGGTAGGCCTACAGATTGTAATATCAAAAGCGTATAAGGAATAAACAATGTCAAATGGTGTTTAAGTGTGGTTGAAGCAAAACATTGAGTAAAAATCAATAGTATGATTTATTTTCTAAACTTGGAGATCTTGTGTTTATGAGCTCTCATTCAGAATGTGTCTAACGGTCCCAGCAGTTGAATGCACAATGACGCTACGAGCTAAATAAATGTGTGAGCTCACTCCCATTGTCTCAGTAAATGTGTCTATAGCGTTTGGTGTACTTGTTGAGCTCACCCAGTTCTCTGTGCTACGTGCCCTTCTCTCCAGGCCTCTCTGCAGTCTCTCTCCGACGCCTCCTGGTTTCTGAAAGTCCGCCACCACCTTTTTTGTTTGATTCAACTGTTCTGGCTCCACAACGGTCTCAACGATGCTGAGGTAGTGATCACAGGTTTGATCCAGAGGGGGTACAGGCTGGCTGGGCACTCCCTGCTGCTGGGTCAGGTTTCTGCCAGCAACCAGAGTTGCTGATACAGGTTTCATCAAGTGACAGGGCTTCACCATCCCCACCTTTACCTGACAGATACAAGAATGTACTAAAATACATGTATGTTATATCCCTGCCTCTGGCTGTTTTGTAATGGTTGTGTTTTTGTTACTGGAATCAATTCATTGCAAGGTTGTAGAATGAAATTCAGATACAGTTCACATCTGTGCACATCCCATGTCAGATGTTTCCAGTCAGGATGCTTTGTATTACTCTACTCTACTTGACAGCTTTACTTTCTTAAGTTACCTTAAGAGATACTTTTGTTTCTGTGCTCTATTAACCAGGTTGAAGATGTGAGATGACCAAGACAGGTTTTTTGTGATGTTGATTCCCAGGGACCTAAAACTGTTCACCTTCTCCTTACAAACTATACCTGTCATGCCAATAACCCTGAGATAATGACAGCGTTTTTTCTAGAAGTGTAAGTCTTTACTTAATTTCTTTAGTTCAGTGACCATAAATGAAGGTTTCATTTGGAAAATGTTTCACACTCAAGAGAACATCAATCAAGCTAGTGTTGGTTTGGTTTATTCATTTTAAGAATGGTGCTCATGTTTTTGCAAATTCACTCGTATTACAGTATATTCTGTAAGCAGCAGACTAAGATGGCTGAAGGAGGTGGGAAATCCTTGTTATGTAAAACTGTTTTATCTTATTCTCATGAATTCATTAAATTTAACAGAAGAATTAAGGAGGTCAAGAACCAGTGAAATACTTATATAAAATATAAAAACAGTTACTAAAAAAGAAATATATAAGAATAGAGGTAAGAAACATTTGTTTTATACAAGGATTAACAAATATTTGTACCAACACGATATTATCTTGCTATTTTAATTCAGTTAGCTACATTATGGACATTGTAAACAGACAGAATTAATTGAAGGTTTGTTACTCACCAGAGCTCTGCCGCCAAATCTCAACATTGTGCTTTCAGAGAAACTCCCACAGAAGCTAATGAAATGTGTTTTAGGGATACAGACTGGTAATGTCCACTCCTCTGCTGCCACTGGTCACTCAGAGAAACATCTGACACCAACATAAAATAAAGCCTGCTGAAGGCCAGTTTGTTGTGGAGTCTAATCATGTGACAAACTGTCAAAACTCCTCCTAAAGTAAATTTGCCTTTCACATTTTATTTGTCAACATTGTTTGTCTGACCTTATACTGACAAACACACACTGTCAGCCTCTGCAGAAGATTATAAATTTCACCAAAAACTGATGTCTTTTATTAAGATGATCATTGTACATTTACCTCTTTATATTAATCGCAATTTAAGAAAATATAGATTAAATAATAACAGTCTAAACCAGAAGGCTGCTTTGTGTTAGCTAGCTAGGCTACAAAGTTCCCTAACTTACTGCTATAGTCTCTAAAAGTAGAACAGGAGCCAGAACCTTCAGGTACCAAGCTCCTCTCCTGTGGAACCAGCTTCCAGTTGTGGTTCTGGAGGCAGACACCCTCTCCACATTCAAGAGAAGTCGGTTCGGTCTAGAACTGCTGTATTCGGTCTAGACCTGCTCTATTTGAAAAGTGTCCTGAGATAACTTCTGTTATGAATTGCCGCTTAATTAAATAGTCTAGTTTAAATCTATAGCTTCAATATTTTAATGTGTAATAAATAATAACAAGAAAAAACAATAAATAACACCTTTATTATATATAACAACTTGAGTACAGACATTTCTTTTACTGTCAGCCTAGCCTAACTTTAACGTTACTTCAAGTAAACTGTAAGTTCACTTTAAGTTGTTTTCCCCCTTCTATTGGACTTCTACCTTCAAATAGTGAGTGAATGAAAACAGATAAATCATATGTCATATTTTTTTTTTTACTTTTGGATGGACCTCTTCAACAGGTATCACAAGCAGTGTGCACAGAGTGCAAGCAAACAAATGGTCTCCATGGAAACTGTGGACCTTTGCTGCTGTAAAATCTCTTTCAATGCAGTAAATGCCTTAACTTTGAAGGGATTAATTAAGTCCCTCATTTAAGGGCTGGGGAAGCCTTAAGTATCAAACTTAAGGTGAAAACTTCAGGAATTTTGTGCAACCGGCCCCTGAGACTTGGACTCAAGTCCAGCTCAAGTCTTCAGACAGCAGAACCAGCTATGTGTGATGTACCACTGATATCTTCAATTAAAGAGTGTTCAGTTAACATCATATTTAACTGTGTCTATATTTACTCTCTCTCTTCTTCTGGATAAGGAGTTGCAGAAGTGGCCCCAAGGCTTTTGGAGCCCTGTGCCGGATGTGAACTCCCTTTTCCCCTCCCCTGTATGTGTGCATAAACAAACTTCTCAAACATGGTGTAGTGAAGAATAACTCCACAAACTTGCAAAACATTTAAAGAAACAGCTTTAGTTCTAAAAATGCAGAGAACAAGCTTCAACACTCATTTTAGTGTATACACGTTTAAGTAATGCAACAAAACGCTGGCGAATCTGGTTCCCTACAATTCAATTCAATTCAATTTTATTTGTATAGCGCCAACTCATAACAGAAGTTATCTCAGGACACTTTTCAAATAGAGCAGGTCTAGACCGAACTCTTTAAAACATTATTTACAGAGACCCAACAGTACCACCATGAGTAAGCACTTGGCGAAAAGGGCAAGGAAAAACTGTTAAGAGGCAGAAACCTAGGACAGATCCTCCAGCTCTAGGTGGGTGGTTGTCTGTCTCGACCAGTTGGGGTGAGAGAGGGGAGAGAGAGAGAGAGAGAGAGACAGAGAGAGAGAGAGAGACAGACAGACAGACAGACAGACAGACAGACAGGTGCACAGCAACAACCATCAGACTTGATTTGCTGTACTGCCAGTATGACACAACAAAGTTGTGCGCTTACAGTGCCATAAAGTAATGAATTTTTCTTTTTATGTTAAATATTATGAGCACATATTTTGGTATTCAAATTTTAATTTGTTTATTATAACATTGGATTGCATTTGTTTTGTTATAGAGAAAGCATTAATGGGTTGCTTTATGAAGTTGTTTTAGACCTATTCAGTGCCCACAGCTTGTAATGTCAAAAAGCTGACACACTGCTGGGGTTGATTGAGAGGGTTCACTTTGTCCCTTCCTTCCTGAATGTGTTGAGGGAGTAGTTTATTCCATTATTATTTTATTTTTATTTTATTTGATATTCCAAATGATGTTTACTTTGTAATTGTAAGTTCTACATCAAATTTAATTTGTTAATTGTGATATTATGATCTGTTAAAGTAGTTATGTATTGATATACTGATTGATGTGATTCAGTTTCTTTTAATTGTACAAATGAAACCACTCAACTGTACATCATTTTGACTAAGATAAATGTTTCATGTAGACCCTGCTGATTGTTTCTATGCTCATATCAGTTAAATCAAGTCCAGTAAAATCCAATACTGTATTGTAATTTCTTGCTTTGCATGTTGCACAGCCCTTCTGCCAACAGCATCAGTGGTTTCTCCCTCTCCTCAAGCGATATGTGGGTGTGGCAGGTGGAGCATGTTTGACCTTCTCCCTCACACTTTCTCCCCAGATCTCTGGATTAGAGTGTTCCTATAGTTTAGCCTATATGTAAATAGTTTGTTTAAGCTTGTAAATATTTCAGTAGTTTGTTTTATCTTCCCCTTCCATTTGTAGATTTAAAAAAATAAGGACTTACCATATATATAATGAACCTGTAGTGAGTTTGTGATTTTGTGATTGTTTTTCCATTTCCAATCTGTATACCAATCAAACAGGTTTGCAGTAATGCATTTATTGATCACACAGTTACAAATAAACAATTGCTAACTAAACCAGAGACTATAAGAATGAAAACTGACAACACATACAGGATGATTTAATTTTTTTCATTCAGATAGAAGTGCTGGGAACAACCTAGAGAACTTCCATGGCAGACCAGTGAGTGAGTCAAATGATGCAAGTATTGAAACAAAGACATCAAGCTACATTCATTACTTTTTCTTCACATATTTCTGTACATTTGTAAATTACTCTGCACTTTACTACTTTGCACTTCTGGCTGATGCTAACTGCATTTTGTTGTTTTGTACCTGTACTTGCAATGACAATAAAGTTGAATCAAATCGAATTGAATGAAAAAAAATACTTCATATTATACAGAACAATAAAGTAGATAAATATAATTATGCACCTGTTGGATTTTTACTGCATCAGTCAAATTAATGACTGGATGAAGCAAAATTATCCAACTAAATGCAGACAAGACAGAGATAATGAGGGCTCGAGCACTGACCATGCAAAGGCCCTATTGTATCTGTTTTTTCTTTAATCGCATTTTTGAAGGCTTTCCCATGCTCGAAAGCTCACGAAACAACACAAAATTGCAATGTGGCGAAACTGGTCGTATTCTTTTGTACCCGTGCATGGGCGCCGCCAAATGGCTAAGCCACGCCCCTCCGAATCAGCCCCCAAGACACGAATGACCGACATGTACAAAAAATTGGTACGCATGTGTATCATGATCAGACAAGCAAATAAGCCTCTTACATAAATAAATACAATAAAAATATAAAAATTACATTTCCTTTTGCCGTTATCACTATTATTGAATATTATTGCATACATGTGTTCAGGGCGGGACTCTTATCAGACACTTGAAGTTTGGTGCCGATTGGACAATATACACTCAAGTGAAGGGCGGCTGTGGCTCAGAGACAGAGCGGGTCGTTCCTTAATCGGAAGGTTGTGGATTCGATCCCCGGCTCCTGGTGCCACATGTGGAAGTATCCTTGAGCAAGATACTGAACCCCAAATTGCTCCCGATGCTGTGCATCGGTGTGTGAGTGTGTATGAATGTTAGTTTCTGTTCGATGGACTTTGCCATCACTGAGTGAATGTGTGTGAAAGGGTGAATGTGGCACGTAGTGTAAAAGCGCTTTGAGTGGTCGGAACACTAGAAAGGCGTTATACAAGTACAGGTCCATTTACCATCCATTTATAGCAAATTCATGTGGGTCCACGTTTGACACCACGCCGCAGACATGCCTTTCAAACTCACCACATTAATCACATATCATCAACAATATGGTTTGCATTTTCTGACCAAATTTCAGCTGGATCTTATCAACCTGCTAGAACATGAAAGTATAAAACATTTAATTCCTGTTGCCAGTAGCGGGCGCTATAACTATATCTGAATATTGTCATGTAGATGTGTTCAGGACGGGATTCTTATCAAACGTGTAAAGTTTCGTTGAGATTGGATCATGTACGCTGAAGTTAAGACAACTTCCTTTTTCATGGCAAATCGTCGAAATTGGACGCCACGCCGTTTGACTGAATGTCGTAAATAGAACTACTTTTAATCATGAATGTCTTTAGATTGCACTGATTAAATTTGAAGTTGATCCAATCACTTGCCTAGGAGGAGTTTGTTAAACTACAATGACAAAAATGACTTCAATGGCCCTAATAATTAATTTCTCTATAGTTTCCCAGAAGTTAAAGTCAAAAGCCTCATCAGTTCTACTGACTGGGGGGGAGATCCCAGGCATTTAAACATCTACGGTCCTCAACACGTAAGAGTCACTGAGGTCACAGGAGGGATTGGGGTGTGAACTGCACAGGAATTAATGTCAGGATGACATTGCACATATAACAGCACAACACACAACCCCCTCTGATCCCAGTTCATCAAATACCGACACTGTATCACTCCTCATACATATAGTCGCACATGGCACCCTTTAGAGTCTGCATGAGACCACCAGGCTGCCCCAAAGCCTTTCTGCTTTAGGCACCAAAGCTACTTGGTTTAGAGAAAGATTGTGGTTTGGCTAAAATAACTACTTTACATTATGTAAATCCATGACACATGTATCTTACGTAACTTAAAATAACTCAGCATTTACTTTTGGTTTCACAAGTTTCCTGGATGAAAGAAAGCAAGCCCAGGAAGAGAACTGGGCTTTGAAGCCAATTTGACATAGTGGTCAAACTGTGTAATTACAGCATTGGTGTCCATCATGTGATCCGCAGCACCAAAACATAATAAAAAAAACCTGCAACAACATTATGAAAGTCTAGAAGAGCCTCAAGATTAAATCATTCTATTCTTATATACTTCTTCATGTTCATCATCATCAGTCACTACTATTAGTGTAGTTGTGGCCGCTGTTGTTGCTGTGCACCTGTCTGTCTGTCTGTCTGTCTCTCTCTCTCTCTCTCACCCCAACTGGTCGAGGCAGACGACCACCCACCTAGAGCCGAAGGATCTGTCCTAGGTTTCTGCCTTTTAACAGGCAGTTTTTCCTTGCCCCCGTCGCCAAGTGCTTGCTCATGGTGGTACTGTTGGGTCTCTGTAAATAATGTTATAAAGAGTTCGGTCTAGACCTGCTCTATTTGAAAAGTGTCCTGAGATAACTTCTGTTATTTATTGGCGCTATACAAATAAAATTGAATTGAATTGAACTGAGTTATTTCCCAGGTAGTGGAGGGCTAAACTGGAAGTTAGCAGCTCGGCTGGCAGAAGTGTCTAGTGCACTACAGGATAACCAAGGGGTGTGACAAAACTCTGATACTAATGACCTAGGAATGAAGATGGGCTGAAATACTTTATACTGAAATTAAATACAGACACAGTCTATTTTATCTTATAAGATAAAGTAATTGTGTGTACTTGCATTGGAATGCATCCAAAATAAACAAATATATAACAACAAATTCTAGACTTATATTAAACCCCAGCTCATAACAATGAGTGTCACATAGGTCATATTAATCAGTATTGTGACAGTGGCTCACTGTATACCGGCTGCACTCACATAGGGGTCATTGAGAACTGATCTGGTGCTGAGGGTTATATGGCTTATACGACTGCCTTAAACAGCACAGTTTGGCACTGAGTCATTTCTATATTGAATTTCATTCTGAACTGTATGCACCTGTTCCTCATTCCTAACCAGAGTTAGGTCGGCTCCTGTCTTCTACCCATGGACCCTGCAGACAACACAGTCATCGTCATCAGTAAGACTTTATTTGGATAGTCCGCCTAAACATGTACAACTGTACAGATAATCTGTTAAACATAATTTGAAATGTTATAAATACTATCTAGATGTAAGATATCCAAGAGTAATTCAGATGTCATAAAGAAAACATGGACCAATGGTTCAGCAGTGCTAAAGTAAAATGAATCCATGAAAAATATGAAAATAAGAAGAGAAACAAAAATAAATGCATGAATAAATATTCACAGAAACTGCAACTACTCCGATTTAGAAACAGGAGTGGACTGTGGCCCTGGTATCTGTTCAGGGACTTTCTCAAATAATAGTCAGGGACTTTTCAGTGTTGCATTAGCTGAAGAACAAAGGCTGTCGATTCAAGTATTTTAATGAATATATTCATAATAATGCTGTAGAAATGTGCGTTTAATTTAAAGTTCCCCTTCAGACATGTATAAAGACTTATGTACAAATAACCTGCTTGGACAAGAATGTGTGTCTTATAAGTTTTTTCTGCAAAAATTTTTTAAAATTTAATAATATTTTTCTTTTTTTTTTAATTTAATTTTTTTTTAAAGTTTCAAACATGACTTTCACATCTGCAAGCTGCACTTTTTTCTGAATATCAGAGGCCTTATGTTCTGATACACTAACTACCTGTTAAAAAATTTATTTGTAACCCCCCCGTATTTTCCGGGATTTTGGGCCCCCCAAAAAAAACACCAACTAAATTTAAAAAGAAAAAAAAAATTGTACATGTATAGGCCGCACTTGTCTATAAGCCGCAGGTGTCCACATTGTAACAGGAGATATTTACACAGAAAGATGGTACACAGAAAGATTTTTTAATTAAATAAATGCTGCTGTCTCCAACGTCTCACCATCGATTCATTGATGCCAAGCTTATGTGCAGCAGCTCTTCTTCAACAGCCAGATCAATTGCCTTTAACTTAAAAGCTGCATCATGTGCATTTCTTCTTGTGGTTTCCATGATGAGGGTGTGTGCATGATGCACAAAATGACTGAATTAATTCTAAACACAATCAAACTAGCGTCTTCCTCGGCGCATTATCTCTTCCACCTGTCTGTCTCACTCTTGCGCTTCCTGCTAAAGCGCCTCCTGGAGGACGTTAGCCCGTAAAAATCTATAGATTAGCCGCATCATTGTTTAAAGCCGCAGGGTTCAAAGCGTGTTGAAAAAGTAACGGTTTATAGTCCGGAAATTACGGTAATCCAATTATCACAATATGAAAGTAAGGTGATTACTTTTCATTGCTTATGGATTACCTCAACAGCAAACATTCAAATAAAAACAATAGAAAAGAAATTTTAAATTTTATAAAAAGTAGATGTAAGTGTATTCTGTAAGATGTAACTTGAAAAAGAAAATTGAAAACTAGATTTTTAGCATAAAAAATGGGTCCTTGCTCAGTTTATTTTTAAAGATAAACTAATAATAATAATAATAATAATAATATATTCTAAAATAGTTTTCCTGGTAATAATCCCCATTTTTCCTGACTGTAATCAGTTAACTTTCTTTGGTATTCTGATTACGTAAGTAAGTTACATGTGATCTGTTACTCCCCAAGCCTGTACATATAGGCAATGGCATTGTCAGCCGGCAGTTCAAGGTCCCATCCACAAATTCATGTATAGCTTTTTTAGCAAAATATATCAAATATAACCATGATGCAGTGCATCAATGGGCCAGCAGTCATCTGCACTTGGGTCCTCCTGCCAATATCACAAATATTTTCACACCAACAAACACTCTCAGCGATGGACATATGGCTTGCCTACAGGTGCTGTTTCCTTACACTGAAGGCTGTTTACAGAATTATTGGAGAAATCTGAACCATATGCACTTGTTAACAGCTTGAATATTGTCCACATTCACAGTTCATTGTCTTCTTTCAGATTGCCTGTGGTGAGGCCAACCACAGGAATCCCTCTCTTCAAACAGGGAAGCTCTTCTTTGTGCACCCAGCCAGAGGCCGACCCAAATCCTTTTGAGTACGTAGGTCCGCTGAATCGCAGAAGTGGGAATCCATGTGTCCTGCTTTAGATTTTAAATTTTCTGTAGAGCTCCCAGAATGCACAGGACCACCACCGTGACCAGCAAGACTCCAGCGATGAGTCCAATCCGAACCCACGGGAGAGTGTTCCACTTGGGAGACTCTGATGTCTCTGGGGTGCCTAGAAGGAGGGCTAGATGGATGGAGAGTACACATTAAACTAGTTATTGAAGCCATAGTCACTAACTTCCTCAGATAGTCTAACAGCCCCCATGTTTGTAGAAAAGCAGCAGTGCCCTTTGGATGCTCCTTTAGTAGATAAACCATGATAAAGGGCCCACTGAGTGCAAACCGTAACCCTGGCTAGGCTCCTAAATATATAACTTATTCTCATTAACATCATTACATTTATGTATTTGTGAAACAAATGGTTGAATAGTTGGACTTTATTACAGAGGTACAGGAGTTATACTCACATAATATAATATTTTAATCTTATTTTTGAAACAGTTTCAGCATAATGCATCACAACTTTGTGCTGATGCCCCACCACATATAGCTAACTTTTCTTTTCTGGCACTGGCAGTAATTCCTAGTTTTTGCAAAAATGGTGTATGATTATTATACTGTAAAAACAAAAGAAACTCAAACTTTGAAGGAACCTACCATCTTTTGTTGAGATTATTTACTTTTCTTCTTATTTAAGTTTTAGAAATAAAAAAATCTGAATTTCAAAAATTGTTCGCAGTGAGCTTTGAACTAAAATCTACATTATTTGGGTGCTTGAAATTTAAATTTTTGCAATTGAAAATGGTAAATTATAAATAAATAAATATAAACTTAACCAATTTTTGAATTACAGATTTTTTTGGTTGGAAAAGATTAAAGATTCAAGTACTGCAATGTAATGTATCTACTTTATAATATACATTACTAATTGTGAATTTTTGGTCTACTGTTGTATAAATTGGCCTCTTTAACTTATTTTATATATCTTTTTATATCCCACTGAGCAAGGCTCACCCTCTGTTGGCTGTGTGGAATCTTCCAGGAGAACAGGAGTGGGATCAAGTGGGGTTTCAGTGGTTTCAACCTCATTCACCTCTTCTCTCAAAGTTGTTACAGGCAAGAGTGATGTACTGACCCAGTCCTCTGTTGCTGTGGTTGTCTCATCAGGCAGGAAAACTGCATGAAAGAGTGACATTTATGTATTAACAGCAACTGACATATTACATGCATTGTGCTATTTGTCTGTGAAAGTATGGGTTTAAGGTTATACTAGTCCACAATAGGATTCCACACTGAATGATGGTACAGTCTACTGATGAAAATATATTGTGTTGCTGGAATTAGAAGAATGCAAAGGAAGATCACCAGTATCTGTTGGGTTTGTTTCCAGCACAATGACTGTGATACTCTCTGGTTCCCCAGGTCTGGGATTGTCAGAATCCCTGAAAATATAATGGTCATTAGGATTAGTTATAGCAGCAGAAAGCCAATTTTTAAAACTGTGAGTTTCTATGTGCATTTATAGTACCTTAAATAAATCATGGCACATGAATGGTTTATTTATTTTTTCGTATGGGCCTTTATATTGGTTTATAGTGGCTATTAAAGTTATTATACTTAAAGGACTAGTGTGTCTAGCAGTGTAGTTACAAAAAGCAACTCACTCACTAACGTAACATAACCTATCTAGAGCCAGTGTGTGGTTTATCCTTTCTGGGCTACCTACCTTACTTAAATAAATATGTAATGTCTTTATTTCACTCAATATTTTGCTTTGTTTCTGTGCCTGGACTCCTGTCAGCTTCCCCAAGCTGGGGCCACGCTGACTGATGTCTACTGTATGTAACAACTTCCTCATTCAACCCCACTTCCAAGTACCCAAACTATCCCTTTAATCTATTAAGTATTGTGGTAAATAGCAGATTAAGCCACAACAAAAATAACCTAATTTTTTCCAAAATTTACCTGGTGTTATACAAACAGCCGTAGGCTCCAGAGTCACTCATCACTGTGTGGATCATAAGATGAAATCCTACTTTGTCGTCAAATCCTACTTTATCATCCCTCCGTATAGACATTCGAAGAATATCCTCTGAATAATCCACCACAGAAATCTGTAAGTGAAAAGATATGATCAGATGTTGACTGATCAAGACTTTGAAAACATACATGTGTCAGGAATAATGCCTGCAAAAAACCCACTGTATCTGTATATTATTTATTCTTGTTTTTTTTAACATGTAAGTATGGTTACTCAAACACAAATCTACACACACTGTGCATACTGTATACGGTCATATCCACCTTGTATATGAAGAGACCTTTTAAATTACTCATATTTATTTCAGCACCCTTAGCAATCCACACAATTCTCTTGCTGTAAAGTATGCCTGTTTCTACACATTGAGAGCAACACATAACATACCTGAAATCTGATTGCCACCCTATTATCCTATCTCTTTCACTCTGTTTTCAGAGGCTGTAGCAGGTGGTGGAAAGACTGGCATGGCCATTTTCAAAGGGATTCCTTGGCCTCTGACCTCAAAATCTCTGAATGAAAATGGGTTATATGGGTACCCACAAGTCTCCTCTTTGCAGAAATGCCCACTTTATGCTAATCCCATGCAGGTTTTGGCAAAAACAATGCAGTTTTTTCATGTGATATAAATGTGTTATTTTTGCCTAGTGTATTTGAATATTTCTGTGTACGGGAGTCCCTAAACAGTGTTGAAATTGCATAAATTGGGAATGACTGGAAAGCTGAGACACATACTTCATGTCACCTCTGCATAATTCAGTGCCTGCCTAATGAAAGTGGTTCTGAATGTGAAAATACAACTAACAGTATGAAGTGTGGAATAAGACATGTCTGTGTCATTCCACGTGTGTAAAGTTATCGCCCATTCTGGCCAAATTTATTTTTGAGTCTGTGCTTTACGATTCCCACTATATGAGAGACGGATTGAGAAACACAAGTTTACACACACAGGTGTAGTATTCAGGTTAGGATCAGGTTTCTGGAGTATATGTGTGTATGAGACTGGCTAACAGTGTGTTGCAGGATGACCCTGTAGATTGTATCCACCTCACACGTAGGCCTTTGGATAAAATATAAACCTATCCCTAACCTATATACCTAAAGATAGAGGTGGGCCTGCCATGCACTGAGCACATTACACTGCATAGCTAAAACCGCTGGTACGCTGGTGCAATCCATATTATTCCACGGAGGGTAAAGGTTTGGAATTAATGCAACTCAATTTACCAGCACAGTCTATACTGGCATAAGCACTAACACTGGGATTACTATCAACTAAACCAATGGAAGGGTATGGTTTATTAACCTTGCAAGGCAGTTGGGCTCACAAGATCACAAGATTATGAGACCATGTGAGAATCTATCTTGCCAGGCCACAGTGGTTTGGACCAATTAGCGTCCTTCGAAGAAGCACTGGTAGCTACGGCATTAGTTACAGGTGTGTGAGAACTGTTTGCTCAAAACCACCAAAGATGACTGCTAAAGAGTTTAGCACAGATTATGCTAGCATCAGTTATAGTAGAACTGAAGAGTATTTCTATATTGAAAGAAGAGCAAAGAACGGCTTCTCCCACCTGACTTGACTATGTTATAAGGTTAACTGATCTGAATAGTTGAAGTTTGCCTGTGATAAAGTTAATAGACAGATGGTTCATCCAATTACCAGCCCTTTTCCAAAATGTTTCCAGTGACAACTTTCCAGATGGTTCTGATGGAGCAGGTTAATGGTTTGAGACCTGCAGGTTTGAGTCTTTGAGACACCTCTTACATACTTGTACAAGTAATTTGTCTCTTCCACACATCAGACAACAGATAGAAAATACCTGGACACTTATGAAAACATGATTGCATCTACAGTATGCATGAGGGGCCACCGGCAGAATACAGTACCTGATCTTGTATTGACCCTATAGTACTGCCATTCCTGGTCCACCAGACGTGCAGGCCTTCGAGGGACTGGCTTCTGGAGATCGGAATATAGCATGATAGCTTCGCCACGTTACCCTCATTCACTATGATATTCTCAAGTTTGGGCACTTGGGGGAGAAGTCGAGGAAGTGGCAACAGGATGGCAGGAAAGAAGAAGAAGAAAAAGGGATGAAGTACATTTTTTTGTCTCAAGGCTTCTTGAAGGCACTTTCAGAACAAATGCATTAGACCAGTCAACTATTGAAACTTAATTTTAGCCTTTCAATTAATGCATTCCTTCTAGGGGTGGGCGACATGGGCAAAAAATAATATCTCGTTATTTTTTGGGATTTTGGCGATAACGATAATCAGTCGATATCCATTAAAATGTGATTGGAATTGTCTGAGTTAGGGCTTGTGTCCACCAAACGCGTTTTTAGCACTAAGAGCGCTCAAAAACTAAATTTTCGAGCGCCCAGTGGTGTTAAAAGTTGAATAGATTTCAACTTGATGCGCTCTGAGCGCTGCGCTAAAAAAACGTCTCCGCTGACATCTTTTTACCGCTGAGCTTAGCGCTCTGAACGCTGAAGCTCATAGGATTTGTATTCAAAATAGGCGTTGCAAGCACTAAAAATGTGTTTGGTGGACACAGACCCTTATCAGTCTTTTCAAAACCAAACCATTTCCATGCCAGAGAGGTAGACCCACGTCTCGGCACTAACTCATCTGAAGTACCGGTAGCTTCAGGGACTGGAGGTGCTTGCATTTTCTCTCTACCATCACAACGCGCTGCTAAACTGTTGCAAGGAGGATGCTACGTGATCACGTCGGCCCACCAGTTGTGTGACTGAATCCTGCCATGCTGTAGAGAGCGTTGCTGTACCGTGTATAAAGTGGACGTGAGGAGTTTCCGCGTGTGTTTCAATATTTTTGGCGAAGTAATTTAAATACTCGTTAATGGAAATTTGCACATCGTCAAAACAACAATGACGATATTATCGCAAACGATATATATCGCCCACCTCTAATTCCTTCCAGTGTGGTAGGGACTTCCATTGGAGTCTTGTTATCAGGAGACAACATGTCTGGCCTAGAATACTAGAGGTAAATGGTAAATGGACCTGTACTTGTATAGCGCCTTTCTAGTCTTCCGACCACTCACACACATTCACATTCAATGATGGCAAAGTCCATCGAACAGAAACTTACACATTCACACACCGATGCACGACATCGGGAGCAATTTGGGGTTCAGTATCTTGCTCAAGGATACTTCAACATGTGGCACCAGGAGCTGTGGATCGAACCCACAACCTTCCGATTTAGGAACGACCCGCTCTGCCTCTGAGCCACAGCTGCCCGGTGACTCAGAAGGTGAAGTCAGATGCCCACTATTGCTTAAAGGCCTCTTAAAGGTATGCTATAAGCTCTGTTCATTATATATACTGTCAATGTGTGGAACTGAATGCATCTCAATACACAATAGACACTGGGCCACGTGTTGGATTTGAGGAGCTAAATGTGGCAAAATACAAAATCCTTTTGTAACTCCTAAAAAGGGACAGAGCAAACATACAGCTGTTCAATGTGAACTTACACATCCATAACAGTAACTGAGAACCACGTCTTTTTCCCACCAATTCACCTGTGACTGTGAGCCATACTGTTGATATGGTTTTTCTTCCTTCCAAAATGCACTCGTACACATTAGAGTCACTAAACACCGTGTTCTGGAGGACCACAGACCAGTCTCCTTCCCTGAGCTGCTCTTCTGAGGGCAACTGGACCCGGTCTTGGAAGGAATTATGGGACTGTAAATCACAATAAATCATAATTTACAATTTTAGGACGTAGTCGACTGGTCAATTCCCCCAAGTTACTCACACACCCTTTTGGCCATGCAGAAGGTTTTAGTTTTATTTGTACAGTTTTTAGATACTTGTGTTTGAGATTCTTGTCTCCTCCCGAACACTGCACGTTACATGTCACTTCCTGTGTCCACTATGTGGCGCTAGAGAACAGCCACTAATTATACCTTATGTTCCAGAATAGACCACACCATGAAAATTGAATGTAAATCCAATGATAATTTGAGGCTTACTTGGCTTACTTCTTGTTTCATGGTGACACATCGAGATTTGACGCCACGCCTTGGACACGCCATTGAAAGTCCAGTGTGTAACATTTCATATTCATAGGTATGTTTTCATTAGTGTATAATCCCCTGAATATGGGAATCATTATGGTTTTCTTACCTTAGAATGAGCTGTTTATATGTACAAAGTGAGTATGTGATGTTGAACCGCAAAGTTTATACGGTGCAGCTATCGTAGCTTCACCTTCGCGCTTGCAAGGTGAGGGTTAAGTGACAGATATGAGATCTGCAAATGAACCACTAGACACCATTAAATTCTACACACTGGTCCTTTTACAAAAATGAAAAGTGTGCACAACTTTGACTGAATTCAAAATGGTTGACTTCCTGTTGGGTTTAAAGAGGCTTTTTTGTATGTCTGGACATGATACGTGTGCTTCCAGATTTTCGTATGTCTCAGTGAAATGTGCCACCAGGGCTGCTTTGTTGAAATTTTGCAGGGGACACAAGACATATGGACAATACCCTTATCCAATGTAAATTTTCACCACTTCTGAAATATGTGCCTAAAAAATGGGATTCATTTTTACAAATAATAATGATTCTCCAATGAGGCCTTCACAGCGGTTGCTGCTCTGCCCTAATTATGTATAATGTAAAGAACCTTGACAGACTTGATTAAACCACTGGGGGTCGGAACTCCCACTAGGGTTCGCCTAAGCTTCATGATTTTAAGACAAATAAGAAAACATTCAAAATATATACTGTAGGCCTATATCTCAACGTTTTGCTCACTTCAGCAAAAGTAAATGTAAAGTAAATTGTAATAGAACAATGGCCATGTGTCAGGGAGAAGAAAACACTGAAGTCCATTAAGTCTGTATGATTGTTAAGAATGATTAAAAATACACCCTCAATGTCAATCAGTGGAACCACTGGATTTAACTACTGTAGATTTCAGATTGTAAATACAAGAAAGACAGTACTTACCTTAAATTTGTCGCCCAGCCCTGGCTCGCCTCCCCGCAGAATTGCCACATCCTTCCCCATCGCCTCCCACTGGACACTCCCTTCCTCCTCTAGGAAGGCGGAGCCGTTGCAGGGCAAGGTTGCAGACTCCCCTAACTCCACCTGAAGGTCCAGCATGTCCATTATATGAAAGGCTGCACAAAGGTGGGAAGAGTGAGGTCACAGATACAAGAATGAGACGCAAAATAGTGAAGGCAAGACGGGGCAGGATGGAGTGGGGCAGAAAGGGAGGGGTAATAAGAAGAGGAGAGAGGAAAAGAAGATAAAATGAATTATGTATGGAAATAAAAAAAAGTGATGGGGGACGAGGGAGAGAGGAGTGAAGGAACAGATTAGTAAGACAGAGATAAAGCAAAACAATGTGGCACTTAAACATTCATGACTATTTCACGGGGAAAGAGAGGTCTCCTTAGAGTTGTTTTTCTCATGTTGACATTGATGTAAATAGAATATGGTCACAACACAAGTAAAGGTAATTGGGATGGAAGAAGAAGTATGTAATGTGAGGTAATGAAGAGATAGAGGTGGGAGAGTATGGATGAATATTAAAAAAAGACTTAATAATGATCATCATAAAATGTTTAAATGAACCAACAATTGTGAAATAATTGAGTTAACAAAACTCAACCTAAGTTCATTTTCATAATAGTTTTTTATGGAATTTAAAAAAAATATTAGATGTTTTTATTTTAAAATGTCCAAAAGTCTGATTTTATTTTGTACTAGCATTTTCCCATCGACACTTTTACGTATTTTATGTAAAGTTTAATTTCATAATGAGCCGTTTTATTTCAGTGGTGTTTTTACAGTCCTCTTGCGTCACATGCTGCCTGCCTGAGTTGTGCATCATCATCAGTCACTACTGTTAGTGTAGTTGTTGCTGCTGTTGTTGCTGTGCACCTTTGTCTCTGTCTCTGTCCTTCTGTCGTTACCTCTGTTCTCTCTCTCTCTCTCTCTCTCTCTCTCTCTCTCTCTCTCTCACCCCAACTGGTCGAGGCAGTCGGCCACCCACCTAGAGCCTAAGGATCTGTCCTAGGTTTCTGCCTCTTAAAAGGAAGTTTTTCCTTGCCGCCGTCGCCAAGTGCTTGCTCATGGTGGAACTGTTGGGTCTCTTGTAAATAATGTTATAAGGAGTTCGGTCTAGACCTGCTCTATTTTAAAAAGTGTCCTGAGATAACTTCTGTTATGAATTGGTGCTATACAAATAAAATTGAATTGAATTGAATTAAATCTTTTTCTGAGGAACATATTTTGATTCAAAATGTGCAAGAACAAACCAGCTAATGTTAGTGGCTGCTTCTATAACTGTGGACCTGTCTCTGAACACTGCCTGTCCCTGGTGCATCATATGCAAGTAAAAAAGGTTAAAGAAAAGCTACTTTACAATTAATAGTTAGTGCATATGCTGCAATGTGTGATGCAATATGTGAAAAGTCATTGTGAGTATTGAGAAAAGTTTTCACTGACCATGCACCATGCACATAGGTCCTGAGGGGATTCCACACTGAGATGGTGCTCTGAGATATATTTGTATTGTTTTTTCTACAGACAAAAATCTAGAGTAATTTGTCTGTTTAAATCCAGCTTTCAGCCAACAGCAACACTTAAAAATTGACAACTCTGTGCTGAAGTACACGTGTTGACTAAGGTGTTTTCATATTATTCATTATTTATATGTTGTTTTAATTATACAACATGGTGCTGGAAATATGTGATTTACTGTCTGTGCTTCTTAATTTGATTGCTTTTTGTTTTAATTTGCTCCCTCAGTAGATAAAAACAGCTCATTCTAAGGTAACAAAAAGAAAACCATTGTTATTTTTATGTAATTGTACACTAAAGAAAACACACATATGAATATTATATTCCATTTCTCCCAACGGATCCTCCTAAATGTTACACATTTGACCTTTAAGAGGCTGGGGTCATGTGATTGGCTGAAAGGTGAGAAGGCAAGGAAAACTCCACTGTCACTGAATACAGACTAAAAACAGACTTGAAAAAGATCAATATTACAATTACTGAATCAAAATAAAGTCCTATAAAAATCATTCATAATAATGAGTGGAGTTGTTACCATTAAATGATTCCATACATTACTGTTTGATGGATGGAGATGTGTCATTGAGAGAAAAAAGCCAATTTTTATTTGAAGCAATGTCATAAAAGTTATAATTTACCATTGATTTTAGATAATCTGATGTATAAACCTTACAAAACAGATGAAAATGTCTCCAAGTAACATGCAGACTCACCATTGTAGACCCCTCCACACTGAAGACACAGCAACACCACCAAAATACACAGAGGAAACATCTTGTCCTTCCCTCTTCCTCCTACAGTGCTGAAACATACAAGCCTCACTCAGGATTCAGTCAACCTACTCTAGCCTGGATTTAAAGTCTTTGTAACAAAAGGAAACAATCCATAAGAAACTAGGACATCAAAACCAGTTGGCATATTTATATTAAAGCTGCAGTAGGCAATTTTTATATAGCACACAAGACAGATAATCTGTGAAAAAATGGAGCCAGAGGAACCAGATTTTTTCACAGATTATATGTCTCATCTGCTACTATCAGGATATAGTGAAGGTTTCAGCAAATTTTTATAAAAGTTACCTACTGCAGCTTTAATAATGTTTCATCATAGTTAAAGGATAGGCAGTTTGTTGTCATTTTAGCATGCCAAAGTTCCTTCTAAATATTAGTAGGCCTGATAATATTGCATTGTCTTTCAGTAATTGGCTTTTAAAAATTCCATAGCTTTTAAAGCGGATTCATGGTTCTCCTCTTAAATTCAGCATGGAAAAATAATCACCAATGAATGGATTTCTTGGTCAAATTATTATTTTTAATTATTTATTTGTAACTCAAAAAGGAGAAGTAAGACGTGCAGCAGTTATAAACCACTTACAAACATTTAAATTTACGTCTGGTGGTGCCAGATGAGATGATTGAGAAAAGAACAATTTTTAAATGAAGTTTGGCATGGAAGAGCAAATAGGTAAAGCAAAAACTGGTCTTACCTAAAAATGATAGAATCCACTGAGGCAGGAAGGTTACAGCACTGATGCTGCCAGAGCCACAGCCCTGTGTGTTTTAAATAGTGTCTCCTGTCCTGTCACTTCTCCCATTTCAAGACGGGCTTTAAATCTGTACGGCACCTGATGAGCCCTTCAAGTGCTGTGGGAAATATCAAAAGTATGTGACCAATTACATGTTAGTTGGTAGCCCTAATTCGCAAATTAGCAGTAAGACAAACACACCGAGAACTAGGCAAACTTGTCCCTAATTCTAGTTCTTCACTTGAACATACACACATGTATTGTACTTAATGTAACCTAATAATTTTATTATAATATAAAAGAGGTATAAAATGCAATTAAACTCATATAGTGTCTTTACTACCCTAGTTGGTAGAAGTGGCAAGTGGGCCATGTTCTCCTGTCCCATTTGTTAGTAAGCCTAGGTCTATGTGTGTGACACTGGCCTTCTTGAAAATAGACACATAAACCTGTTTTTGACAGGTTGAATTTAACTACTTGCCTGCACTGCCAAACGCCACAGAAGACCAACACATTGTGCTTAGTTGGCAATCTGCACTCAGGAACCGGACACCAAGAGGCACGTGGCAGAATTCTCATATTCTCCATACTGCAGAACTTGAAGTGCACGGGACGCATCTGGAGTACAGTTCTGTAGAAATGTGGTTTACAGTGTGGCAATATGACCTCCATTTGTTTTAATACAGCACACATAAAACAGCCCATAAGAGAAAAGTCTCCTTTTTATTTAAATGTGAACATTTTTGGGTTGACTTAACACTAAGAAAAACCCCAAAATGATATAAAGGTTACATAAGGCCAATGGAAAATAACCTCACAAATAAATAAAAGGATTAACAAAGACTAGTAAGAATTCTCTTAAAATCAGAGTTTCTGTGTTTGTAGTGCAGTCAGGATTTAGTAAGATGTCTCAATAAAGTTGCCATATAGGCACAGAACCACCAAAAGATACAAAAATGAGGGCGAGATTGTAATAGCGTTTATATACAGTACAGGAGTGAGATGTGTATGTAGATCAGTTTTCTGAAATGTTAGACGGCACGAGGCCTGTGCTGCCTGTACAGTAAGTGTGGTTCCACCACATGTGAGCCTATAGGGAGACTCGCTGATGATGCATTCAGGCTCAATGGGGAAAACAGTACTTACAAACATTATTTATATAAATATATATATATGTATATATATATATATATATATGTATATATTTTTTTTGTGTGTGTTTGTGTTTATTGGCTTTACTGTCTGAGCTCTATTATGGCACTATTATCTGTATTGTTAGTATTAATTTGTACACTCATATCTGTTCTAACTTTGTCACTGTGACCTACCGTTACCCATAACACCTCTCTCTGCGTAGGTCTGCCAAGATGTTTTACATGTATTTTCAGAGATGCATTCTAGCTAAAGCATGTGCATGAGTATGGACATTTTGTCAGTAAGGGGACCCGCTGCATGTGCAATTGTTCAATTGCCTCATGGTCATTAACTACCAGACAGTCTCCTTAGCAAGTTTCTAGCTTAGAAACTTTTAAAGTTGGATAAATATGAAAGAGCTTTTACAGTGTATGTAAGCTGCATTTTAAATGTAAAATCCAAATCTGTAAAGTACCTAGATACGACAACAAAAGCCAGTGTAGAGGAGTATACAATATGAGGTACCTCAAACCTGCAAGTATGGCATTTATATTCCACCCCTGAAATAGTCTTTATCATTTGTGTGGGGAAATTGCATCATGTAATCAGAGCTCCTTGTCCAGAACTTTTAAAAATAAGGCCCCTATGAACAGATGCTGTAAGCTTTTTCACTCGTCTTTATAAACTGCAGAGACCCAGAAATGAATTTCAAAGTCCAGATTTAAGCCGCTGTTTTGCAAAGCTCTGTATAGCAGCTGCGCCCTCTGCTGTTTGCAGAGAGAAAAGAACAAGCTCACAGCACCTGGCATGGTCTTCCATCCATGTACTGAACAGGCCTGACCACGCTTAGCTTCCAGGATCGAGTGCATTCAGGGTTGTATGGTCGTTAGCGGCACTGCTGAACTGTTGCTGTACTGGGGCTGCTGCTAAGAGCTATCCAGTTCTTGAGAGTGACAGCTGTGTCTGCATTCTCGGCAGAAAGTCAGACACGTTTTTAGTGGGTGTTGGTGTTCTTTTTGCAGATGACGTAGTTCTGTTGGCTTCATTGAGCCGTGACCTTCAGCATGCACTGGGGTGGTTTGCAGCTGACTGGGAAGCAGACAGGAAAACGATGGATTGCTCCCTCTGCGTTGGGAGTGAGCTACTGCCCCAAGCAAAGAAGTTTTAGTATCTGAGGGTGTTGAGCCGTGATTATAATACAATGACAGACCTATAATATGGCTGAATGTGAATAAAGGCTTGTTCTTTTATTAAAGACCAGTGTGTAGGATTTAGTGGCTTCTAGCAGTGTAGTTGCAGATTGCAACTCCCTTGCTTCACCCTCCCCTTTCAAGTGCGAAGGTGAAAAATCTAAAGCAGGTGTTTGGTTTAGCCATTCCTGGCAGCCTCCATAGAAGTAGGTAAAAAGGGCTCATTGTATAGTAACAAAAACACAATTATTATTTTTAGATGATTGTACACTCATGAAAACATATTTATGAATATTATATTCCATGTCTGCCAATAGATCCTACTAAAGGTTACACACTGGACCTTTAAAGTAAGATGATTTGTTTCCAATCTAAAGTCACCACATGTCAACATATAAGAGTATGTGAGGTCACAGCATCTATAAAACGCCTGTTTGTAGTTGCAGCTGTTGCTTATGGCCATACCTCCCCAAGAGATCTCATTTGATCTCAGAAGCTCAGCCGGGTCCTGTAGTGGGATGGGAGGCTGCCTGGGAATACAAGGTGCTGTAAGCTTTTTCACTGCTCTTTACAAACAGCAGAGGGCACCGCTGCCCCTTCAGTGGACACAGAGCCTTAAAGAACTGAGCACTTGTAAAATCCAAATGGAATATTTATTATTTACCAATAAATAAATACATAAAATAGACTGGTATGATTTTGCTAGGAATTTACATTGTACTTGCCCATGGACATTTCCTCCAGTCTAGGAATATTCACTGCCATTGTGTGGCAGATTATCATTCGGTAGCAAAAACTGCATTTGAGTGGCATTTAGGTCAAAAGTAGACAAAAAACATTAGTGGCACTTGTGGTGAACAACACTGTAGCATGGGGAACAAACTATTCAATATAATATTACAAAAGAATTGTCACAATTTACAAGCAATATTACATGATTAATGAATAACATGCTGTATTTATAGACATAAGCCAAGCTTGGATCTCCCTACTATTCCGGTGCACAAAGTGAAGTTCCCTCAAGTGTTGCACTCAGTGATGACAGCCTGAGCTGAAGTGCAGATGTGAGTTAAAAACGCGGCAGAAGATGTTTGGAGAGTTGAGTAGATGTTTGGGAAGCTGGTGCTGAGCCTGCTGTGGTTCCTTCACTGAGGTCATCGCTGCTTAGAAGACAAACCAGTCACTCAGCTCTTCACAAGGTTCCTGCTGTGATTTCATCTCATCTTAAAACCTGGTTCGGTCAAACAGTTACACAAGATATAAATATATAAAACTGATGTGGTGAGCAGTCCTGGTACTGGAACTACAAACAACCTCCTGAAGCATAGGAACGTCCTCCTGTGGCTGACAGTCTGGTGACTGGCTCGTGTTTGGAGAGAGAGGCTTGTTGCTCAGATACCATGTTTCCCTGGAGAGGAGAGGAGGAAGTCAGTCAGATGGATCACAATCAATAATCTGTCAATACAACTGATTTACGTTGCATCTTTATGAGGGGGGTTCTAAGTGTTAGTGTCCAATGGGTGCAGCAGTGGGTGCTAAATGGTTAAACAGTCTAGTTAGTAATAAAAGAGGCATGTGCCCCCCCTAGCTGTTGATATTGTCTTGACTCAGAGCAGCTTTATCAATTGTTGGGATGTGAATTAAACCGCCCTGAAGGTTATCAGCTGTCCATCGTGTCCACTGACATCCATAAAGGGATGCATGGTATGATAAAAGCGTCATGTTGCGATTATTTTGATCAAAAAACATGAAAAAAAGGTTTTCTGTATCGGCTGATATTCACCCTTTTGCCTGACATCGACTTACCAGCAAATAGGATGGCCTTCACCAACCTATGTGGCCGATGTTTACCTGTTGTGTCAATTTTACTCTGCTTAAATGTTGTGTTGGTCATTTCCAACTTGGATATTAAAGAAATAATGGCACAAAGTGCGCTCCATGCAGCAGCGCGGACAGAGCGGCTCAACTTCTTGGATTAGAAGAGAAACAGACTGAGCTGCAACAATGCAGAGACGCTCGTGTGTGTGGGTGTTTGGGTCATCGGCTATGGGCCAAATTATTATTTTAAATATCTGTATCGGCCCATTCCTTTTTTCTGGAGAAAGCTTTTCCTTAAATCAAAAGGTCTAAGGATAGAGCATGTCATAGACTGTACACACCACTAAATCCTACTAATAGAAGAAAATAAGAACAACCCTAGGGTTCCTCTTCAGCACTGTAGCCAGGCTGACAGAGAGTCACAGCTCTATCGAGCCACATATCCCCATAAACTTAAGTAGCAATGACTTCATGAGCTTCTTCTATAATAAAATTATTACTATTAGAGAAAAATTAATCACCAACTGCCATCAACAGTTATCAGTGGCTCTCCAAGTTCAGGGACTTCTGTCAATGTAAACTTAGATGTATATTTAGACTGTTTTTCTGCTATCGATCTTCATCAGTTAACTTCAATCATTTCTTCATCGAAGCCATCAACCTGTCTGTTAGACCCGATCCCAACTAGGCTGCTTAAAGAAGTTGTTCCCTTAATTGGCACTTCTTTACTGGATATGATTAATCTTTCTTTATTATCAGGATATGTACCACAGTCCTTTAAAGTAGCTGTAATTAAACCCCTTCTTAAAAAGTCTACTCTTGACCCAGGGGTTTTAGCCAACTATAGACCGATTTCTAACCTCCCGTTCCTCTCTAAGATTCTGGAGAAAGTAGTCGCCAAAGAGTTGTGTGACTTTCTACATAACAATAGTTTATTTGAGGATTTTCAGTCAGGATTTAGAGTTCATCATAGCACAGAGACAGCTCTGGTTAAAGTTAATAATGACCTTCTGACTGCTTCTGACAATGGACTTGTCTCTGTACTTGTATTATTAGATCTTAGTGCTGCATTTGACACCATTGACCATGATATTCTTTTACAGAGACTTGAGCATCAAATTGGCATTAAAGGAACTGCCCTAACCTGGTTTAAGTCATACTTATCAGATCGTACTCAGTTTGTACATGTTAACGATGAATCCTCCATAAATACTAAAGTTAGTCATGGAGTTCCACAAGGTTCTGTACTTGGACCAATACTATTTACTTTATATATGCTCCCTTTAGGCAACATTATTAGGAATCACTCCATTAACTTTCACTGTTATGCAGATGATACGCAGTTATATCTATCAATCAAACCCAATGAAATTAATCAATTATCTAAATTACAAACATGTCTTAAGGACATAAAATCCTGGATGACCTGCAATTTTCTGATGTTAAACTCAGAAAAAACCGAAATTCTTGTTCTTGGCCCCAAAAACCTTAGAGACTCATTGTCTAAAGATATAGTCACTCTAGATGGCATTAACTTGGCCTCTAGCACCACTGTCAGGAATCTTGGAGTTATCTTTGATCAGGATTTGTCATTTAACTCCCACATAAAGCAGACCTCTAGGACTGCCTTCTTTCATTTACGTAATATTAGAAAAATTAGACACATACTATCACAGACAGATGCAGAAAAACTAATCCATGCATTTGTTACTTCAAGGCTGGATTACTGCAACTCTTTATTATCAGGTTGCCCCAATAAGTCCATTAAAACGCTCCAATTAATTCAGAACGCTGCAGCACGAGTACTGACAGGAACTAGAAAAAGAGATCACATCTCTCCTGTACTAGCTACTCTGCATTGGCTCCCTATAAAATGTAGAATTGAATTTAAAATACTCCTCCTCACCTATAAAGCTCTTCATGGTCAGGCCCCTTCATATCTTAAAGAGCTCATAGTACCCTATTACCCCACTAGAACACTACGTTCTCTGAATGCTGGGCTACTTGTGGTTCCTATAGTCTCTAAAAGTAGAACAGGAGCCAGAGCCTTCAGTTACCAAGCTCCTCTCCTGTGGAACCAGCTTCCAGTTGTGGTTCGGGAGGCAGACACCCTCACCACTTTCAAGAGTAGGCTTAAGACATTCCTCTTTGATAAAGCTTATAGTTAGGGCTGGATCAGGTGAGTCCTGAACCATCCCTTAGTTATGCTGCTATAGGCCTAGACTATCGGGGGATTTCCCATGGTGCACTGAGCTACTCTCTTCCTCTCTCTTTCTGCACTCATTCATGTCCCTTTAATGCATGTTACTAACTCCACTTCTTCCCCGGAGTTCTTGTGCTTTCTCGTCTCGCAGGTTCTCATGGATCCTGGTGGAGCCTCCTGCCATGGTCCTGCTTGACTGCCATTGCCAATACTGTTGTTGCTGTGCACCTGTCTGTCTGTCTGTGCTCTCTCTCTCTCTCTCTCTCTCACCCCAACTGGTCGAGACAGACGACCACCCACCTAGAGCCGGAGGATCTGTCCTAGGTTTCTGCCTTTTAACAGGCAGTTTTTCCTTGCCCTTGTGCCAAGTGCTTGCTCATGGTGGTACTGTTGGGTCTCTGTAATTAATGTTAAAGAGTTCGGTCTAGACCTACTCTATTTGAAAAGTGTCCTGAGATAACTTCTGTTATGAATTGGCGCTATACAAATAAAATTGAATTGAATTGAATTAAATCCACACGGCTTTACATGCAAATGAATGGTTTTTGGATACATAAATAAAATTGACTGATAGCACCCAGGGAGCATTGGGGGCCTCTGATAACATGCTACAAGCTAACCGAATTTTCAAAATGATGTGGTAGCTGACAGTAAATGAGTATAATGAAGGAATCAGTACCGCCTGTTAAACAGTCGATTACTTTAGTGTTAATCCTCCCTGAAGGAACGGCTGTGTATCAAATATTTTATGGCCCGTAGCCGCAGTACCGGTGTGCAGCAGTGTCTCTCCTCCGCTCAGTCTTCCTTCAAGTTGTCGAGTAGCGCCTGGGTCTGCTGGGCTAACCTCCTCTTCTCTGCCTGCTCCTTCTTCAGGGCCGCCTCTGCTTTCTTACTCTGGTAGATCTTAACCCCGGCGAACGCCAAACACAGCAGCAGCGTCTTCAGGGCCAGGATGTAGAGGAGGATGGGAACGTTGTCCAAAGCCTGAGGACAGAGTTTATGTTTGAGGAGAGCTTTTTCATTTTCTGCCTCCAGACGACTACAGAGAGCAAAGCACCTTTCTGTGGGAGAAACAGAGCTGCTCTGAAGAACAACAGAAGAACTTGACCACTCAATATGAAATGAAAGAATTTGAAAAGAAAGCTCTGGAACAGTCAGGGACCCTGGAGAAGATACCCCCCTCCAACCACCCTCTTATCCACCAGTGGCCTCAGCTGTCCAAATGGGAGGTGGGAGTTAATTTGGTCACAGAGAGGGGAGAGGGGGGGAGGAGAGGAGAGAGAGAGAGAAGCAGCTGCAAACCACGCAGTTGTAACAGGTCACCCACAGTTGGTTGCCCAGACCTCTTTAGAAAATCTGTCAATTTTCAAATTGCGATTCATAGTGACCTCAATTTTACACCCCATAATACGTTTCAAGACATTTTCCTTATCACCCCAGAACACTCTTTAATTCGGTACACATCCCATCCATCAAGTGGCATTTACTTCAGTACTTTAACTGTTACTGCTAACCTTAACTGGTTACGCATTTCCAAGCCGAGTGTCGCAATAGTGTGCCGTTTAGCCAGTGTGAATAAATGATAATGTCTGGGTATTCACGGCTACAAAGCAGACCCAACCAAAGGAAGAGAAAGACAACATGGCGGGTATACACACCGTTTAATCGTCGACGTTGCTAAATGAGAAGTTTATGGCAGTTTGACACTTAAACTGCTCAGCTGTAGGTAACGTTAGCATTCTGCTAGTGAGAGTTGAGGCAACCTAGCCTCTATATGAGAAGAACCAAATACGCCATTGAACTCACAACAACATAAATAAATGAATACATTTGAGCTCACTTACCTTCCAGTTGATCATTTTAGCTTCCTTTATGTTGAAGTGTCTTGTTCACGGTGACAGCCACACAGCTATTATGCTGCTCTGGAGAAGGCGGGGCTTGCAGTGACAGGCCAATCGAAATGCAGTTTCCGTTGGACGTAGTTTGTGCTGCATTCAAAGCTCATGCGACAAAGCACGACATGGCCTCAAATCTGTCCGCTGTTACTTTACAATAGACCTGTTAGTGCTGATCATCCAGTGTAACATTAATATACATGCACTTAATGGTAACACATATGTGTTCACGTGTGATACATGTGATTAACTATATTTTTAAATGTCATTAAATTGTAATCTTCTTGTATTGTATTATGCATTTACGCTTATTCCCAATTTGTGTGAATGCATCATTACTCTTGACAAGCAGTTGTAAAACAAACTAGCGTTTGCTTGAAGATTCTAGCAGTCTAAGAAAAGTCATCACGTGTCAGCGAAATATAATATAATATAATCTCGAAAATATAGAGACTGTAATGCAACACAAACAATCACGTTACAGTTTACCAATTCCCAGCAATACCACCACAAAAGTAACTGCGAGCAGAAAGATACTAGACTGCATCGTACACAAACACGCATTACATTTCGTTCCGTTTTTATTCACAAACACGGAAAAATGTCACCTACTTCTCTTGTACATAGTTTAAAAAAAAAAAGATCAAATTAAATAAACATTAACAAAACACGATGTTTTCTAACGGTAACGGTAGCTAGGTCTGGCAACATGCAATAATGTCATTGTGTGACAACATAAGTTGATAGAAATCATACACACGTTTCCATGTGAAGTCCTCATTTGACCCATATATAAGAACGTTTACACACTGACATGCGTAGTCACGGTGGCCGAGAGGTTAAGGCGTTGGACTCGAAATCCAATGGGGTTTCCCCGCACAGGTTCGAATCCTGTTCGTGACGAAATTACGTTTTTTAAAAAAAAGTCTTTGTACAACGGTGTTTGACCAAAGAAGAACTGTATTTGGTTTTGCATGAGTATTAGAATCACTTTCAGCACAGTGCACCTCAGATAAAAACGGACACCACCCTCCACCTTCGGTCATCTCTCTCAAACGTCGCGCGTCGATGGTTAAATCCTTAAACTGTGAACTTCTTCTACACAGCGCATTTAGGCTAAAATGAAGCGTTAACTGTTTTGCTGCTATTCAACAACAAAGAACACAATTTAACAACACAGTTTATTTAAGTATAAGCTTGAATCTGTAGCATCACAATTTCAGCTTTTATTGCAAGTCTCGTACAGCTCCCAATCCCTCCTCCTACCAGCACCCCCGATCCCTCCTCCTCAAACCAGCACCCCCAATCCCTCCTCCTCAAACCAGCAGAGAAAACCATCTCCGGGGACTTCAACCATGCTTCCCTGTCCTCTGCTCTCCCCACCTTCACCCAGTAGGGGAGAGTGGGGTAAGTTGAGCCACCCCTTGTTGCTAGGAAATGGTAAAAAAAAAAAAAAACATTGATCATGTGACCAAATATTTAGGAGGAAGGCATCATTTCATGGAGTCTGTGAATGTAAGAACCACATGGGTAAAGTGGTTAGATATTTATTTCCAAAAAATCATTTTTCACTCTTGAAAGTGAATTGAGTCTATCATAAGTTTCATGAGAATTGTGTTTAGACCAAAATAGATCATTTAAAATTTGTTTTATACATCAGTTGTGGTATCTATGAGCTACAACATGAGCTCATAAACCTAGCATAAAAGTGCACCATTAAAGCTGTGGGGACTAATAAAGTCAGAATGGTAGTTCTGGGGTAAGTTGAGCCATTTGGCCAGGGGTAAGTTGAGCCGGTGGCTACAGCCAAAATACACTCAATATGTGTATCCAAAAAGTAGGGATACGGCTCAATTTACCCCACACACGGAGTAAGTTGAGCCACAAGACCACTTTATTTGGACATGCTATATTATCGAAACAGTTATGTTTACACTCATTCTGTTTGTTTGAAGGGATGCACAACATCCTGAAATATATGCAGATATATTAGTTAGCGACAAAACTATGATTGCCTTGATGTAGTGATCCTAAATATGAAAAATGGCTCATCTTACCCCACTCTCCCCTACGTGAAACGCCACACCAGGGACAATAAAACTTTGGACTTGTTGGATGCAAACATCAAGGATGCATACACCTCACTGACCTCTCCGGTGCTTTCAACACTATCCAGCCGTCACTGCTCAGAGTGACGATGGAAAGTGTGGGAGTGGACCAACACCTGGCTGCATGGACAGACTATCTGACCAACAGACCACAGTATGTGAGGCTCCAACACTGTGTGTCTGACGTTGTGCTCTGCAACACAGGTGCCCCTCAGGGTACCGTGCTCTCTCCCTTCCTCTTCACCCTTTACACTTCGGACTTTACCCACAACTCCACACACTGCCACATCCAGAAGTTCTCAGATGACACAGCCATTGTTGGATGCGTTTCTGAGGGGAATGAACTGGAATACAGGACTGTCATCAGGGACTTTGTCAGCTGGTGTGAGCTCAACCAGCTTCAGCCAAACACTAGCAAGACGAAGGAGATGATCGTTAACTTCAGGAGGAAAACGTCCCACATCACCCCGGTGAACATCCAGGGATTGGACATTGAGGTGGTAGAGAATTATAAATTCCTGGGTGTTCACCTCAATAACAAACTGGACTGGACTGACAACACCCATGATCTCTACAAGAAGGGCCAGATTCGCCTCCACCTGCTGAGGAGACTGAGGTCCTTCGGAGTAAGCAGGGCTCTCCTCAAGACTTTTTATGACTCTGTGGTTGCTTCAGCCATCTTCTATGCTGTGGTCTGCTGGAGGGGGGGCAGTACGGACAGGGACAGGAAGAGACTCAATAAACTGATCAGGAGAGCGGGCTCTGTCCTGGACTGTCCTCTGGACTCCATAGAGGAAGTGGGTGAAAGGAGGATGTTAGTGAAGCTGACTTCCATCATGGACAACAGCTCTCACCCCCTACATGACCCTGTGGGGTCCCTGAGTAGCTCCTTCAGCAGCAGACTGTTACACCCTCGGTGTAAGAAGGAGAGGTTCCGCAGGTCTTTCATCCCTGCCGCTGTCAGACTCTACAACACCTGATCAATGTTGTAGTTTCTGTTTTTCAAATTACCACCACACCATAGCTTTACCACTTTACCTTTTTTTTATTCTTTTTATTTATCACGTAAAATGCTGCTGTTACAAGGGAATTTCCCCTTTTGGGATTAATAAAGTAATACAAACAAACAAAACAAAATAACACAGGTTTTAGGATTTTAACTTTAATGATTAAAGGTCCCATAGGTCAAACAGAGTCAATGTGCTGCTATTGTGTATGTTGGCTCTTATTACTATCGTTGGTGGCAGCTGTATTTACCCTACTATTTCATGTCAAAATGGCTGCTGTGAAAAAGTCTACTGGAATAAGATTGTCATAATGGGACAAAATAAATGATACAGTAGATACATTCTATTGTGCCCAAATTTAGTACACACAGTACGTACACACCAAGATAACAGGAGCTAAATGAACAGATCAGATTGCACATTACCACCAGCAAAGTTTTATATTCAAGTATGATGTCATAACCGAGGTGGGAAATATTCTTCTTTGTCATGCATTTGTTAGGGACATTCAGAAGGCCAACCCAGGAGCTCAGCTTTTAATATCGGATTGGATTATTTCACAGTTGCAGCGGTATACCATGGCGTGGAAACTGACAATTAGCAGACCATATACAATGGCTTATCTATGGTACTGAATTCTATTGAATTAGTGTCATTAAAAAATATATTCAGTTCCACCCTATTAGTGTTATTTAAATTCAAGTTGATGTCAACCTTCATGTCTGTCAGGGCGTAATGTGTTGTGAAAGCGTATGTTCAACCAAAAAACCTTCAGTTTTGATTCCTTTAAGGATCACTGTAATGATAATAATAATAATAATAATGATAATAATAATAATAATAATAGTGCAATGCTGTATACCGTGAAACTGTGATATTTTCTGAGACATACTATTATTCTCAAAAGGTTGCAGCCCTATTTCAGAAAGCTATGGCATGAATTTAAAAATATTACAATGGAAACTACCTGTGAGCAACAACCTGTATTTGTGTGGTGTCCACTGAATAATTGTGTAGTAAAACAGTCTTACAAGGCAAAAAAAAATTAGGAGGAAAATGCATTCTTCACCTCAGAAGTAGCTGACAATAAAACCAATAAAAAAATACTACATCTTAAAGGTGCCCTGTGGAGATTTTGACCACTAGTAGTGCTATTGAGCAATGTTTAACAATGGGTCCATGTTTTGTTTTGTACAAGCATTTTGGCGATGCAATACACAATCCTACTGGGTTAGCATTAATCTGCTGGGTGACAGTTGGTAACGGTACGATGCAAAGAAACATAGCAGTGCTCTCCAAAAGGCAGTGAAGAAGACTGCTAGCTAGTAAACACGGATGTAAACAATGCACGATTTGAGATATTTGGCTTTGCAAGTATTTTATGTAGGAAATAGACTCAACATGTTTGTTCAACATCAAGGATACACAAAATATATTTTGGTGAGAATCACTGACTATGAACATAACATTTGTTTGTTTACAGGAAAACTCAAGGTCCACTTACTGGCTTTTCCTGAAGCTTCCAAACACATCTTCATCAGCAGATAGAGTTGTAAAATGAAGTGTATCTTGAGTTAAGCTTTTTCTGTCAAGTTTTTAAAAGCCTTGGATCTATGTGTGGGTCAGTTTATGGATACCTGCTCTATGTGGAAATCAAACATGGAAATCAAACAGGAAACTGTGCAGTAACTGATGTAGCTTCTTTATAATGCGTTGCTTTCCAAATATTCACGGTGAAAAATAAATACACAACGAATAAATACGTCAAAACTCCATGTCAGCTGTCTGGTTTGTTGAGTGGAGCATCATTTTCCACCATATGAAATGTGTCAAAGTCCTAAATGAAACTACCGGCCTGGTCCCACTAGTGAGGGCCCTGCTTTAATGAGTCACAGTGGGGCCAGACCAGAGCTGAGAGTGAGAGTGTGGAATTGGGAATATCACAGGAATGTATTTACACAGTGGAATCCATAAAGGGCCATGCCTGTAGCTTTTTAATAGACTCCCATTCCCACAGAACGGAGGCATTGGAGTAGTGTGCTCCTGTGTTTGTGATACAATGCATGGAAGAAGAAAGTAGTGTGTCTCCAGCTACAAACAGTTTATATGATTCCAAAGATTCAGGCTTCACATGCGGTCAGCTCATAGATTGATAGTGAAGAAAGAAGTATAACAAAATAATCGGTACAGCTTGATCTGTGATGTACACATCTATGTTTTGGCTCACATTAAATCACTTTGGCTATGCAAAGATAAAGTTGTACACCAATCCTTATTTAGCTCACAGAAAATCAATTTCTTTACTCGTCTATCCGGCCACATACTGTAACTGTCCAAACTCTATCCATCCTTCCACCTGTACATTCTTCAGTATATCTATCTTAACATGTATTTGTCCATCATCTCTGAAGTCTATTCGATTGTCTCTTTACGTCCATCCCTTTATCCAGAGTAACTAATCAATCGTAGCACATACTGATCCACTGATCTACTGTGAACAATTTCCTTGAAAAGACTAAAACCTACAATGACCTCATCCCGCTAACAAGTCTTGTGTGTGTATCAAAGCCCGCTATCTCTTCTTCCTGTGCGCCATAGAGCTCCATTACTGTTCAAAAACTAGTGAAAACACATGAGCCACACTGCTGCAGAGGGCCCATCCTAAACCCCGCCCCTTTTTGCTCTGTGCTTCAATGACAGTTGAGTAAGCCTCGATCAGATAATATTAGCAAAGACGCAAGCTAACTAGCTAGCCACATTACATCAATTGTTAGTTAGCTAAGGTTTTGCATTAGATAACTTAAGATGTGACTATACACAAAGTATATATACACTTTCTCTTTTCCTGTACTATACGCTATGTGCGCTACATCTATATGGGAAAGACAACCACATTTTGAAGATGGTTAACAGATAAAAGCAACATATATATGGTCACATCTTACATTAGCTACTGTTAGCCAAACACTAGCTAGCTAATGAGTGATGCAAATTACCTAGCTAGCATTTGCAAACATTAGCTTTCAGATGTAACTAGCTAGCTAACAACTGATGTAGATTAGCTAGCTAGTTACCTCGTGTCTTAGTATCATTAGCTAACTGTGTGGCTATGTATAGGTCACTTTTATCTTTTAATCATTAAAATGTGGTTGTCTGTTCAATATAGACGAGCCTAGCACGTAGCATATCTTAGCACAGGAAAGGAGAACGTTGACTGAGGTTCTGGATGAGGCTTGCTCAACTGTTACTGGAGCACAGATTAAAATCGAAGGGTCAATTGTTTCACTGTAGCATAATTCTTCATCAGTTGGTTTAATGTATTTTCTGGAGCTGTACAGTTTTGGAGCGCAGAGCAAAGAACCGGGTGGGAATTTGGCAGGGTCAATTGTTGGGTTTGACTTTTTATGGGATTAAGACAGGAAAAACTTTTCTCACCTCTTTGGCGGTTTTATCCAACTCTAGTTCAATGAGCAGGATAAGGATGCTCTCCACCCTGTACCCCACATTAAATCCCTGCATCCATAAATCTATCACCACAACTCAACAGTGGTGCTTCCCTGTGCTCTGTAGTTTCCTTTACAGTAAATCCGTGATTGGCTGCATTTGTGTTTCATTGGACAGAAACGTCTGGCTAATCGAGGGTTTGCCTCCTTGAGGTCCAAACAACCATGTCTACCTTCGGCCCGCTGCACTGTATGCAAGCAAGTTTCCAGAATGACTGTATTTGTTCATTCTTGACATCTAGCTCGCTAACAGATGCATTCTAAAATGTTGATGTTGCCGATCCGTCCTCATCATGGTGGTCGGTTTCGGCTGTTAGTCATGACATCCAGCATGTTGTGGAGAGTACAAGAAACCACTTGAGAACTTTGTGCCCCTACTCTTGGTACATTATATAGATGTGTAACTGTCATCCTGCTCAGTTATGTCAATGTTGGTTCCATTCAAAAATTATTTGTAACTAGAGGTAGGGTGTTGCTGTAAATATCTCCCTCTGGTCATTCTGTGACCCCTGCTATAGTTCCCCTGCTTACTAGTGGCCATTACTATTCTCCCAGGAAACAGAACCAGCAAAGGAGAACCATCCCTGCAGTGTTAGGGCACTTTTTGTCTTCTCTGCTTTGTCTTCGTGTTCAGGAGGTCTTCCTCCTCCTTGCTCTTGATGATCAGGCAAAGCGTGATAAGTGGATGTGCTCAGTAGCGCCCCTTGTGGTTTGACCTGGACATGGTGAGTGGCAGAGACACGGAGGAGAGAGAGGAGACCTCCCAGTAGAGAGAGCGGGACAGGAAGAGCTGGTAGAGGATCACCATGGAGATGGACTGGCAGAGGATCACACCGATAGTCACCACCTGCAGAGAGGGAAGACATGGTAGTTAGAGACAGCAACATCTGCAGTTGTGTTTGTGTCCACCTGATGAATGTGAATCCAACATTCCTTCTACTTTTAGCTCTGGTTTGGGCTCCACCAACTCCTGAGGGACATATCTGGCCCTTTAGCTACTAAATGTTTGTGGATGGGTCTGTTGTTTGGTGCTGGCCAGGCAGGATGTGTACTGTGTGTTTATCAGAGCTTTTCTTACAGTTTATTGTGATGTGACTAAATATATTACTTTTATCTTTTAACCATCTCGAAATGTGGTTGCCTTTTTAACATAGACGAGCCTAGCACATAGCATATCAAAGAACAGGAAAGGAGAAAGTAGTTATAGGGCACTGAAAGATAATAAATATATAAAATGTATAAAACATGTGTGCTTTTTGTGTTCACACCTTCTCCCTCTGGTGCTCGTTGAAGATGACAGACATGAGGAAGAGGACAGGATGGCAGAGGAACCACAGGAAGCATCCCTGCAGAGGACACAAGGAAGAGTATGTGACCACCTGATGGACTATAGTTAAGTATTTGTCTGTATATCATTGTAGTGGGTAGTTTACCTTGGCGAAGCAGAGGTAGAAGTCTCTCTTCAGCGTGCTCCTCTCAGTGGAGATGATCTGGTAGAGGACAGAGGCCAGGAGGAGGGACAGAACCAGTCTCAGGGCCATGAGGAGGAGCCCTGCCAGACTCTGCTGGGCGTGGTAGCTGTGGTGTTCACTCTCGGATTCGGAATACTGCTCCCACAGCAGCAACACTCCCTGAAAGTGACACAGTTTCACTCTCAGTGGCTCAGGTATTATTATCTATCCATCTATCAGAAGCACAGGTAGATTTGACTGACAAATACCCCAAATCTAACTTGATCCTGTGTACCTGTGTAACGACCCCACCGACAGCGAGAGCCGTGGAAGCCGGAGACTGTTCCCACTGAAGAGGTCTGGACTGAGGCTTCCTGCCCCGGCTCAGAGTCCAACCCATACACAGACTCAGCAACATGTAAAGCATGGACACCTGGGACACCATATCCCAGACTGCACAGGGAACAGGGAGTGAAAAAAAAAGAGGACACATAATAACATAACATTTTAATTTCTTTGTCTGTTTTACAAATGAAGTTCCTCTTACTGGAACTAAAGAAAGGACATATTTAAAGAAGAGGAACATACACTCTGCCAGGCTGCCCATCAGCGGAATACCGATACCATCTCTGGAATACCTGCAGAACGCAAAGGGAGGGAACAGGAAACAGTAAGAAGAGAAAAGGAGAGAGAAGCTGCTGGACATAAGTAAACGTAGGACTGGCTTTTCGTTCTTGGCGAGAGCTTGGTGACATAAAAGGCTGCAGACCGACGGCGAGCTGGCCTTCTTGCTGTTGTCAGTAATATTAGCTGGCTTGCAATGTCTTGTGTTGTTGCACTTGACTGATGTTTGTTAGAAGTTGTCAAGTAAGTAAGTAAAGTAATCATAAGTAATGTACAGCTGTCCATATTTACCACATTGGTATTGTACTCTGACACTAGCATATCTTACGTAATGTTGCTTTATTAAACAAGTAGAATTTTTTTGAAGTCAAAGATTTTTCAAGACCCCTCTACCTGGCTAAGTGGATGTAGTTGCAGAGAGCGGAGCAGCCCTGTAACCCCAGCGCTGTGGTCAGCACTTTGAGGACAGTGTGCATGGGCCCTCCTTTCCTCAGAGCCTGGTACAGAGGTTGGCAGTAGATGCAGCAGGCTATGAAGTAGGCCAGCAGCAGGAGGAAGTAAAAACTCTGGAGACCTGGAAGAGAGAATATAGGAAGGAAACATTTTGTCCCCACATGAATGATGCAGACGTCTCTTTACAAATCACAGTGTGGAGTTATAATGCAGTTATAAAGATACATCTGTGCAGGGTTAGTATCAACATAACATCTGGTAAACCATTATGGGCTTTGTATCATTTAAACAGTTAACACAAACTTATTTTGTAACAACTCCACACAAGCATCAAGCAGTGGAAGTGGACAATTCTATTTAGACAGAGGTTGACAGAAGTGACTTCAAGCAGAGATTTGTGGGAAAAAAGTTAATGATTGAAACCACAAACAGTTGGCTGTAACGTAACGTTAAAAATGAGATCTTGTTTAGAACAGCCTGTGGACTGTTTTCTATGTAAAGGTTCCAGTTCTTTGGCGTTTATCCGCTAAGTCAACAAACCCACCGCAACAGAGTCAGAGTCAAAGCTAGCATTACCGCAAAGCTAACCAAATATATTGTGATACTGTGGTTTTAGCCGGCTAATGTTAGCTTGCTTTCAACGCGGACAAATTGCTAGCTAACATAGTGAAATCGAGTTGGCTTGCCGTTTGCGGGTCAATTTGTCGGCTTGGGTTGCAGGGCGGCCGGTGCTGGATAACGTTATTCAGCGTGGCTGGGTTGGAGCTGGCTGGCTAACCTCGCTTGGTGGCTTGCTAATGTTATCGCTGACAAAATGTGAGTCCATATCTTAGCTGGCCCAGCTAACGTGATCCATGATACTAACTCATGTATTATGACAGTGTTGATTGATGGATTGATTGATTGATCAGCTGCTGTGAATGCTGGGAATATCCGGGAAGTCTGACCTGCCTCCTCCGCGCTATAGTGCTCCAGAGGATTTCCAGCTGAGTCGGCGTTAAACAGCAAGACAGTAAAACTGAGATCAGCGTGAGAAGGGATCACTGCACTTTCCTGGAGAGACAGACAGGAAACAGAAAGAGGAGAGGGAAACAAGGAGGGAAACTTAGTGTGACAAACTTCCAGTACCAGTCTTCAGGCCCTGAGGGACGCCACCCATGCTCTGCTTCTGATTGGCTAGCAGGCCTACTCGTAACCTCCTTTAGTTAGGTTAGCTTTCATTCTTTAGCTTGATCTGTAAAAAGTGATTGTCGGACCAGTGACTCTACCCACCCATTTTTATTAATGCTTCCCCATCAGCAGCTCTTTTATCGGCTATCATATTTAGGTAACTGAAATAAAAGTAAAAACTGGGCTTGAGAAAAAAAACAAACACTAACTGAAACGATATTGTGTTCTTCTGAAGCCTTGAGTGTGCTGTTTTGGCCGTCTGCAATTAAAAAAAAACGATCTCTAATAAATCTCTTAAACGAATAAAACCAATCCAAAACAAATCTAAACTAAAACGAGCAACTGCTGTTACCTGACACGTGTACCTGTCAGCATACAGGGCCTGCCAGGCTGTGGGCGAGGACTGACGAGGGATCGTCTGGTTGTGTTCTTCTTGACTGAGAGAAACTAAAGCAGGAGGAGAGAAGAGGACGAACGCGGTGAGATGAGGTGACAGTGTGGAGGAAGGAGAGCGGAGAAATAAATCAATACAGCTGCGACACATCCATCATATCAGAGCTCAGCACTCTGTATTAGTGAACCCTGGTTCTTACTGGTGAACTGGGCTCTGGAGAGCCTATCGGAGCAGCTGAGGTTGTCCAGGTCTGAGTCCATATCCTGATACAGTAGCAATCTGGACTCCTTCTCGGTAGCCAGAGCGGAGTTGTCCAGCCTGCACACCAGCAGACCATTATCACCTACGGGCGAGAGAGAGACAGGATCAATGGGCAATTGGGAAAATTACATGTTTCATTCGACTTAAGAAAGACTCTCCTCTCTCTCTCTCTCTGAAATTATTACATTTATGCATTATGGAATATATACAATTTAAATTGGCAAAAGTTAAAATTCCAAAAACATGAAGCTCATCGTGTGTGGTATGAGCTCTACACTATGACAAAAAGTTACACCTACACACACAGAATCAATCACAGAGAGAACCAGTGTTGCCAGCTTGGTGACTTTCTTGTTAGATTCAGAAACTTTTTCAGACCCTCTCAGCAACTTTATTTCTAAAAAGTGACAAGTGACAAATTTAGCAACTTATTCAAATCATCAGGGAAATGGTGAGAGACATATTCAAATATATTATATTGTAATTCCTGTGTTTCCTCTATGTTGTTCGGACGGGCCTGCCCCCACTGCTAAAAAAAGTCCTAGAGGAAACACTGAATTCATTCCCATGCATGCTGCATGGCTCTTCTGCCAAACTCTCCCTCTCCTCTTAAGCCATGCAGGCAGTGTGGTGGCATGTTTGACCTTCTTTCTCGCTCTTTCTCTCCGGATCAGAGTGTTCTTATGGCTTGTATGCAAATAGTTTCTTTGAGCTTGTAAATATTTAAAGTTTGTTTGTTATTCTCTCTAGCTTTTTGATTTTTTTTAACGTTTCTTACTGCTACTACTAATTAAATATACAATGTTCCTGTTGTGTGATTATTTGGATAAATAATGAAAATGCAAGTCAGTGAGAAAATTACTAAAATAATAATGAAAACCAATTGTGGCCAAACATCTAGGGTAATTCATGTATTTATTATTAGGATAAGTGCAGGGAACAACTAGCAGAACATCTATGATGGACCAGAGTGAGTCAACAAAGTTATTAAACTACATTAATTAATTGTATCAATTATTTTTAACTATCTCTGGTTCCAGGTTCTCAAATGTGATGACTTACTGCATTTCTCTCTTATGTATCATCATAAAATTCATATTTTACCAGGTTTGACTAAAAAACTATTTGTGATGTCACAAAGTATGCTCGTAGGCCCCGCCTCTTAAAATCTGATGTTCAGTGAGCTCAGAGAAACTTTCCACTTTCAGCAGATAAATGTGAAAACATTCCTTTAGTGTCAGACTCTGCACATAAATCATTCTACACAGTGAAGACCAAACATCACACTGTAGGAACAAGAAGACACTTTCTTTTTGGACTGGAGGGGGACTTTAATTGTCCCGGAGCACTTCTACTGAAGCACTCACTGAAAGTCACCCTAAATGTGAAAATGCTCAACAATAAGACACACTGCCGGAATATCTAGCTCAATATCAAATAAAGTGAGGACATGTTAGTTACACCAATCGGTTAGCCAGTAGCAAATAGAAAAGCAACAAGAAGAAAACCAGTGAGCTGGATCAACACGCCATCATGCCACGTTAGTGTTAATGCTGAATTTGAGCTAACCCTGTCGCAACATCAGCATCGTTAACGTTAACGTTACCTTGGTACATGAATTTAGTGATGAACTGGCCATTCTGCTGCCTCGCTACTTCGCTCTTAAAAAGTCCCGTCACGGTTTTCCCGAAAGCCTCCGAACTGAGAAGAACCACAGCTACGAATGTGGCTAACAGACACGACATTTTCCCCTTATGCTTTTTTAACGTTATCGACAAATAAACGTTAGCTAAGCAATTCAATGAGCCACGAAGCCAGAAGTAAACCAGCTGCGTCAAGTCACCCACAGTCACCCTGAATGAGACCGGAAGTTGGGTGTTTCTGTCCTCAAGTAAAAGCTCGCATTTCATTTTCTTACACAAAGTAGAGCTAAACAGATTTATGGTATACAGAGTGACGCAAAAACATCAAGACTCACTCATTGGAATTTTATATTAAATTATGGATTAAACTAAAGCTGTAATGCATTGTAAAATCTATAACACTGAATTGTGTAACAGTAGTTTATTTCCTGAGAGTACATTTTAGTTCTTTAGTATATGTAAGGTTTTAAACAGTAATGTGACTTGACTAAACAAAAACTATGTAAACATTCGAAAAGCAAGTATAAAGATAGTAAATATATTTTAATTTCACCACTCTTATTTTGAAAATCAGTTCCGGACGTTACATATTTCTTGTCGCTCACTTGACACCGTCGTCCAGCCCAGCGGGCAGGGCTGACAGTTTGATTGATTTGGGATTCACGCAATCAAACAGCGCATATTCGCGCCGCCAGGTAAAATAACCAATCAGAGAGCCGAAACCAGGCTACGTGCCATAAACGTTCCACCCATTTTCAACGTGTCAACAGTGCCGTAAAACGACAGGAGACTGTCGCACATTACACAATGCACCTACTGTACTACAGGAACTAACGTTAGAGAACTCCTGGACCTGTGCGACAGTTAGCTCACTGCTAGCAGGCTGATAACGATGAAGATGCCGTTATTATGTCTGTAGGAGAGTTTAATGGAGACTGACAGCTGACGGTGAGCAGAGGATGGACTTCACCAGGACTCTTCTGGTGACCGGAGGCGCTGGATTCATGTGAGTTCAGATAGTGAGGAAGGTAGTGAGGAAGGTAGTGAGGAAGGTAGTGAGTTCAGATAGTGAGGAAGGTAGTGAGGGAGGTAGTGAGTTCAGATAGTGAGGAAGGTAGTGAGTTCAGATAGTGAGGAAGGTAGTGAGGAAGGTAATGAGGAAGGTAGTGAGGAAGGTAGTGAGGAAGGTAGTGAGTTCAGATAGTGAGTTCAGGTAGTGAGTTCAGGTAATGAGGAAGGTAGTGAGGAAGGTAGTGAGGAAGGTAGTGAGTTCAGATAGTGAGTTCAGGTAGTGAGTTCAGGTAGTGAGGAAGGTAGTGAGGAAGGTAGTGAGGGAGGTAGTGAGGAAGGTAGTGAGGAAGGTAATGAGGAAGGTAGTGAGGAAGGTAGTGAGGAAGGTAATGAGGAAGGTAGTGAGTTCAGATAGTGAGGAAGGTAGTGAGGAAGGTAGTGAGGAAGGTAATGAGGAAGGTAGTGAGGAAGGTAGTGAGGAAGGTAGTGAGTTCAGATAGTGAGTTCAGGTAGTGAAGGTAGTGAGGAAGGTAGTGAGGAAGGTAGTGAGTTCAGATAGTGAGTTCAGGTAGTGAGTTCAGGTAGTGAGGAAGGTAGTGAGGAAGGTAGTGAGGGAGGTAGTGAGGAAGGTAGTGAGGAAGGTAGTGAGGAAGGTAGTGAGTTCAGATAGTGAGGAAGGTAGTGAGGAAGGTAGTGAGGAAGGTAGTGAGGAAGGTAGTGAGGAAGGTAATGAGGAAGGTAGTGAGGAGGGTAGTGAGGAAGGTAATGAGGAAGGTAGTGAGTTCAGATAGTGAGTTCAGGTAGTGAGGAAGGTAATGAGGAAGGTAGTGAGGAAGGTAGTGAGGGAGGTAGTGAGGAAGGTAGTGAGGAAGGTAATGAGGAAGGTAGTGAGTGGAGGTAGTGAGGAAGGTAGTGAGGAAGGTAGTGAGGGAGGTAGTGAGGGAGGTAGTGAGGAAGGTAATGAGGAAGGTAGTGAGTTCAGGTAGTGAGTTCAGGTAGTGAGGGAGGTAGTGAGGAAGGTTGTGAGGAAGGTAGTGAGGGAGGTAGTGAGGGAGGTAGTGAGGAAGGTAATGAGGAAGGTAGTGAGTTCAGGTAGTGAGGAAGGTAGTGAGGAAGGTAGTGAGGGAGGTAGTGAGGGAGGTAGTGAGGAAGGTAATGAGGAAGGTAGTGAGTTCAGGTAGTGAGGAAGGTAGTGAGGAAGGTAGTGAGGGAGGTAGTGAGGAAGGTAGTGAGGAAGGTAATGAGGAAGGTAGTGAGGAAGGTAGTGAGGAAGGTAATGAGGAAGGTAGTGAGTTCAGATAGTGAGGGAGGTAGTGAGGAAGGTAGTGAGGAAGGTAATGAGGAAGGTAGTGAGTTCAGATAGTGAGGAAGGTAGTGAGGAAGGTAGTGAGGAAGGTAGTGAGGAAGGTAGTGAGGGAGGTAGTGAGGAAGGTTAGCATTATCCATTTCCGGCTCATCGTTTAGTTTGTTAAGGCATCGAACTGTGACCTCCCTCGCTCCTCAGTCACCTTCAACCAACTCCTACAGTTCATACTGAAATATTAACATGTAAAACCTAGCTCACTGGATAACTATATCCATATATCACAGTGACATCACAGGGAATAATATTATAGTAATTAAAAGTCATTATTAAATAGAATATCCTCGGGTTGTGGACAAAACAAAGACACATTAGTATAGGACATATACTCTGTATCACTGTATATATAAGGTTACATTCAGACAGGACTAGTGACTAGCAGGGGCCATGGATATTAGTTATTGGATTAACATCACATTAGTTAGTGAACAGGACGATACTTAGTCTGCTGATTTTTTAAAATCTGTTTTGGCACAAACATCAGAGCAATGTGGGAGTCTTATGTGTTTCTCCCCCTCTCTCTCCCTCTCTCCCCCTCCTCATCTCTCCCTCCAGTGGCTCCCATCTTGTGTGCTCCCTGGTCTGCACACACCCAGACTGGAGAATTATAAACCTGGATAATGTGAGTCTCCACTCTCACTTTTTTCCTCACTCCAGTTCCTTTCAAATATAAAAAAATCTGGGCAAGCTCATCTCTGAGTGAGTTGACCTCATGTTGACATCCTAAGTGTGTTGTATGTACCGTATTATTTCTTCAGTTGGATTACTGCTGCAGCCCCAAGAGTCTGCAGAGTGTTGAAGACAGAGCGAACTACACCTTTATCAGAGTGAGAGCTGCTGACATCAGTGTTGTTGAACCAGAAAGATTCGGTCCTTTATCTTAAACAGCAGTCTGACTGTTCAAATCTACTTCTTCAACAGGGAGATGTGTGTAACTCGCGGCTGGTAAATCACATTTTCAACACAGAAAGCATTGATGTGATCTTCCACCTGGCAGCCAGAACACACGTCGGTGAGCAGCGGTTGTTCAAATCTATTAGTACCTGTTGGTTAAACTCTTTACCCTACTCCCCTGCAGTGTCTCACCTGAAGAAACAGTGTTATGATTTGATGGTCTTTTTCTCTTCCCGTCGCTCAGAGACGTCATTTGAAAGTCCATCCAGTTTCCGGCGTGTCAACATCGATGGAACCAGAGTGTTATTGGGAGCCGCCCATGAGGCCCGACACCGGCCGCAGTGCTTCATCTATGTCAGCACCGATGAAGTGTACGGAGCCAGTCTGGACGAGGTCAGTGAACGGCCAGTCTGTTGACGGGGTGTTGGCTTTTTGAGTCATTTACTGACTGTTTTGGGTGTTTGTTCTCTGCAGGTGTTTGATGAGAGTAGTCCAGTGAGGCCCTCCAACCCATATTCTGCCACTAAAGCAGCAGCGGAGTACCTGGTCAGATCCTACTGGGATAAATATAAGGTACACACACCACACAGGCAGGGAGGTAGCTTCTAAATGACGTAAATGAACAGGTTTTTATTTAGTTCTTGGCTTTTTACTGTGTTAAGGAATGTTTTTTTAACGATAACTAGTATCAGCTTCTAAGTTGTAAGAATTTTCTCAATCTTACGTGAATTCTGAATTTCCGTCTGGCTATCTGTATGTTTAAACACTGCTCTGTTTTTCTCCTACCAGTTTCCCATCATCATCACCAGGAGCAACAACATCTACGGGCCCAGGCAGTACACTGAGAAGGTACAGCACCCTCACTGACAACACTTGACTTTAATCATTGATTGCTCCATTTGTATAATTATAATACAATATAATAATAACAAGATATCTGTTCAAGCTTTTCATTTGTTTTGACACATTTAATGGTTGTACAAAGTGTCCTTGCCTGGTTTTGTTCTGTTGGAATTGCAGTTTTTCTGGTTTTAAATGCTCCAGATAAACAAGAATGATCTTTCACGTTTCACGTTTAAACTCAACTCATCTTACAGTGACGAAGATATTGACTATTTAAAAGCAGCAACCATCTTCTTGATCTTTCAGGTCATTCCAAGGTTTCTCACCCTCTTGCAAATGAACAAGAAATGGTAGGTTTGTTTGAACTTTAGGTAGGATAAGTACAAAGTTTTCCTGGCAAACCTTGTATCTATGGAGGGTTTTTGGGGCTGAAATTAAATATATAAATGCATAAATAATTATATATTTAAATGCTTATATAAATGAATATATAATTCTATAATAAAATGCTTAAATAAATGAATGAATGAGTAATGATATGATTTAAGGCTAAATAAATATTTGATTATATAATAAAATGTTGAAACAAATGTATACATAATTATATAAGTAAATGCTAAATTGTCCCCATAAATCAATCACAAATTAAATGAGGCATTCATTTATTTACTTATTAATGTATTCACACATTTATTTATCTGTTCATACTTTTATAACTAGATAAATGTGTGACTAAATGAGATGAGTTAAGAAATGAAGGGATAACAGATACAGATTAGTAAACTCTGGTGCAATTACTTTTAATTATGAATTGAATATAAAAAAATATATATATACAAATATGTAATAATAACAGTAGTATTTGTTTGATTTAATACATTAAGAGAAAAGCAGAGTAAAGCTACATTCTAACCTGGGTTTCTGTTTCTCCTCTCTGCCACAGCACCATCCAGGGAACCCTCCCTAAATCCCGCCATTTCCTGTTTGTCGATGACGCCGTCAGCGCCTTTCTGCTGGTTCTGGAGAAAGGGACTGTGGGAGAAATCTACAATATTGGAACAGGCTCCGAGATTCCCATCATGCAACTGGCCAGGGAACTTGTCAAGATGGTGGGTTCAGGAACCGTTCTCCTTATTCAAACGTATAGCGGTAGACGTACAAATACATTATAAGTGTCAGGTACAGTGATTGTAAAGAAGATGTATCAATCTTTGTGGTTTTTTTTAGGTCAAGAATGTGCCAGACTCTGAGGTGAATGATTGGCTCGAGTTTGTGCCCGACAGGTGAGTCAACCAGTGCAGAAATCAAGTATTACAACCATAAAGAGTGGTAACAAAGTCACTCAGTTTGAGTGTTAATGTGTCTTAATGTAGCTATATGTAGGCTTCAAATCAGTATTTTGGTAGGAATTGAAAAAACTTTGCTGTACACTCAATACGGGAAAAGTTCTGCGCTCTCGTGGCCTGAAAGCACGAGTCGACCCAAGATCCAGTTCTAAAAATGTGAAAATGTCTTATTTTGGTGAGTAACTGTTAATATAAAATATAACAATATAATTATCTCCACGTTAGTCTTTACCTAGGTCAATTGGAAAAGTCATACATTTGTTTCATGAATCAGGACCGTGAGCTGAAGCCCATAACAACATGAGACACATCTGAAATCTACTGATCTAGAAGCTCAAACACTGACCTCTGCCCTGTAGGCCACGTGTCGACCTGCGCTACCCCATCAGCTGTGAGAAGCTGCAGCAGCTGGGCTGGAGAGCTCAGGTGTCCTGGGCTGAAGGCATCCGACAGACTGGTACAGTAACACACACACACACACACACACACACACACAGGCCTCTAGATTGAAAAAATATCTCTAGCGAGGAGACAGGGTCAGTACATTAAAGCCCTGATCCACAAAAGGAGTACATTTTAGCTCAAACTGTCTAAATATAGATGGGAGCAGATGAAGAGATGGTTCCCTCTGTATAATGTGTGCAATTAATTCCTGTGTTTTGTGTCTTTTAGTAAAATGGTACCAGGACAACCCAGACTTCTGGTCAGACACGAGCGAGGACCAAGGACAAATCAGAGGCAAGCTCCAAAAAGCGACCAACAAATGAGCGGGCTCAGCTGTGCCCTGCTGCTCGACTGACAGGACGTTGAGTGAACTAAGACACGGAGTAGTGACTTCAATTATTTCACGATATTTGTGTAAAAGAGGCGATTATGGCTGATTTACAGCTCACATAACAAATAACAAATACTGAACACATGAGGACAGTTTATTATAAGGGGCCGGGCAGCTCTGCTCTTCTTCTTCCAATAAGGAAATCCGCCTTTCCATGCATTAAAATAAACACAGTTTTGCACATAGTTTCAGTCTTATGCCAAGTTTTCTCAACTGGGCTATTCATCCAAACGGTGGCGCTTAAGCAACCATCTAAAGTTTACATTTTTGATAATTCATATCAGTCGTATGTGCTATAGCAGAAATGTTCAGATGCTCTCACTTAGTTTTTCTAAATATTAAATACTAAATACTAAAATATTTAGTGTGGTCAATGTTTGAATCTGAGAAGCTGAATTTTTGACACTATTTCGAATGTAGATTATTGCTGTCAGTGGAAATAGGGCATCTTTAAACTTCAGTTTATCACAGTAAATCAAGATAAAATAATAACAGACAGTGCTGACACACGACTTTTAATGATAAATTTGGTTCCATGTCATTCCTCAATGCCCGGCCACCGACTGACTGCTGCGCAGCTATAATTCTGTTTCTGTCTCTAAATGATCGTTGGACCAACAGGCCCTGAAGTGCCAGACAACAAGAAGGCAGAGCCTTCCTTCAACCAAAGCGAAGTTTCACCTAGAAATCAATGCACTTTATCTTGACGCTATGGAAGACCATTTCCGCCAATGTGACGAGAAAAGAAAAAAAAGATTCTGAGAGTCATAATGAAGTTTTCTCTTTAGCATCTTAAAATAATTAGAAACTTTATCAATATTTTGACTTAGAATCTCAAAATAGGGAAGTTTGGGGTCCTCTGCTGGACTTGCCCCGCGACCCGATCCCGGATAAGCGGATGAAGATGAGATCTCAAAATAATGAAAAAATCTAAATACTGAGATTCTCATTTTGAGAGACTAAAACAATATTTTGTGAAAGTAAAAGGTAAATTATAATGACTTACAGAATCCTTTTTTCCCTGTCACATTGGCGGAAATGGGCTTCCATATGATATTCATTACTGATTCAGCTAATGTTTACAAGTGGTCTTATTTTGCTCCACTTGGGCTTTTTATGCACAATGTTTAAGTTTATTTTTAAGTCTGAAACACACACTAATGAAGTATGTAAGAATCTGAAAGCTCCATTAAACAATTAACCAACGCGTACTAAGTTACCCTAGGACCCGCGAAATTTGAATAGCATGTTTCATTTGTATTGATAAGAGACTGAATTAGGAAAGGCTACAACAATTGAAACGCAGTGCCATTTTTAGCTCTGTGCTCCAATAACAGTTTAGCAAGCCTCAGTCAACTACATGGTAACCAAATTTTGATAATGGTTAAAAGATAAAAGCAACATATAGAAATATCTTAATATAATAATAAGACTTAATTGTAAAATGCAAGACCTATTTATTAGGCATATAAATGACCTAAAAATGTATCAAAATATGAGGCTGGTTGAAATGTCAGAAATGGATTCAGCATCCCCAATAACCCCAAAACCACTCCTATATTGTCCAAATAGGCGATTATGCTATTTAATGCTAATTATGCAAATTGCCCAACATCTGTAAATTAGCATTCAGCAGTTTCTGTATGCTGGGGACCCATACATTACATTTCTAACATCAAACCTTGGGGTACTCCACGTTTCCGGGGTCACAATGGGGATCTACTGCCTGGCAAGTTAAGTTAGCAAGTTGATATAAATTAGTTAGCTAGAATTCTGCTCTGTAGCAAAACACTAGCTAATTAATAGCCTAGTTACACCAATCATTAGCTAGCTAGTTACTTTGTGTTTTGCTAAAACACAAGCTAACTAGCTAACCAATTTACATGAAGTGTTAGTTAGCATTCTGATAACATTAGTTAACTTAAGATGTGACAGTATGTCGCCAAAACCAAAATGTGGTTGTCTTTTGAACATAGATTAGCCTAGCACGTAGCATATATAAGTACAGGAAAGGAGGAAGTTGACAGGTTCTGACTGAGGCTTGCTCAATGGTTATTGGAGCACAGAGCAAAAAGGGGAGGGATTTATAAAGGGTTCATTCTGATGCAGCTACTGTGTTGGTCCCTCCCTGAGGGGCAACACAGGCAGAAACGACTTTGATTGGCGTTGACATTTGTGTATGTTCCAGGGTTTATGTGCAATTGTTGGCGTTGTGACTGATCTTTTTAAAAATCTTCATTATGATACATAAAATCAAATTATGATGGTAGACTGAAAACAGGGAATACACGTTTTACATACACTCAAATACAAGGTTACTCCTGCTCACGTTCTGCAAGGTTTCAAATGTATGTTTAACCTTTTACAGTATAACCATTCTGCTAAGTTTTAAAATACTTTGATTTTGTTAGAGTAGCCTTAGAAGAAAAGGATGAGAAGGGAACTGTAGTTAGCTTAAAGTCCATTCATCTCGTGTTTTCTACACATTCTATAGAGATATTTTCATACGATTCTGTAGCATGCATTAAACTGCAAATAAAGTTATTTCATATTTGACACTGTTTCTGCTTTTCTACACTTTTTAAGGTCACACATACACAGAGTAAGACACAGATTAAAACACTTATTACATTTGCAAATTCAAACCTTTATTTGTGGTAAAATCAGAATAGATGCACATTTTTTTTCTTTTCTTCGTGCAGTGCTCCTCTTCGTGCACAACTGCTAAACTAATACATAAAGCAAATACTAACTACCAGGCTGGAGGTGCTGCGTGTCCACATTCAGGGGTCTGGCCAGTCAGTAATGGCAACAACACTGGGCTTCATTTCATATTAACTCAATTACTAAACAGCAATCATTCCTAAATACGACTACACACTTTTTTTGTAATAACCCTCTTAAGTTTATTGAATCACATGTAAAATGAAGTCAGTGTTTTATTTGTTTCCCAGAATGCAGCAATAAACTTACTGTCGCAAAGTTAAGTGTCTGCATACAAAAGGCAGTAAAGTCATGATCATGATGTACCATATCTATGATCTGTCATTGGCTTTGCTGGGATTGCATTGCATTCTGGTCCATTGAGGCTACTACTGTTGGACACAGATTTGTTGTGCCAGTATAACTGCAGAATGTCTGTGCTAAGTGAACCTACAGTAAAAATACAAGTGACTATACAAACAGCTGCAATATCATATTCTCATGCAAGAGACAGATAAAGACTAATGTAAAGACACCTGGACGGACGTCATCAGGTGGTCTTTTCCCCATTTCTGATTGGCCAGAAGCTCCCCCAAATGAGCATCAACACACTGACGCCTGAAAATATGCAAATCACAACAACATAGCAGTAGAACCACAGTTAATTCTGTGTTATGAAGACTTTAAAGATCACCACTTGCCAGACATTCACAACAAGGGTATTACCGGGAAGGAAAAAAGTGTAAAGACTCAAATGAAAAAGTTAAAATAAAAAACAACAACAGACTTGGAGAGAATCTGGACACTTGTTTTTTGTACTGCATGTTTCTTTTTTTTACAAAATGGTCTTTGATCGTTGACGTTTACATTATTTTTTAATCCAAACCTTGGCATATATGGTGGTATTGTCTCAAATTTTGTTTGCCAATTAAAAATGGCTGTTTGCGGTTGATTATCATTATTGGCAATGGAACCTGTCGCACAAACAGGTTTGTGGATCTGATACTGAGTCCAATGTGACTTTAAAGGTAACCCGTGTAGGATGTTTCTCGTAATATGTCACGGTTGCTGTCAGTGCTTCACTCTGTGGCGTCATGCAACACCATTAGGGGTGTAAGAAAATATTGATACACTTGAGTATTGCGATATTTGAAATGAAAGCCAAAATACGGGATAATCGGCACTTTTCACCTGATGAAGAGTCTCGCCAAGGTTTCGCAGGCCTTTTTGGGGGGATTGTTGTGTACCTGATTTCTAAAGAAAGATGCGATGCATGCTGCGATGTTTTTAGGCATTTTTTTGCAATGGAATTGCGGGAGAAAGTGAAAATCACGGGATTGCTATGATTGGTAAAATTGGTCGGAAACTACAGTGATTGATCAGATTTGCGGAATAAATGCGATGTTGCCGGGATTGGGTGAATTGGAAATCATTTTTGCCATCGCAACTTGAAAAGTCAGGGGATCTGGCTTGCTTTGCGTTGGCCTTACACAGAGGATTGGCGTATTTGGATTTCTGACTTGCAGATATCTGGAGCACTAGTGCGGTTTGATTTTTGACCTTTTTGCATTTTCATGTAATCACAGCTTCTTACAGTGACATATTTTAAGAGAAATCCCTACACGTTGCATCTTTAACATTAAAAAGCTCACACTACCCCAGAAAAATATAAATTTTCACTCATACCAATGACATTCAACATTCAAGTGCCAGTGTTTTTGTTTACTGTCTTTTGGTCAAGTCACTTTGTAAAATATCAACTTTCGTATTAAGCTTATAAAAATAAATATTTCCCAAAAAGGCTTGATAAATTACACAAACTAGCAGCGAAAGTAGACTCGAGAACTCTGTGTGCAAACAGCTGAATTTCAGCTGAAGTTTACGGTTGCTGTTAACTAGAACTCCACCTGGTCCCAAAAACAAAAAAAAACAAAAAAACTGTTTCATATCTGGAAGAACCTTTCCATAAAACATACAAACACACACACACAAAACTGTGGAGAAGCCTCTCTTTGAACCCTGGCTACACTACACTTCAAACACACTCACTCACTCCTTCATACCTCTCAGAGGTTTTGAAGGAAATGTATTAGAGAAGACTTAAATTGAACATTAAACTAAGTAACCAAAGTATTTTCTGTAAAACTCGGTGGGATTTGAAGTCTTTCTACAGAAGAGGGCCCTGCAGGCCGCAGCAATGGGAGCATAGCACCATTAATTGTTCACTGACAATCGAAGCACTCCTGCTGGTAAGTTAGTTACTGTAGTGATGCAGAATCATTTTCCATGATAATGCTGTATACAGTGTAACCAACTTCACTATCTGCTCCATTAGGGCTGGGTATCACCCTTGAATTTAAGGCATCGAAAGGTTTTGAAAATATTCAAAAACCAAAAACTAAAGTGCTGGATTTCTAAATGAGAACTTTGATTTTCTTTCAGATGAAGTAAACTGAGCAGTCTACTTCTGATTTAAGTAAAGCTGATGGTTAAAACAAATGTTACATTTAAACTCATTTACTGTAGAGGGTATGTATTTATTCACATGATACCCCCCTACACTGCTGAGTGGCAAAAATAAACTGGTATAGCTTCAATGAATGGAAGCGCTGCAATACAGTGAGAAAAACAAATCACCTTGAACAAGACTTACAGCAAGAGCATCTATAGCCATGCGAGCTGTTTCAGACTATAGTCTAACACCAGCATGCTAACATGCTCACAATGACAATGTTACCATGCTGGTATTTAGCTGGTAATGTTTACCATGTTAACAATCTTAGTTTAGCATGGTAGCACGCTAACATATGCTAACTAGCGGTAAAACAAACTACAGATGAGGCTGATGGTAATGGCATTGGACAAATTTAAATTATGCCTAATGATGGCGATAGAAGGAACATCGGGGGTCATTAAGATTCATCCTCTTACAAATTTCAGTCTGTAGTAGACCAAGTGACTGACCTACAGCCATAGAGCCCTGCTGCTAGCATTGCTAAAAAAAAAGGCCAACAGAATTGACAGGGAATTTTACTCTAGTAACAATGACGATACAAAATGGCAACTACATAGGAATCCAAGTTTCAGCACCAGGAATCCAGGTGTCATGTCTTCTCAGCCTTTGTCAGTCAGTAAAAACTTCTGCCTGAGTTGTTTCTGAATCGGTTTGTGGCATTGATCGACACAACAGCTCTTAAAACATTAACACAGTGCTTTAAGCAATGTTTCAATTGGGTTATCACTGCTATGCTGAACATGTGTGTTTGTCATTCTGGGGTGAATGACCGCGGTGACTTCCATGTACGGCGATGTCACATGCACGCCCACTATGTCATTTACTTTTATCTGTTACTATATTTTCATCTGTATTGAAAAATACCCAGCCCTAACTAACAAGATTCAGTCATTTCAAGGCACCGCGCACATGTCAGAATTTGGGCTGAATTCCTTTTGTGCCAGTTTGTGCTCAAATCCTAACGGAGCACAGACAGAAAACGGCCTCAACAGAACAGAAGAAGTGAAGTGAAAGCAAGCCACAAGTAAGTGATATTGATCGGACTTACTGCAGGAAGTTCAGTGCCCAGGGGGCATTTTGATGAGGTGGGATGGGGGTTTGGGGCACAGTGGTAGTAAAGTTTTGCTCCAACACAGTTCAATAGTAATTAGAGCTGACAGATAGAGCTGCCCTAGAAAAAGATTTAAATACATTGCATATATACATGTGTGTACTCTGAACAACACTACTTGATGAGATTGCTCTATAAACAAGATGAAAAGTGAGGTAAACTTCAGTTTGACCTTCCTTGATTCCCTGCTGTGTAACTCCTCAATTCCTATCAGCAGTCAACAATTAGCTCATATCTTGTATCCCATCAGCAATTCTTAACAATGCTAGGAACAAAAAAAGTAATTCCTTCATTTATTCAAATTATTCTATCTGCCCCCTAGTGGCTGTTAGAAGGCACAGCAACGTCTACACACTGAACCAGATTCATTCAAGTGGCTTCGCCTCTCACTGTATATCCTTCTTATAAGTGTGCATTTGAGTTTAGGCTGCAGGAAAGGCATTATCGCATACTTATAAAACACAAAAGACTGCATACTAAGTTTGTGGTAGGCATTTGTCATGGATTCAAGTAACAAATGCTGACAATATCACCTCTCACAGAGGGAATATATGACAATGTCAGTTGACAATTCAGGCATTAAAATTGTGTTATTTAGTCAATATGTAAAGATAGACTGATTTTGTAACAGTGCCTCACGAATGTATTCATCTGCTTTGAGCTCCAAAACAACAAATATCTGGGTGGAAACTTTGAGATTGAAGGACACCACTGGTTGCTGTAATAAAAGCAGAGTGTATCTTCATCTGGAAGGTAATGAGCTTCAGTTTGGCATTTATCTGCCTCTGCAGATCCTTCTCCCCCATGATGGAGGACAGTAGTTGGATGTGCATTAAAATTTGACAGTTCTCAAAAAAACTGCCAATTTGACAGCTGGTTAAGAAAATTGCTACATGTAAAGGTGTCCCCAAGACTATTAAAAAAGTGCAACTAAAGTGAGTAAAAAAAAAATCCTTCATAATTGATTGTCTTTTGCACGGTTATCTTTAACTTATTGTCTTCAACAGTTCATGTAATAAATCTAAGATGGAGACTATCCACCATTGCTGCAGGAGAAATTAAAGTGTTATTCAAATCATGCCCACCGAAATGTTTGATTGGTTAAATGGCTAAAATTATCTATTGGGACACCTAAAACACAGTTCTGGTCAACAATTTATTTAATGTTTTAACTGGTGCTCATTGTAGTTTAGCCTGAATTATACAATGCTGAACCACACTTTAACGAAAGAAAATGCAAAATAATTTTCTGTTTTTGGTTCATTTTGAAGTGGCCATGGGGAGCAGTTGGACAGTGTGCTGCGTCTGCCCATTTTTTTCTAACACTGACAACTGTCCTTAAACGTAGCAACATCCCTTTAAATGCCATTTTACTGGCCCATCATTTTAACCACTACAAGGTGAACAAACGCAATAAGTTGGTGGATTTTCACTAAGATACCAAAAGGCTAGTTTGCACGTGACCTGCTGTCTGCTTGAATCCCGAGTCCTCCAGCATCACTCACTCAGCCTGAAACTCTTCAAAAGCCAACTAGTTTCCTAAAACCTTAACTGTACTCAAGGGAAATACGTTTGACCCAAACATGACCTGTGATCAAAAAGTAGTCTAAAAATCATAGAAGACGGGAAATATCAGAGAGTTCTAACATAACTGAAGCCTGCTGTAGAATTGTATTTATTTGCTTGGCGTTTTCTTTTTAACTCCTTGACCAAAAAACAACAACACTTGCATATGTTTTATTGTCTTGGTCCAGCCTTGTCATTTGTCAAAGCCAAAGCCAGTGGGCAATTTGAGATCTTCCTTGTGAGCATTAATTGGTAAATAAATTGGCTTTACTGGTTTATGTATGTGTAAACATGCAGTTTCCTTAAATAATATCTTTAAAGAATAAATCTGCCAATCAAATTGCCCACTGAACTAAGCTAACCAGACACTGCCTGGTCCAACGTAGAGTGATCAAACAAAATATTTTACACATCAAGTGTTGTTCCACTTATAATTCACATTTAATTATTCTCATTTACAATTCACATTCTTTTTCAGTGGAGATTCTTCTCTTTTGGTTTTAAGAAGAGTTGAACTATTTACATTGAATCTATATTTTTATTTCACTAAAGTTGTTCAAGTAAACAAAACAAATTAAGATCCTGATGAAAAATAACGATCCCCCCCCCCCACCAGGTAGCAACAGAGCATTTTTTTATTTTTAATTATTCTGCTGCTGCTAATTAACACAGTGGGGGATTGGAGCTCTGCCACTGAACTGTCCAAATGTACAGTGGAGTTCCTTTTAGGAGATCAATCAGGGGTGAAACATGGACATCCTGGGTGCAGGTCAACTGCCCCTTGGAGCCTGGTTCCACAGCAGTGCCAGGCAGGGCTAACCAAGGATTACGTCAAAAAAATATGTTGGAACACGATATACAGTTCTGTTATGCCACTTTAACACTAGCACACTTTACCTGTCCTATATCTTACAACTATGCTGAGCTAAGTATCTTTTTAACATTCCTAGCCGGGCTTAACTGAAACGATGCAAGCCAAGGCGTCATTTGACAACACATACATACAGAAGTAGTAGTCGAGGTATAGTAGGCGGAAAGTGTCGTGCTTTTTCTGTGGTGCTGTCGCAAGTTCATAATAAGAAAGAGAATAACAGCATCAGTCCACAACTCCACGTGTCAAGAGCCTGCTGGAGTAAAAAGCTTACTTGGAAAAATGTGGCATGCTGCCTTTAAAAGTTGGAAATGTCTGTGCTTTTTGTGTCATCTGAGTACTTTGAAACATTGCAACAGAGAAATGGACTTCATTACAAAGCCATTGAGAAACAGAAAACAATGAAGCTTGTATATGTTGAATCACTAGGAAGAATAGGAATGTATGCACCAGCAAGCTTAAGCAGGAGCTGACTAGTTCCATTTCGTCCGTGAGTGAGAAGAGCAAAGTTTGGGCACATCTTAAACCTCCAACACATAATCCAAGGAAGTAGTGCCTTTTCCAGCCGGTCCTGTCCTATGGACACGGCTGGAATAGTGCCTGATTTTCTCAAAGTACTGTAAGACAGGACATGGTTAAAATGTGCTATGAAGGAGTGGCATATCCTCTAGAAAGCCCCAGCTGTCCCTGCTGTGATAGGTTAGGCTTATAGATTATCCAATTCTTTACTTTTATCCCTGACCTCGACAGATCTTAAAGACCCAACGAATAAACTGGAATGACTTATTTTAGAGAAGACTCTTCATGTAACTCTCCAGGATAGAGTGAGCAAGAACATTTTGAACTCTTTTAGCCTTTTAGTTGTGTATCCCCCTTGAAAGAAGCTTTTGGCAAACAAGGGTTTCAATGTTTGAGGTGGAAGCGGAGCCAGTTTCCCAAGAGCATGGTGGCACTAAGAGTCAGTGGAACAGCCACATCCAGTGATACAATTTGGTAACTGTTGTTTTAGCAGCAGCCATATAGTGGTTTTAATTTTTACACCCCAAAAATGTTGCTACTCCTTGCTTTGACACCACTGCTAGATGTGGTCACAAGTACAAAAGAGCACAAGCATAGATAATTATCAGGCTGTGAATATATTTCATTTTGGCTAATATTACCCTAGAGAACTGACACTGAAACTGTTATGATTGCAAGGTTTCAGGAACATACCTACATTTGCAATCGCATATCTGATTGATTAGTAGCTGTAATATAACATGATTGCTGCTGCACGGATACACCCAATTCTTTCTCAGTGGCTCTGTGACGGACATAATGTGACCCAACAATTAGTGACAAGATGGCCTTGAGAAACCCAGACTCGAGCTCAAACCAGAGCTGTAGATGTGACTTATAGGTCAATTAGTAGGACTTGGTTTTCAAAAAGCATAAAACCACAGCAGTTATCTCCGCTAGTAAAGATAGGAGGTATTATTTAGTAATTAATGCAACTTTGAACGAGGCAAAAGTGTTCTCTTATTGACCCATTTTAGTCACTTTGGATGAGGGTATATCAAAAGAATCTTTAAATATGATTACAGTGGTATTATGCTTTTTGGAATCAGCTCATTAGAGACCTTCTGAGAAATTTGAAATCCAATAGACGGATAAGAAATTGCTTTGAGTTTCCTCATCGCAGTTTTTGTTTAGTTTTTATTTTTTTTTTGCCAAGGTTTGATTTAGTTCAAGCCTAGTTTGTTTCCATCCAAATAGAAATAAAGAAAAACATGTTTTAACCCATACATGACATTAAATACTCATTTTTTAGTCACAGTTGGCCAATACTTGTAGCCAGTTACTTATTATGGCAATAAAAACAACGGAAATAAGAGACAAAGTTCAAATTCTTAAAGGCACAGTACAGAAACAAATGACCCTCCATTTTTTGTTTCAAACAAAGAAAATGCTGTTTGTAGTTGTGACATTAACAACCACAAGTCCAAAGACTATTTGCTAGCATCATTGCTAATGGGCGACGACATCTGCTGGCGTCCCACTGACTGGATGTTTCAGTTTATCCAGCCCCTTGTCCCTTCTGTCTCTGTTAGACACCTTTCTCAGATCCCGGTAAATCAATACTTCAATATGTTTTTAAAAAGGTGAAAAAATAAAAAAAACATTTCTGTTTCTGTGGCTGCTTTTAAGTATCTGTCATGTCGTCAAGTGAAGAAGCTTCAGCCAGTTCCCATTTTTGAATTTATATGCAGACATATTTTGCTCAGATTTGACATCTTGCCTTTCTCTGCGCTATATTTAAGAAAAGTTTTTGGCAGGTGATTTACAATATGGCCATGCGATACATACAAAGATGACATGTGAAGGTAGACAGGACGCCTGGCTGGCTTTGGGTGAACGCAGACAAAAACACAATGAAGCCGAAAGTGAAGGAAAAAAAATGGATTTCCCCCTTGTCTTCTACAGCTGTTTTGTAAGACTTTACTCACTGTAGATCCATGTCCATCTAATCTTAGGGGGTTAAATGAACTCTCAGAACTTTAATTTACATGGTTAATTTTCTTCAAGCACTTGCCACAGAGGGAAAATAGTTCAAAATGTCCTCACTGAAACCAAAAGCTGTTGCTAGCTGGAAGCTAACAAGTAAATCTGTGGCGAGTGTTGAGAAATAACCAACACAAATTGAACAATCCCTTTATAATGTGACCTTGTTTAAGAAAGAAAGAAATTAAGAAATCAAAAGAAGAAAGGATGGGGACTGTAAGGACGAGGGTGGAGATGGAAAGGACAAGAAATATCTAAGGATGAATTAAAAGATCTGAGTGCACAGGGATGGAAGGGGGGCTATATAAATGAGCATAAATAGTTTAATAACATGCACATGGGCTGTTGGGGTTAATGGGGGGGGCAGATGTGGTGCAGACAACAGTGTGGAGAGAGAAAGGAGGATGAAAGAGAAGAAGAAAGAAGGATGAGTGTTTGAGGAAATGGAGTAACCTAGTTGCCCCACCAGTCAACTTGAGAGTGCGAGTAGTTGCCTCCGTAGCCGTCACTGGTGTAGAAGTTGCCAAAACCACCTGACAGGGAGGAAACAGAGGAGAAAATTCAAGGTTAACAAAGTAAAGTTGTTCCCCATGAACCATGTTGCAGTTCATTCCAGAAGTTCCTATCCTAACCTATAAACCTATACAACCTATCCTGTAATGTGGTGGTATGGTTATTAAATATGTTATATGAATGAAAACATGTGTAAGCCTATTCCTGCTAAACGTCTCTGATGAACATCAAAGCTTTTCTAATTGCAGTAGTGAGAGCGATAGCAATTTTGAGTAATGACTCATAACGGACTGTGTTATATAGCATACAGGATATGTCCATTTATAATGCCATAACGTTCAATTAGTTCTCAACTGAGAGCATCAAAGGTTTATGCTCTTCTATAATGCATACATGCAGTCTTAAACAGTTCTAGAAAAAATCTTGCTACAAGCAGAATAACTATATCACACATCCTAAGACCAGATCTAGGGTTGGGCCAATGTAGAAAGGTTCAAAACAGGTTGATATTAAACAAAATACCAGACCAGTAATAAAGAATTTTACCACATGACTTGAGTTTTCAACAACACATTCCTGCAAATGTTTCACAGTAAAAGCCTTGTTAAGAAATGACAGTTTTCTGTCCACTGAGGGCACCAGAGGACTTCAATTTAAAACGGATACAGGAAGTGTTGAGTTTGTATTAACAGCATAATGCAGCAAACAGGAGTGGACTAAAACGGGGCTTTGACCTTTCAATCTACTAAGTTACTCACTGTACTGACAAACTATAGCTGGCTTGCTACCTTGCTAGCATAGCAAACAGATGTGATAAGCTTGAGTGACATGATGGTTGTCAGGGACAGGGTTATATTGAAAATGGGCAAATATTACTGAGAGCTGCTTCTTATCTCTTTTTAAATTTGCCAGAATGGCTCCTGATGAAAAATTCAGATTTAGTCACTTTGCATCCAATCAAACTGGTTTAAACTCATACACAAACCAGGCTGGGAATACCAGAAACCAACACTATCCTCACCTCCTCCAAAGCCACGGGGGCCTCCATGTCCTGCCTGGTTGCGACCTCCACGTCCTCCAAACCCTCCAGCGGTGCCTCCTGCAGCTGTCTGGCGATAATCACGCGCTCCAAAACCTCCAGAAAACCTGGTGGGTAAAACAAATTCATGATTTAAATCCAAGTAAACTTCACTGCATTTGAACAAACCTTCAATGGAATTTAACATCCATAGAAAACACATTTATTGTTTAAGAGGTGACAGTGTGTATGTATACCTCTTTGAGCGTCCTCTGTTGCTGCTCTTGTGCTGGTGTTCATACGCCAAGCTCTCAAGCCATGAGGGAACCTCCTGTTTGGCCTCAACCAGGATGTCCAGCAAGTCCTTAGTAATGTTCCCATTTTTATCATTGAAGAACGATGTGGCCAGTCCTACAAGTACAATAGTAGTAAGTAATACTATCAATAGTCAGACTCACAGTAAGTAGGCTGTGGGTTTAAGCCTGTCATTGGCTGACTGTTTCAGTGGGAATTCTCCTCCCCTTCAACTATGTGCTGCTGCTTTGCAAGAGCACTGTCGCTGAATCCTGGGCTCAGCGCCGCCCCAGAAGATTGTGACTGGTTTAAAAAAATACAAACAAGCCAGACGGTTGTTCTATATCAGAATGGTAATGGACTCTGGCACAGCGCTAAAACGAAGTATAAAGATTGGTTGGGCTATGCGAGACAATAGTAGTAAGTCTATCTTCATTTGTTATATCATGCAACACACAAGACACGTGTTACATATTACTGATTAGTTGTAGGCTTACCCAGGTTTCCGACTCGTCCGGTACGTCCAATACGGTGGACATACTCCTCTATATCACTGGGCAGGTCAAAGTTAATAACATGTTTCACATTGGAGATGTCCAGACCCCGAGCTGCTACCTGAATATGTACAAAAAGAGCAGAAACATTAAAAAGTACAGAAGGAAAAAAGCTCTCACACACATCCAGTGATACCATACACTTATGTAATCAGTAGTTTACTGACCGCTGTGGCCACCAGAATGGGGCATTTTCCTGATCTGAACTGGCTCAGGGCCTCTTCTCGGTCTCTCTGGGAGCGGTCGCCATGGATACTGGTGCAGGCGTAGCCCTCCCGATACAGGAAGTCCTCCAAGGCGTCAGCGCCTTTCTTGGTCTCCACAAAAACCAGAGTCAACGAGTCCTTACCTGATGAACAGAAAGAAATAACATCTGAGGTTAATCATTAAAGGTGAGCGGATAATCATGGTGGATACTACATTTTTAACACAAAAAGCTGTAATTTCTGTTTTCAAACCTCAGATTTTGAATACAGCAAAACTGCAGCCATTGCATTTTATGAATGAGGGCCAGTGGGTTTTTTTAATCTGCACTAGTACAAAATTCAGGGGGTCACCAAATCATGTGGAATGATTTTTAATTAACACAAGAAACGCACTGTTGTTTTTTGTTGCAGGGGTATCTTGCTCTGAACCTAAGAAATAAACAGCCAGATGACCATGCAATCCTCACAGCTCGCTGACAAAGTTTTAGATTTCTCATTTTACTACATGTTGTGGATCTGACTTGTAACTAATGGATTGTGGTAGCATGAACAGCAATGTCAGACTATGTAAATTAACCACATCTGGAAGATAATTTATACTCAACAAAACATCAATGTCAACATGTCAAACAATGATGTGACACATCTGGAAATGTTTGACACAAAAGTCACTTTTCAGTCATTTTTCAGGGAGCTTAAACTTGCATTATTTTCAGGAAACATAATATCTTAATTTCTACTAAGATTGCAACTAAGGATTATTTTATTTATCAATTAATCTGCACATTATTTTCACCAGTAATCGTTTAGTCTGTAAAATGTCAGAAAATCAGAAAAATGCTCATTACAATGTCACAGAGCCCAAAATGACATCTTCACTGCTTCTTTTGTCCAACCAGTCCCAAAACCAAAGACTTATTCATTTACAATTATAAATCACAAAGAAAAACAAAAACTCCTTAGACTTCTAAGTAAAACCAGAAAAAAAATTACCTAACCCTAACCCAAATTTTTGCTTGAAAAATCATTGAAACGTTTAATCGATTATCTAAATAGTTGGCAACTAATTTTCTTCCAATCAACAAATCAATTAATTGACTATTTGTTAAATGACAAAATATAATATTTGAGTGGCAATGCACTATTTTACTGTATCTTATTTATTCATTCTTTTAAAAAGAGCTGTAGGTACAAAATATGTTGCATCATACTGACAATCTTGAGATGAAAATCCTTCAGTGTATAATGGAATCATATCAGTTACTCTTTCAGCCCTATGGACAGGCTATACGTGTGCTGCTATGGCTCATATGATACATAACTCTTAATTACATGCACCTTAATTTGTATAAAACACATTACAATAGATGTTTTTCTATGAACAGAAAAGTGCAACAGGCAGCAGGGAGTGCAGTGTGGATAAAAAGAAAACATAATCACGAGAAAAAAAAGAGTTAACAGAATCAGCAGCTAGTGAATAGAACCACTGATGGAAAGAGTTTGGTCATAGTTCTTCCGCAATGCTCCTTCAACATTACTACCTGATCAGTGAAAGGCATTGGCCCACATTTATATCCACTGCTAGCTAGCTGTTGAGACTACAACATAACCAGACTCTCTCTATCAAGGCTTTGGGTCTGACATGAAGACACCACAGCAACATACTGTACATAAAGATGCCACAAAAAACTCTTGAACTAAGAATAAAAATATAAATATAAACGGCATGTCTGATGTAAGCTTAGCAAACTTGACCAATGAAATGATACACAGAACCAAAAATAACTGAATAAACAAAGGACTCTCCATCCACTGAGAAGAACATTAAAGGGCAAGCAAAATTATTTAAAATGTGAAATGACGGATACAAGTTTCACCATCGAGGATCTTACCAGGTTTCTCTATGTTGTCTCCCGTATTGTCCTGTACCTCGCTGGGGATGACTTGGAATAGAACCACACCAAACCACCAACATGTAACTCAATCACCAGTAGAAAACCAACTCTGTATATGTTTAATGTTCCTGATGTACCAAAGAGACACACAGTAATGTATTGGCTGGGATGGGAGGACGACATTATGATAATGGCGAAAGGATTGGGGGAAATAGAACTGCACAGTGTGTGTTAGCAATAGATCTAAACCGTTCAGGCTGTAGTTTATGTTGAATGTGTCGCAGACCTGCAGTGTTAGGACACATCTGAAGGTTATGAGTTGCTATATGATGGTCTCACCTGTGGCACTGAGCAGGTCCAGGAGGAACGACCTCTTATCGCTCTCCTCTACCCACACCACTTTCTGAGTGATGTTCTCTGAGGTGGAACCAACTCTGCCCACTGCCAGGAAGATGTACTCCTCCAGGAAATCCCTGGCCAGGATCTAGAAGGGCAGGAAGAGAATGTGCTTATTAGTAGATTTTTAAGCAGTATCCCTACTTATAACCCCGTTTTGCTTTTCTCTTTCAGTAAGACTCCACCATAAGTGATGCTTACATAGTAGGGCTATAGCAAAACAAAGAAAAACTGAGAGGTTCTCCTAGTCAAGTTTCAAACAAAATACGCAGGCGATCTGAGGCGTAGATCTGCCTGCAGGGCTAAAATTATTTCCAGGATATTTGCTCATTGCAATCAATTTCCAGGTGTTTCAATGACTGGAAAGGATGTGTGGGAACCCTGAAACAGGTCTAATGAAAAATCTTCATCATTATACATGACTGCCTGGAATTATGCCTCTCTGGGCTGCACATAGGCAAACGTGTACTTGGATTGCCCGGGTCTCTATTTCCATCCTGACGACAGTTGAATCCACAAATTAACATGCTTGACACACAACAGGGCTCCAGAGTGCGACCAATTTTTAAGAGTGCGACTAGTAGTTTTTCTAGGTCGCACTGGTGCACCTGACGCTGCCCGGCTGAAAACATACATTTCGCAAGCGCATCGTCTCTCTGTGTTCTCCTGTGACCGAACTCACACTCATGGTAGGATCATATTGTGTTCTAAACTAATAAGAGACAGAGCTCGGGCGGGTCTTTGCCTCTGATTGGTTGTGGTCCTGTTCATCGCGCTAAATTGTGTGTGTTTAAAAATTGCGCGCGACCTGAGCACCAGAATAGCTGACTAACAAACGGAAAAATAAAATAAACGCGACAAACAAGGAAAAATGAAGAGAGGCAGAAATATTGAAAGTTTTGTCATTAAGAAAACCAAGCCTACTACTATAATCCCATCCATCCCCACTACTGAGAGTCCATCCTGTCAAGACACGGAGCCCTCGGTCCCTGGTGAGATACCAAGCCCCAGTCCTTCGGCGACAGCATCAGACTTGGAACCAGAGGAGGAGACAACCGAGTCTGGGATAGAGCCCGGCTCCGAGACCCAAATTAAAAAGGCCAAAATATATTCCTTCAGACAGGACTGGCTGAAACAATTTCCCTGACTGAGGTACAACAAAGGACGTAACGCAATGCACTGCGTGTACTGTCAGGAGTGCGGTCAGAATATGGACGGAAATAGTGCATTCCTAAGAGGGTCAACAACGTTTCGTATTGAAACTTTAAAAAAACATAACATGTCTAAAAAACACACGATATGCCGTGACAAGTGTGTAGAGAAAGTGGCCCCTCTCCCAGCTGCATTTCAGCGGCAGGTAGTAGTAATCAGGTCCTCTTTTATTTGGAGATGTTTTATTTTATTTTATTTATGCTGGTGCACCTAAAAAAAAAAAAGTTGGGCGCACCAGTGCAACCAATGCAAAAAGTTAGTCTGGAGCCCTGTACAGGCCCATTTGATTTTCCATGCGATATCTTTGGAGAAGCACAATTCCAGCTTTAAACCATCAAAGCTCTAATATTCAATTTATTGTCAATGTGATTGCTGAATTTGTCTAGTTTTTTTCTAACATACATACACATACAGCATACACATCAGACAACTACTGTAAATGTACCTGGATCTCTTTAGGAAAGGTTGCGCTAAACATCATGGTTTGTCGGATTCCTTTATGCGGCATGGTGTCCTGTTCAACGATGCGTCTTATCTGTGGTTCAAATCCCATGTCCAACATACGATCTGCTTCATCCAGCACCAGGTAGCTGCAATGAAAAAGACACAAAGGAAGAGGTTTAAAATGTATATAATAAGAACCGTTGAAGAAATTTTGTCCATCACTCCCTCCCTCAGTTCAAGTCTTACTTGCAGTAATCCAGTCCAATCTTGCCCCTTTCCATCATGTCCACCAGTCTTCCTGGTGTTGCCACCAGCAGGTGGCAGCCTCTCTCCAGATCTCTGATCTGCTGGCCAATGTCTGCTCCGCCATACACAACACAGGGACGCACTCTGGACCGGTAGGAAAACTACAAAGAAAAACAAAATGGTTGATGAGATACATGGATAAATATTTCTCCTTTTTTTTTTTTTTTTTAAAGAATTCATACTTGTGTGTTTCTGTGTGTGTGTGTGTGTGTGTGTGTGTGTGTGTGTGTGTGTGTGTGTGTGTGTGCGTGCGTGCGTACCTTCCTGGCTTCATCATATATCTGTAGTGCCAGTTCTCTGGTTGGAGCCAATACCAGTGAGATGGGGTATTGCTTACGGCGCCCATACTTTCCATTCTCCTGTAATACAATGACAACACAACATCTCAGTCGAACAACAGTTGATGTTGATGAAGTTGTTTTTCCAGTTAAGTGAAGTTAAGAAACCACAAAAGGTTTCAGATGGCTGAGAACCATGTTCAACTCAAATGTGAGCTCCAAAGTTCACAGTTCAAGTCACCACTTATCAGGACTCAGGAGACCAGTGGTTCCCAAACTGGGAGGTGAGACCCCTTGAAGGGGTCAACAATTTATATTCTAAGGGGCTGCAAGATATCTTTTGACTTTCCCCTTACCTGTCCAGATGCTTTAGCTGCGTTAAGAGCTTCTCCTGGTCCTTCAGTGTAGATCTGGCTGAGAATTGGCAGCAGGAACGCAGCAGTCTTCCCAGAACCTGAATACACAAAGTCAACCTCATTCATCTCCAAGTGCATTCAGCAGGATCATCGTTTAAAGATATTTATGACTTTGCTCTGTTTCTGGAAATATGATGCCCAGTATGTGGGTGAGTGTGTCAACCTACCTGTCTGTGCACAGGCCATAAGGTCTCGCTTTGCCTTGACAATAGGAATGGCATATTTCTGGACAGGGGTTGGTCTAGTGTAGCGACTTAGGGCAATATTACCCATGACAATCTCACCCATGTCCACATCTTGGAACTGCAAAGCGCACACACAGTCAAACACACAAAAAAAAGAGCAGTAGAAAGTAATTTGATACATAATTTACCCTTGATGGATCCCTAGTAAACAACAATAGCTTACACTCTCGATGTGGTGAGGGCAGTTTTGTCCTGTGGCCTCGACAGGAATGTCATCGTATTTCTCGAAGTTGATCCCAGTGTTACTGCCTGAGAACAACTCACTATACAGGAGCAAAGCAGGAGAAACAGAGTTAGTCTAATGTTCAGAAAAGACACGCAAAAACATTTAACAATGATTTGAAATAATGACCCTTGTGTTAAACACTTTTGTCTACGAACACACCTCGTGTTTTCTTTGCTAGTTTTTGTGATCTTGAGTAAATCACTGCATTTTAATTATTTGGCACATTTTTTAAACTAATGATATTAGACATAAGTTGAGTGACACTTCCATACTGGTATGCTGTTAATATTGTGACCTAAGGCTAAACATCTGCCTGGGAGTTTTGTTACTGTACAATAATGCTTTGAAAGGATAACGGTCTGTTATGTGTTATGTGTTTGTGTTATTCTATTACACAACAACCAATGAACCCCAACAAAACAAATTGTCTAATGTTGATTTTAGAATCCATTCATTCAGTCATGATCCGTACTTCCAGTATAAAGCTGATAATGGCGAGCATCTTTCATGAACCGTTCCCTGATATTTCCTGGTCTTGTAACAAAATTAGTCCAATTATCAGACTTTACTCGTCTTGAGTACACCTCCCATTATGACCGATAAAAGTGCAGACTCACTGTTCAAGGCGTTCATTACGTGGTGTTGGTTTGGACCAGTCTCCTTCCTCTCTGGACTCTTCCACCCAGCGGCTGTTTCCTCCTCCTCCTCCACCGCCACCACCAAATCCACCATGATCAAACCTGAACACAAAGACAATGACGGTACAAGATGTATGATACGATATTTTAGAAACTCTACAAATCACACAATTTTAATTTTTTTATATATCACAATATATTGAATCGTAATTCCTGTATAATGATAAATATTGCCAGATTCTTGTAAATACACAGCCCTACTTTCATATTGAACGTGGTTCCTTAACCTGAACTTGTTTCACTGTGACTGTAGCAGCAGATATTCACTCTGTGTCTCGTCTCCTTACCTCCCTCTATTAGCGTTGCCTCTGTCATTGAAGAACGCAGACTTCCCTCGGTTGTTACCAAAACTGCTATAGGCGTCCTTGGCAGTGTTCCAGCCACCGGCGTCTTATAGGAGAATGAGCACAAAACTATTAGAAGACAGTTTCATACATACAGTGTTATCAGTATTCAGAGTGTGGAGACAACCACAGCTGGTCTTTGGACTCATATATGGGAGAGGTTTGCTATGAAACAGTATTTATTTGATGTCTAAAGACACTGACAATTTCAAGAGAACCAGGGCTTGTGAAGCTTTGAAAAAGGGTTTTCTGGTTTTCTTTTGGATCCCTTACGTCTCCAATTCCCTGTCAGTGGAGCAGCTTTATAAAGTGTGTTCAGTAGTGTTTCAGTTCTAGCTTTGGATAAACAATTCATATTTTGGGACCTTTTTAGTTATTGTAGATTTTCTTTAAAGGAGAGCACATAACATTAGCAAAGGTTTGATGCAGCAACCCCCACCTTTATTTTCGTAGCCAGCGAAGCCCATTGGCTGCGCTGGGTTGATGGGGTTGAAGGAGCCGCCCCTGTTGCCGCGGTAACCTCCTCCGACGCCACCTCGGCCCCGCTCCATGCGGGGTGGGCCACGGTTAAATGTGTTGCCAGCAGTCATGCGGTTGTCATGGTAGCCATTTACAAAGTTGTTGCGCCCCCCGTCCCAACCATCTACAGAGGGAGAAGAGGGCAATAATGAAACAATGATCCTGGTATCCAATGTGTGCAGGATTATGACATTATCGTTTCGGTTCTTATTGGTAACCCATAAGCGGTGGACTGAAACCACAGATTACTTCATAGGGCTGGGTATCGCCACAGATTTCCCAAATCAATTTAAATTCCGATGCACAAGTCCCAATTCCATTAGACTTCTGATTCTCAGAGAGATTTTCAGATAACTACTGCTGTAAATTGTAAAACCTGGTGGATTATTAAAAATATTCATGTTTACATGAGGATTTAACCCTGCAGTGTTTACTGGCAACAGGTACATGCTGAGCAGGTCAGATGATCCAGGCTACATTGTAAATAGACAGCTGCGATCCGCCGTGGCCTACATAGCCTCTTTAAAGCACCTCAACCACAGTCAGAGACGCCCTATCTTCCAACACCAGTTATCTTGCTGTTTCAGCTCATTTTCTCATGTTAAAGTGTTGAGTAAGTAACGCTCTCTGTATGCCTTCAGATCCACAAACACAACCAACTATACTTTGAGGCCAGATCTTGTTACGAAATGTTTGAATTTTGTGAGAAATAGTAACTTTTGAAACTGTCCGCCATTCATTCCCATTCTCTTTGCCCACTGAAAGAGCACAGCTCAATACAGTTTCTTTATGAAGTTTATAGATAACCAATTGACAAGAAGACTGTCAAATAACAGCCTTTAGATTGTGACGCTGGCTGCTCAGACTAATTATACGTTTTTTACTCAGTATCTAATGGCGGTATGCTGTAAATGGGTGCCCTTTGTGCATGTTTATAAACTACTTTGCTAATTAAACATGATGTGCTGTTATTAATGACTCCTGTTGAAATGTAGTTTGGAGATCAGTCAGACTGGTTGGGAAAGATCTTGTTGTATGTGAACCCTGTTGCTGATCAGTCACGTAGTGTGAAAATCACAACAACTTCCAGTACTCCAGTACAGTACAGAGATCTCATAACTTTGAAAGTCTTGTAGAGTGTCAAAGGATTAAAGAACTAAAGGTTGCCAGGCGAGACTAACAGGGTAAAAGCCTCACATCTTCAGGAAAAGGCACACATTTTAAAAGCTAAATTTCTGGATTTTATGAATCAATATTGCGTCATTTAAATGATGAATCAGAAAACAGATTTTTTAAACCTACTTCAAGGCATACTAGGTGGTATTTTCGTAAAAAGAACAATGTATAGACTCATACACACATAATCCCTCTCAATCATCACGTATGACCAACTGCTGCGGTCTGTGTGTCTGTTTGACCGGGGGTAAGTGCAGCCTTGTGTACCTTCTGCAGGATTGTGCGGAGGAAACTGAAACAATCAGAAATTAACCTTTTATTTCTGATTCGCAGCTTTGTCTTCAGTAACGGCGCCCCCTCACTCCAATTTACTGTCCACTTTGTTCTACCATCACTGAAAAAATACTGCATAGTATGCCTTTAATACCCCTTATTCACTTCACAGAGAGGAGGTAAGAAAGCAGAAAACATACTAATGAGAGATGCTACAGCAATGAATGTTATGGAGTTTAAGAACAGTAGAGGTTTTTTTTAGAATTAGAAGTTTTATAGAAGTTCAGAGAGGAACTTACAGTTGGCTGCGGGCGCAATGGTGTAGCCACCTTGTCGACCAGCAGCGAAGGCATTTCCTACTGGACAGGAAGACAGTGTTTCAGTTGTGCTTTTAATCAGTAACAACTGCAGTTAATAAAGATACCCTGTGGAGTTTTAGACCACTGGTTTTATTATGGAGCAATGTTTTAACAAGTGGGTCCCCATTTCATTGGAATCGTGCATGCATACTAAGACACACAAGCATGGGGGGGGCACGACCTGATTCATACCACTGCACTGCACTACACTGACCCTGACCAACAGCTGACAGCAGTAATGTAATGTGCATGGACACGTAGCGATGCGCCAGCAAAAGGCAGGGAAGACTGCTAGCTAGCTAACATGGATGTAAACAATACAAAGTATTGCATATACAAGTCCGCTTTGATAAAGTTTTATGAAGACGGGAATACATTATTCACACAATGCATTTTGGTGAGTAACGCTAAATGTAAACATAACTTGTGTTTGTTTGTTTACAAGAAAACTCCACAGGACAGCTTTAACTTGATGCTACACACCATTTTTGGAAGCGTCGTTCCGTAAATGTGGAGGAATGTATCGCCCTGCAGACAGAGAGAGACAGTGTCCAACATCATTTAGTGAATTATAAAACTTTAAAAAGGACTTGATTTTAAATTAAATAAATATAGGAAATAAAAGATATTCCCTCGGTTGCCTTGCGGTCAACTTTCCTGTCCTTCCCAATTTATTCTCTATGGAGCACTTCCTCATTTGCTGTCTTTATGACCCAGTGTTATTACCGTGGTTTACTACTTGTGGAGGTGTGTGAGTGTCACTCACTGGCAAGAGAAAATGGAACGTTTGAACATTTTTAACACAAACACGTTGGCTGCTTACTGTTAGTGCCTCCACCTTGTCCGTCCGCTGCACTCAAGTCTAGGACAGCGAGCTGGAGAAACAGAAACACACGAGTTATTTTCAAAGGAACAAAAGGGTCTAGCTTTGTTGGACATGTTTGAGGCTTCGGAGCGCCTCTTCTTGCTGCAGGTGACAGCAAAACCTGCCGCCTACTTGAAAACTAAAGTAGACAACCTGTTTTTGTTTATCCGTCAGAATGAGCTGTGAAAGCGTTGCTCACAGACAGTAGCCGAACTGTCCAGATTGAAGAGAATAGAACACAGAAATGGGTTTTTTTGCTTTTTTTTTTATTTCGGCACACACACCAGTTCACCAATCCTATTATGGCGAGGTCAGCAAACTGCACACAGCTGCTCTGAGATACTTTACAACAAAGGATAGCAAAGTGATGATGCAAAAGATCTGATGTTGGGGCGACCGGCTTTCTCCGAGCAGACAATCCATTTCCAGATATTGAATTTTTAGGGCTCTTCAACACTGCATCACATTCAATGAACTGGGCTAATGAGAGGGATTGACTCTACATAAAAAATCTTCCCAGTGCAGATTTCTCTGCCCCCTGACTCAAAAGGAGGAAGTGTAATTTATTTAAATGAGGTCAGTGTTGCGCACCCTGCAACACTCCCGTAGACATTTTGTCAATTAAACCCGTCCAAAATATCAATTGAGAACATACAGTACTTTGTGTTGCCATCCAACTGTCTGACCAGTCAGACACAGCTAGACTACGTTGCTGGTGACGCAGAAGAAATGAGCATTTTTCTCAAAGCGGGACGCAGTCAAGAGAAGCTTGAAAACTGTGCAATACTGCGCATTATCTGAAAGCCGGTGGGCTAAACTGCCTAACACCGCATTGTTTGTGTGTCAGTCCCGCTAGCTCCATCACCGCATACCTCCATTTTTTTTTTTGTATCAAGCTGCAACACAAACGCAGTGAAGAGAATAGTTAAAGGGTGCGTTTCATATGCTTACACGGGAAAACCGACAGAAGCACTCCGACGTAATTGGTCATTTCGCTCTCAGTTGTAACGAACAGTTTGTCCGCAGTATAAGCTAACTATCACATTAACTGCAAGGCTATGGGTTTCTTAAAGCATTTTCAACAACTATTTGGTGTAACACATATAGCTATTAAACAACAGTCAAAGGGCAGAGGAGCTCAAACTGTTTTTAACGTCGTACACTTCGTCCCCCTCTACGCAGCCGCTCTCGGTCACGCGGGTGTGCAATTGAAGCGCACCCAACGCTGGCTAGCACGATAGCATCTCGTTAGCGGTGTTTCTCGGCTAGCCGGAAAGCTAACATTTCTCCCTGGCGTTATAACGTTTCATCAACTGACCCCGCAAGACACAATAAACGGACTCGGCTTACCTGCTGCTCTAGACCGTGGACATTTTCGACGGCCACATGACTCATAACTATAGAATATGGAGGAAAAATGTTGTCGTTGAAAAAAGGACCTCTTTGTTTGCCGGGTTTGATGCACTGTTATTTCTCCTTTGCTTCTCGCTTGTTTCTCTGGTTACGACAGATGGCAGTTATTTCCTTGACTTAACAGTTAAACGCAAGTTTGAAAAATGCTATTGTTAAATTTTACGTGCTGATAAAGTCCTGTATTTTAGGTACAAGGATGGTACTTCGTGCCAACTCAGCTGATGTCGGCTTGCTCTTCAGCTGAAGCTGAGCTCAAGCCGTCATGCACCAGTTAAGCGAGGTTGAGCAACACAGAAAAAACATCCGGCAACGCCAAAATAAAAGTGAAACAAAGATGAGTCATTGTAATATTTTGCTATATAAGCAATCCAAATATAACTCAATCTGTATTTTTGAATTAATATTTGGTAATATTTTAATTCTTTTATGACAGAATATTTTCCTGTATGTGCAAAATCATGGTAACTTGAATACTTGATAACTAAAATGTGTTCAAAACTCTAAACACGAATCCATTTCAAGGGATATTTACTAAACGCGAATGCATGTTGTTACCAAATGTTGCATATTTCACACACGGTTATGGGGAGCTATAATCAGATAACAAGTGTTTCATATAAAATAAAAAAATATTCCAAAACTTTAATCTAAAGTGCGACTTTATTTCCCTACTTCCGGGCAGCCACTGGCTAACACTAGCGAGCTTGACGGACGCAAATAAAAGTTAATCCAGACACCGCGAGAGTTTAATCACAGTTTCTCGCGATATCGCTACTACAGTAAAATAAATATGTATATATATATAGCCTGATGTCTTCTCTCCATCTTCACACTTTCAATTGCCTCTAAGAAGTTTGTAAAATGTGTTTCATCACTTTATACTAATATATATTTTTTGTTGTTGTTGAATTAAATATTCTGAAAAAAGTTTGTGTGTCTTGATTTTTTTTTTCTTTTTAATTCAGACTTACAATGTACAAACATTGCATTACATTGTACAAGTATTTCAATGGAAACATTTAAAAAATATAACTTTAACCCACCAATATTAAGCAATTAGACATAGCAAAGTAATTTCCCAATTACTGTAGAGGTTTTAATACCATTCTTATTTGTTAATAATTTAGAAGCTGAGTCAAAGAGATGTTGTAGTTCAACACACAAAGATGAATATTAGATGTGGTTAAATTAGATATTTATTATTTATAACAAGGCACATACGTTTAAGAGCTATGTTAGTGGATTGTAAATCAGTGTTACAATTCAGAAACAAAGCTATGTCTTCTGTATGTGTGTCATACCTTTTAAAAAAAAAATCAATAAAGCAACATTTGAAGAATGGATGAGAAATGGATTTAAATTCTATTTTACAGAAAGAACATAATGGAGAATTTTGTTTTACATTTATTTAAAAATGTTCTAATACTTTCATGTGAACTTCTTTAATCCTATTATTTCTAATGAGGAATATATTGGAGTCTCACCATATTTTTCTTATCGATCCTTGCCATTGCCAATACTGTTGTTGTGAACCTGTCTGTCTGTCTGTCTCTCTCTCTCTCTCACCCTCACCCCAACTGGTCGAGATAGATGACCACCCACCTAGAGCCGAAGGATCTGTCCTAGGTTTTAAGTGCTTGCTCATGGTGGTACTGTTGGGTCTCTGTAATTAATGTTATAAAGAGTTCGGTCTAGACCTGCTCTATTTGAAAAGTGTCCTGAGATAACTTCTGTTATGAATTGGCGCTATACAAATAAAATTGAATTGAATTGAACTGAATTGAATTTTCTCTACCAAGATTTCAGGGAAATAAAAGTCAGTTTGGGAAAATCACTGCACTAGTATTTTTCTGATATGGTGATTAATCGGAAAGTCAGAAAGGTCCTTCCCACCAATTAAAAGCCACATAATTTCCCCAAATCAAATGGCCATATAACAATGCACTTTGGATGATGAATAGTAACTTTGGTGATGTTTTTTATACCATTGTTATAGCCTTTCAAAAAATATCCAAGCTATTATTCTGAACAGTCTTCATATTTACAGATGTTGCCTCTGTCAGTAAGTACATCAAAAACAAAGACAACACCCTTATCAATCCATTCTTCCATGGATCTAGACTATTCAATTCAATTTTATTTTATTTGTATAGCGCCAATTCATAACAGAAGTTATCTCAGGACACTTTTCAAATAGAGCAGGTCTAGACCGAACTCCTTATAACATTATTTACAGAGACCCAACAGTACCACCATGAGCAAGACCTTGGAGACAAGGGCAAGGAAAAACTGCCTGTTAAAAGGCAGAAACCTAGGACAGATCCTTCGGCTCTAGGTGGGTGGTCGTCTGTCTTGACCAGTTGGGGGGGGAGAGAGAGAGTGAGAGCGAGAGAGAGAGAGAGACACACGTGCACAAGACTAGACAGTAGTTCCTCGACAGTGCATGCTGGTTGTTCTGTATATGCATGAATGTGGAGATAAATTATGTTTCAAAGTAATCTTCCAAGCTTCAAGAGCTTGTTTGTGGAAGTTTGAAAGTGTGAGAGGCAGTTTATGACACTTATAATTACAAGATAACAGAAAGCGTAGACCACCACACAACAAATAAGGAATGCAAAATCATCGACCCTTGTTTTTAGGCACCAATGCTAAATCCAATTTAGAAAATTTGATTCAAAATCTAAAGCATTGCCTTCTTCAGAATAGCTTTGAAAACATTTGAACAAATTCAGTTTTATTTGTCCTATATAAAAGTTAAAGCTGCAGTAGGTAATTAAAAAAAAAAAAAACATACTTTGGTGATATTTGCAGATACTTTCACAATATGACGACAGTTTAGAAACAACAAAAAAAAAGTTTTTCTGGCTCCTAATCACATTTGCAAGAATCCAACAGGCCTGAATGAAAACAGTCAGAGGCGAGAAAGACTGGTGATTGTTGAGCCTCATTCCCAGGGCGTTAAATACGGATGCTTTTTAACCCTTTGAATGAGACTCAATTAACCATCTTCAACCCAAAGCATTTTTATATCTTCACTGCTCTGATTGGTTGTTTTCGTCCAGGCCCAGTGGATGCTTTAAAATGCCATTAGGAGTGTTTAAAAGTGTTACAAAAGGATCATATACACAAAACTTGGCAGGAATACAGGAACTTATGTGACACTGGACGATAGTCTTAAAGTGTACAAAAACATATAGGTATTGGTGGGTTACAGAACAGGAGCCCAAGAGATAGTCACTATCGTCTGAGAATATGACATACAAGAATAAATCATAGTAAAGTGACTGCAAAAATACAGCAGTAATCAAGAATAATAAAGAGTCCAGCGTGTCTGAAAATGCTATTGGGTCAGCAGGCCCAACAGCTCCCAAGAGACTTCAGATCCAAGTCCACCAGCCACAGGACATCTGGTTAGGGACAGCCTGCACAACACAAGGAGGAGGTTCCTTGACTCAGACGACAAAAGACCACCTACAAGGAAAACTGTTAAGGGACGAGAAATAGGGACCCCAGCTCAGTATCGGGAAAGCTGAAATGAATGACTGTCCCTGTAAGCAAGAAATATCACACAGTTCAGGAATAGTAAGAAACTATAACACCAAGTTTAGCTCAGTTCAGTTTAGGTGCTGTCAGTCCTGAAGGTTGATTGTATAATTTACTGTTTTACATCAGTTGGGACTTGTAATGGTACTAATTTTGCTCCATTGCCCCATGTTATTAGTAGTAGGTCAGTCATGTTGAGATTACAGTATATAACAGTATATAAATGATAATGTGTTATGGTAATGTTAATGAAATGTAAGGTTTCCATCCTCCATAGTAAAAGAAGAGAAATGTTATATTCCTTGTCCAGAGTAATCCTTTCCCTGCAAGTTATCTACATATTCCTTGTTAGTAGTGGCTCACAGTATGTTTAACAATAAGATGGCTAAAACAGACCAGAGAATACTTCATGAAATTTGGCATTTATGTATTGTATTTGAAGTCAATATACATCAGTACTACAAGTCAGGGTATGGATAAATAGATTTTAGTTGAAAGATTGGCACTGAATCAAAATCAGGTGTAAAGGTAACACAGTGTTTAAGAACAAACAACTCAATAAAAAGAGAATTCCACAGAAAGTGAAGCAGTCATTTGGAACGGAACTGATGTTGATAAAGAATCTTATTGTGTTTAGAACTGGTCAGTTTATCTTCAGCTGAAAACAACACCTACAAACCAGAGTTGGACAGTTCATACGAAGACGTTAGGATGTGGCAAGTTTGGAAAAACCTTAAGAGTTGTAAAATGCCAGAAAGTTCAAGTTCAGCCAGCTGTTCAACAGCAAATACAACAGGTAAGGAAACTATTAAAATACTGCTTCATCATAATCCACCAGTAATTGCAATGCTTTAATTTAGCACTGCTGAGTCCATGTTGTGATCTTCATGTTGTCTTTGTCTCCGTCTCCAGTCGCAGAAGAAAAGAAGAGCGATGCTGTGAGCAGCGACTCAAGTCGCTACCTCCTTCAGGGCTCCATCGGTGATGGACGCTTTGGCCAAGTTGCCAAATGTGTGAACCTAAACACATCACAGGCAGTGGCCCTGAAGATCCTAAAGACTGAGGATAACGCGGTTGCTAACAGAGAGGTAGATCATTTATTTCTTTTGGACTAATTCAACAAACTGTTGATACTTTGCTGTGTCATTTAAAGGCACACTATGCAAGATTTTTACCTTAATATAACAGCTTCGAAGTCATTCCGATGGTAAACAAACTCGTAGTATAGCGAATCATCCCGATAGCAAAGCAGGAGAGGTACGCCGCTGGCAGAACCAGCAATGCAAGTCTGAAAGGTGGCGCCCCGCCAAATCTCGCGAGAATCACAAATTGCTTTATGGCGCAACGTCACATACATCAGCGACATAAGAAACAGCCTCAATGGAAGACACTAGCAGGCATTCACTCAGACGTTACCTGGTCAGTAGACATCTTCGGAGTCTATCTTTGCCTGTTCGATGTCCGAGCTTCCATCCTACTGAACATGTACCGGTATACAGGGGGGAGGGGATCAGGCCGTGAGTGCAGAGACGCAGAGCCGTATATAGAGACGGCTCTGGTGAGTGGTATTTACGACAGTTAACATTAAATACAAGTACTCCGCAGCGACTGTAGGGGTAGCTGTTTGACAAAACTGGAAAACTGCATAGTATGCCTTTAAAGTGTAATTCTTTCTCTTTTCTCCACAGATCAAAATGCTCGAATTAGTGACCGTTCTTGACC